CAAGAACTCACGAACGGATGCTGCTGACGTTTTAAAAGCGGCATATATATATATATATATATATATATATATATATATATATATATATATATAGCAATAAAGACCCATCAGCTTGTTTCATTGAAAAATAATATTAGTATATTGGTTTAGAGCATTTGTTGAGCTTTCTCTTTCGTTGGAGCTCTAGATCAAATCTGAGCAGTATTTTCTGTACGTCGGCAAGTTTACCCCAAGTTAGATAAATCGTCCCTTATTTTTTAAAAGGTTATGTGTAAATTTTCATTCCAGATACTAGATCTTACTGCTACGTAATAGCATTCTCTAACCGCAGCAGTGCCTCAAAAGTTAAAACTTTCTTTTCATCCTCATCTTAGGTCGGTACTTGTTTTCATCCCGTGTTAAACTTTATTTTGATTTTTAAATTCCAATTTAAATTGATTTATTATTTGAATTTTAAATTCCTGTCACCGTTTAGGTAACTTCTACCTTCGCCTGTGTTGCCAACTTCAATTTCTCTAAAATGACTCAATGAAATCAACGTGTTATCGTTCAAGCACGTTGTAACAGAATTTAAACATTATCAAGGCTTTCCTTATTCAACCAGCTTCTCCCGAAAAGTAAGCGTGAATAATTTACTTCGAGTCGCCTAAAATGTATAGTTGATCGGGCCAAGTGATTCCTTAGAAGAATCCCTTGATTTCTTGAGGAATTCCTACCTCGCCACTCGAACATTTTCCTCTTGGTTTTTTCGAATTAGAATTTGCTTGGACAGTGTTCACTTTGCAACGTCTTAGAAACTGTTTATTCTTTTAGGAATAATCGCTGTGTTTGTCGTATTTCATTTAATTCGCAGCGCCCTTTATGGCTGAGGTAAATATCATCGCCCCATTTCCACAAACGATGCTGGTATATATTTTGGATAACAGTCCATTGACTCACATAAAGACTAAACTGAATCCGATTTAATAAAAGATTTCAGTATCGAAACTGGTATCGGGGCACCAATAGGCTTAAGATTTGATCGAAAAGGCTATTTACCTGCGCCAATCTATTACTGGTGTAACTCTAATAGAAAACAGAAAGGTAGTGCTAGTGAAACCTAAAAAATAAATTCATGCCGAATAAAAAGTCAAAGCCTTAGGTATGAATTTGATTAGAACTATTTCCGGGTAAACTTTGTCATCGAAAATCAGCTGGGCGGCTTTACTATACTACAAGACGGTGACTAACAAAAGTCAATTTTTTAAACCTAATAAGAGCTGGTCTCGTTCGACGCTTAATATCCATAATTTTATATGAGTTTGCGTCGATAGAATGACAGTAGGACAATTATCTATTTAGGGTTTCTCCTTAATAGAAGAGATTGGCAGAACTATGAATGATTATTAACTGACTAATTTGAATGTCTTTTGTCCCGCTATACTATGATACTCTAGAGAAGTATCATATCCGACATGATTGGCATACGTGATTGAACCCAACAATTCGAGAGTAAAAAATATCACAAAAGACAGCATCATTAAGAAGTATTTTAAAATCTTTTTGAGACTTCAGTCGTTATCATCATATAGGGCACTAAAACAAGCGTAAGCACTTTTGCCATAATCGTGTGTCCTATACCAACGTTCCAAACATTAGACTAACTTAATCAATACACGATTGAATGTAGTAGCCAGAAGTAAAAGACACGACTTTCTCGCTCTGAAAAGTTGTTCCAATGAATTCAGAAGCCATCGAAAGCCCGACTTCAACCAAGCTAAATGCCAGAAACCCTGTGTTTATCCACCAGTCCTCATGATAACACATTGGGTAACGTGTTTATCTCTTAAATGTCAAACACCTAATGCTATGGGTTCGAATCCGGGCGCAGACATACATTGTTCCTGGAAGAAAATCTATTGTCGGAATTAATGCCGAGTAAAATATTACACGAAAGCACAAAACACGTTCCCAGTGGCTGCCCTACCAACGGATCGTAGAAATTACTAGTGAAGACTCTAAATTTGAATTCAAACGAACTAGTAATTTAGAAAAAGTGGCAAGGCTGAAGAAGTTTCGATCTAGATAACTTGCTATATGCCCTACCTGGACTTTCTCATAGAATCACCTGGAATAAGCCAAAGGTATTAGCCCCATTTGTTGTCAACGCTTTAGAACGATTATTGTAAGGGCATAATGCATACACACAAGTTATAGGCAACGAACTTGTTTATGACAACGTACTTTGCATCATTTTTTTGTCAACCCACCGCGCTCACTAACAAATGTAGAATACAGACTGCTCGATTTCATTGGTTAATATACGACTTTCGTAATGCTTTGGTCTAGCCTGACTACGACTTACCTTAGCGCTAAATTTCAGACCGATCTTTACAGCATCAGACGATCGTGTATACCCTTTATTCTATAATTCAAACAGGACCATTACCCATTTGTCGTCAATACTTACTTAAAGTCTATAAATATTTCGTTACACTTGATTTTATAGAGTTAGATAATGATATTACGGCCTTTTCGAGCTTCAAGCTTCTATGTCAGACGAAAAACAAGTTCGAATCATCGTATTCCTTCAACTATACAGCCCTACTCAACTTCACAGACCCATTAAAAATGAGAACACATATGTCACGAAATTTAATGTTCACAACATGGCCTGCCCGATATAGGTCGAATAACAAAATGTCAAAAACTTCATTGGCTGAAAGTATTCCCAGCAAAGTGCTACTAGACATTAAAAGCTAAAATAAGCATAAAACCTTCATTTATTTCCACTAAAAACTTCCTGTTCAGTCAATCACCCTTAGGTAATTTCGAAAGATTCATGTTACTTATTGCCTGCTACAATACGTGCAATAAACTTTAACCTGCTTCTAATACATAGATGTAATAATGGTTAGCAGGCCCATAGGGAAGCGTTATATGATATCGTGGACCCATAGATTCCGCGGGTGCTCGGATTTTTAAAATGGGTTGCTTCTCTATCAAGACAAAAAATCTACTAATTTGTTCTAATGAAAGGAATCATTATTTTGTTCTAAATAACAGTTTGCTTTGTTATATGTTAGAGTCGCAAATTAAACCTTGGCTTTCGTCTATATCCCGACTAGGGTACAGGCCGCCTGGTAGGGCCTATCGCAAACCATATTATTTTCGTATTTTAGTCACACCTTGGGGAACACTCAGACAGATGCGGCATTCAACTTGCACCATCAATTTTGCTGCAACTTTGTTAAAACGACGGAAAGATATTAAACGTTTGCATTTTTCATAAAAGAATTATTGAATCATTTTTCTGAGTTTCTATAAAGCATGTTTCTAATAATAATTCGTATTAGTTAGTTACCGATGCTTGACCTCTAAATGTCCCCAACATTTAAGTCACTTATAACAACTTATGAACGTAAACTTTGCAAGAAATTGGTAGACACAAACGCTTCTTACGTAAAGGATTTCTAAATCATGTATGTCATATTAAAAATAGTAGAAGCAGTCCGATCTACACCTAAAAAATGCTTCTTAAACAAATTAGGTTGTTTGTTAGTTCTGAAGCATGATTGAGGCAGTGTACAAGACATCACCGGTGTATGAGCAGGCACAATCTCTACTTAACAGTTTTGGGAGGTAACTATTATGGCACCTGAACATATTAGCTTCTAACGTGTGAATGGTAGTTGTAGTTTATCCCTCCGGCCATTTGTCATCGCTTGAACGGTGACAGGTGGTTGCCTTCTAGACCTTCCCGTTACGAACGAGCGTAGCTGGTTTTTGATGATATGGCTTTGACTGCACTGTTTGGACAAAATGGGCCTTGAAATTTTAGATACGTCTCATTAATTTTTTTCACCGCGCGTTAATCCTTTTGTAAATTTTGTAATCAATCAAACTTAATTCATGCTGAAGACATCACTAGCTACGGTAGAATAAAGCATCTTATTTATTTAAATTCAACCTATTTGATTGCACGCATGATCATGGTTTTATGCTAGAACTGAGAAATATCTTTCAGTAGTCTTTTAAGAAAAATTTGAAGTATGAGTCAATAAATATAGACAATGAATAGATTTTACAAAAATTAAATCAACAGTTACCGCTATACCATGAATATGTACAAATTAGCCAGTTAAAATATAAGTATATTCTACGGTGGTGGCGTCGCAGATTTGATTACCTGCAATCGTATGAACAAATGTTAATGCAATAATAAATGGTCCTTCTTACATAAAATAAAAATTTAAATTATACTCGAACATAGGCCTCTCATTTCTGTTGTCCATAGATTTGTTACTTAAGCATTGCTTCAAACAGCTGCTTCGTCCCACTGTGAAAGGAAATATATCTATGCCTGGATTCAGATCTAAACGATGAAAAGTCAGTTGGGCTTTAGCAGAATATGAGATCGAATGGTTTTTTTTTAATTGCTGGACTTATTGCATTATATGCGCACAGGAGGAGGCTCTTAAAATTAAAAAAAAGTGACTGTTAATTCACCATTCGCACCGAAACTATGAGTTTTTCAGAGGAGTATTGCAGAAAGTAGAAATTTATCGATGCATATAGGTAATAACCCGTCTATTTAAACATTTAGTTACATTTCGACCCCTTTATCGTTATTTTTTACTGGCGGGCGACGAGCGCTAGATCAATGTAATTCGTAGGGACGATCTGTAACCTTTGGTTTTTTTTAAGGTTCAAATAAAAGAAATCATGCTTTGACTGAGTACAGACCAGCAATTATGCCATTCTGTTATTCGTTACTTGTGGAAAACACATCTAGACAAATCTATCTTGTTTACTTTATTCATCACCCCAACAGAGTCACCTTCTATTCCAGTGTATAACAGCGCTTGTGATTATTTTCGATTCGAATCAGGTCGCCACAGCTCGATTATTTATCATTGTTTTCGGTGTGGAGCCGCACTCTATTGGTGTCGGCTAGTCGGCTCAAATGTTGACAATAAGCTAATTTCTCGAACACAACATACTCATCTGCGTTGTGTCTACTGCTAGTACTCACGGCTGGGACGATACAGTGTGCTGAGGTGTTGTAAAGTATCCTTGTGAATGAGCGAGTGTCTGTATCGGAACAAAAAGGTATAACAGTGAGATGTTTTCGGCCAAATTGGCCATATTTCTGACCTTATGGGGCGCCGGATGGGCTCTGTATATTGACCAGGTTGGCAAATGGGACTGGCTACAGAAGCACATCGGGTCCGTGAAATTGGTTAACTTCGGACTACTTCCCGCAGGTGCGTGAATATGACCCTTTGTCTGCAGGCACTCGTCGACAGTTAAATACAGATAGGCGCATAATATTTTATTAAACTAGTTTGTATTCAACTAGTTTCTTATAAATATCGTGGTGGGCGGATGTATTATTGATAATGCCGGTATCGAAGGATCCTAAATTGTTGATCATATGCCATGGAAGATGACAGTAGAAGGTGGTCTGTTGCACCAAAGTGTTTCTGTGGGTTCTAATCGGCTTTCTCTATAATGAACGCATGAAAAGACAAAAAGTGCCTTTGTCCATGGCTAGCGGCTGCAATAGATAAAGGAAAGTTTTTTCCGGTCAGAAAAGAAACAAAAATAATGGAAACTAATAAAAATCGAACGTATCCATCATTCTCAAATGTCTCTAAGCAAAATCTGTTCTAAATATGTCTCAAAAATATAGGTCTTACAAGATCCGTGGAGCAACTAAAGTGCAATTGGAATACCTCCTCGCGGAATACAATAATTCAATTGTGTTTAGTCTAAATAAACTGCATAGATAGATGACACAGTGTTAGTGCATAACTCAAGAAGATGACTAAGAGAGATTAGTATGACTTTAGTAAGTAGATAGTCTAAGGGAATTTTTTTGTATTTTCTCGAAGGGAAAGTCAAACCATTGATATAAAAACTAAACTTGGAGTACTCAACGCCCTCTGCTAAGCATTGTACAAATACAATGCAGACTTGTCTGACAAGATGTCTTGGGAAATTGACGCTGGTATGGTATATTGCTTTAAACGTACGAAGCTTTTATCATATCAGCTCTCAGAGAAGCATATTTTCTGAATTTTGACAGTTCCCGCACGAAAAATGCAACGGGAAACGACGGGCAATGGCTACATACTGCAAAATGCAGCGCGTAGATTATCTTGTCTCGTTAATTGCATTTAACGATGAAAGTATTAGAAAGGTCGAACATAAAAAAAAAAACTATTTCTTTACTCTCGATTGCAAACCGTTCCCATTTAGTGAAATAAGAGATCCAGTTGAGCAAAGTTTATTATGTATTTTCTTACTTGTATAAATGACCAGAATGACTAAACACTTCCCGAAGCATTTTCGAAGATCCAATAGTAACAAAGAGCATATCAAAAATACTAGTTAACGAAGGGTATGTTTTCTACTTCGTTTCTTAGTAATAGCTTGGATAGTTGGAATAAAGGGGTTTCGTCTTTCATGCATTCTTTACTAGCAGAATAACTGCTTACTAATATTTTCTATAAGGATCTTCTACAGGCCTCAATTTACTTTGTTTTTTGGGTTCCATGGGAAAGTTTTTTTGATAATTCACTTGATTTATTGCTTATTGCGGATATTTGACATTAGAGTTCTTTAGTGCTTAGAGACAGTAACGGGTCAGATTGGAATCAATAAATTGCGACCAAGTTTTCCAGTCGAAGGCCGTAAGGCTTTAAGCCTTTAGTTTAATTTTCATGTAAATCTTTAATTAGGTATATATACTACGCTACCATATGGACAATTGGCTCAGCAAATCTCATTCAATAACTGAATATTTTGAATGATTCTAAAATACGGAAAGTGCAACCCAGATAGTAGTTAAAAACTATATGTAATGTGCTAGATATAGGAAATCTTATTATTTAGATAGAGATATTAATCTTTTCTTTTTTTATTGCTTTGTCTTTATTTTAGGTTCGAATATCGTGGTGGCCACTCGAAGTAACGTCCTTGCAGCGCTCAACTCACGTAATGGAAAGATTGTCTGGAGAAAACTCCTTGAGGAAGACAGTCGCGGTTAATATTATATAATAATTAGCACAGTTCGTTGTTAGCTGGTGAATCGCCCCCATTAACGTATCTGTCATGTTTCCACTTATTCAACTGACAACTAAAACTAGGTTAAACAGGCTTCGCATGAACCAATTCATCGGATTAATACCATTTAGCTTTCTATAGGGTGAACAATATCGGACACTCCATACGGGTCCGTCACACATTCAAGTGTGTATATGCCAATCGTTTTGTACTCCACGGAATAATATCGCCGTTAAATTACTTTTTAAGGGGAATCTGTCCGAAATTTTCTAAATGGTTCGGTATTATTTTTGCCGAAGGATCATATAAATATCGTTCTTGCGAATGTATAAACAATATTGAGTTTGGCTTTTTACTGAAATTACCAGCCCATCGATGTCTTTTGTTTTTGTGTTCTTGGCAACAATTTATCAGGTAAACGCGTACGATACACATCGGAAGCTTTGTCTGTTTGTCCATTGCCTGAATTATCTTTGTCACGTAAATAGTTATACTAAATTGACATTTCTTTGGCCTACATTTATTTAGGCACCGTCCATGCATTGTCAGTTAGAGGCAGTCCTGTTCTTGTGGCCGGATCCTCGCCAGCTGTAGTACGATCATTCCATCCAAGCAATGGCGCCCTGAACTGGGAAACGAGACTTCCATTTGCTGCTCCGAAGGACTCAGACCAAAAACATTTTATTGACGCTGACGGAATGCGGGTGATCTCAGTGTACACTTCTACGGAACATGTTGTCATATCTGACTTCTCGTATGCCTCCCAAAAGGTAACTATTATTTTCAGAAGCTATCCTCTGTAACACAATTGTTGTATCGGAGTAGGCATTTGGCTAGATTGCAAGATAAGGCTGCAAAGGTCTGAGCAAAGAGGTGAGATTAAGGTGATAATTGGAACATCAAGGAGCAGTCAGACCTCATAAAAGAGGATACTTGTGAAACTTTTTATTTAAGTGTGTTGCTGTAAAGTGCGCATGGATCGTCAAATGTTCTGTAAGTTGTTGTTTAGTTAGACACGTTTCATCTAGATCTATTAACTTTTGCTATCAGATAGCGACAGAATATATGGACGATATTCTATTCGTAAATTGAATAGAGAAATAAGGTTTTATTTTAATCAAAACTTTCGCATAAAGGAGATGTCGTTATTATACACTAATTATTTACTGTGATCTTTTAATGACATTGTAGGTGAAAACATCTCCTCAAATTCCAGCTCCATTTGCACGTTCTGGCCAGTGTACGCTCGTAGGTGGGGCTTTCTTCACCTGTCTGGATAACAACAAGCGCCTCCAGATTGTCTCCCTTGAACATAATTCCCAGGTATCTGTGACATCAACGACGATAGGATAACGATAACGTTTACTATTATGAGCTGAGTTAAATCTAAGTTATAACATACGACGTTGTATTTTCAGTGTGTTATATTCCACCTAAAATACATCGCTTCTAGAACTCAAATTCACTTTCAAAAATTAGTTTAAGTGTCAGAGTTCACTAAAGTAGCAATGGCTTGTAGCAATTATTTTACGTAAGTGAGGCGGTATGTACATAACAAAGTGCGTGGTGAATCCTGTTTGCTTATGTAGGAGTTTGTGCCAACTGAATTGAAGTCTCTGGGTATTTCAACAACATCCATTGAATTGAAGCCACTTCCAGAGGGACCATTTGTCGCACTCCAGTCAGGCAGTACGACGTGGCTGCTTGAGATTATTAACCAAGGGCCTAAAGTGCTAAGCAAGTTCGACGGACTGAAAGATATCACCGGTTTTAAGACTAACGGTCAGTTTAGACTAATAATATCGATTTTAATTTTCTTGTGAATATTTGTCAGTATCTTAAAATTTTATCCAAAAACACTTAACTCATCAACTATGTTACCCATCTACAATTCCGCGAGTGTAAAAAGGTATGCATTTAATACGTTCTGAGCTTCCGTGGAGAAAGTTAACAATGGTAGGTTAGTATGCCGTAGGTAGATAGTAATATATAAATACCACAGGTTATCATTGAAGGATACTCTCATATTAACGTTAGTTACTGCGGCTCCTGTGACTTTTGGTATCTGTCATTACTATAGGTCAGGTTTACCACGTGCTGATACGATTAACAGAGACGTTTTGCCTCAGCCTATCGGTCCTTGATCTTCAGCATAACAAAGAAAGCGGCCTAGATGCCGAGCTGTGCGTGCCGGACGTGTTCTCATCCGAAGTCTCATCTCTCTTAGTCACCGGCATAACACGTAGAGATGGAGCGCTAAGTTATCGCGTGCTGGCAACTACTCGAGACGCTGCTGTCATCATGTTCCAGAGAGAAGGACGTGTCATGTGGAGCCGCGAAGAGGCACTCAGTGAGGTAAATTGGTAGTCATCGTGACAAAATATTTATCCAGTACATTTCCATTCTTTAAATATATTATACTCGCAGAAAGCGAGAAAAAATAAAACATTGATAGTAAACCGGAATTGCTTATGATGATCTGTCGAAAATATATTCAGAGAGGTAATTATTATTTCTGGTAAAATAGTGTTGGTTTTATCGAAATACGCACACCTGTATGATCATAGGTGACGAACGTTCAATTTGTGGACCTGCCTTTATCGGACGTCGAAGCTCAGATCGAAGAAGAGTTTACAGAAAAGTCGTCGGATATCGTGTGTATGCTTTTAAGACGAATTTATTCGCAAGTGCAACAGGTCACTTCGCTATTCGAACACAAAAACCCCCTGAGTAAAAACTTCGGTCTTGTTCGAGATAATTTTGGTTTTCATAAGGTAAGTTTCTTCTTGCTTGGTCGGCAGCTACCAGCATAAAGAGGATCCGCCTCCACTTTGAGACAGTAAGCTACTTGTTGTGCAGAATGTTGTTATAAAATAAACGAGAAGTAGTGTTATACATCTTTGTAATCTAAATGCTTTTAATTAGGTTATAAAATTGACACCAATTATGGAATGTGTCATCGTTTTTTGCTTGCAAAATTACAGGTTCTGTTTATGGCAACTAGCGTAGGGAAATTCTTCCTTATTGACAACCTAAGCGGGGAAATTCTGTGGAGCAAATTCGTCCCCGAAATGCGACCATTCGTCAATGGGCTGTATATTATGGTAAACATCTTTATAGAAGTCCAGTCTCAGAAACATATTTGAATGCCTAACTGGTAGGAATTCTGGCTTCTTTATGCCTTCATCTAATTCCAAATAATAGTCCGGACTTATACGTCTTTTATATTATGTATTTAAGCTTCATTAGATTAACTATAAATGGAACTTAATTATTAATATTGTTTGACGTTCTAGGGGATCATTTGCGCGCTAATAATTACTAAAGCGTACCAACGAGGCCAAAATATTTTTTTTGATAAAGTTCAATTTCTGAATTATTTTTCTTAGGCTACACAACGATCGACAGCTCATTTTCCACATCCACCTGTATTGACAGTCCTTGGCCGGGCTACGTCAGGGGGCTCTCGAGTTTTGTCCATTAACCCCATCACGGGCCAGGTTCTCGATGAGCGAGAACTCCCTTTCACAATCACGCAATCTTCGTTATTGTCTCCAAATGATGACTTCCTTAAGGGAATTCTGCTCTTTGACGAAGTCAACATGTTAGTATGCTAGATACAGCTTTGGACCTGTTAATTAGGCGTCCTTCATATATATCGAAACTAAAACTTAAATGGATGAAAACAGTGAAAACTATGGTACGTTTTTATTCTAAGTTTTCTTACGCCTATACTATCGAAATGTGTTTCTATTCGTGAAACGCTACTTTGGCTGATGCATTTCAGGAAAGTCGAGGTATATCCAACGAACTATGAACACAAGCACTACGTTCTTTCAGCAGCGCGTGATGGTATCCTTAAAGGATTTTTAATAGAAAATGGAAAGCCGAAGGAGTTGTGGATGATGCGACTTGCAGTTGGGTCTCGTATTGAAACAGTCGCCGTTAAGGGCGCCGAGAACGTTCACTCACAGGTACATACATTTGCTATTTATCCGTAGGTGTAATGGTATAAAGACATGCAAGGCACACCTTTTTAGTAGAGTCGTACATTTGTACTGCCTAATGAGTCTATGCTCAGCCGTGAAAGAAATCGTAATTCAGTGAATAACATGACCGGGCCCCGTAAACTACAATTTGTATACGACATGTAACAAAACAAATTCACACCGGATCCATTTTATACATACTAGCAAATATATTCTGAATTCTAGGGTAAAGTAAACAGCAGTTTCAGAAATAGCGCCTAACCGGGGCTGCATAATTGTAGGGTCGCGTGCTGGGGGATCGAACCGTCCTCTATAAATACACGAATCCGAATCTAGCCGCAATGATCACTCACAGCCCGCAACAGGCTTGCATATTCGTGTATCTTGTCGACGTCGTCACTGGAGCAATTGTGTACCAGGGTGTTCACCACAAAGCCCGCGGTCCAGTTCACCTTGTTCATAGCGAAAACTGGCTGGTCTACTCATATATCAATGAGAAAATGCGCCGCCAGGAAATCAGCGCTCTAGATCTCTACGTTGGACTTGAGCAGCCCAATGATACATTCAGCAGTTTTGATGCTCCCCAGCCGAAGATCGAACATGCAACATTCATTTTACCAGATCACATCGTTCAATTGAAGGATACCGTGACTGAGAAGGTAAATGGCAGCCTTTTTTTTCATAGAAATATGATTTCCTTTTTGGTGACATAATGAGAAGCGCAAACTAAATCATATGCGTGGGGAAGGCTAGTCAAAGCTACCAAAATCGACAATATGATTTAGATATTTAAGTAAATAGTTTGTTAAAAGTGCTCTATAATGCACAGTAGTTAACCACTCTTCTTCTTGACTTTGAGATCGCCCAAAGGTTAATTGACCCTTTCGTTGAGGGAATGGATGTTTAACGCCTCAGTGTTTCAACGCTACTGTTAAAACCGTTAAGCCTCTATGAAGGTTCCACCGCTACCTAGTTCTTAAGACTAAGTTTCACGCTCTTATTACCGCAAACTTGTTCTCAGACTCTGAGTTTTACTATGAAATACCATTATGTCATTATTGATATTGTTCTCAAAAAAGCCTCTGTTTACCTACATATCTCATGTTTTTCTTTACTCTTCAGGGCATAACATCAAAGCTGATCTTGGCAGCAAATGCGCAAGGCTCTTTACTTGAGATTCCTAAGAGTATGCTCGATCCCCGGCGGCCCGTCAATCCAACAGCTATGCACCGTGAGGAAGGTCTTATTCCTTATGTTCCCGAGCTGATCGTGCCGCCGCAAGGCATCCTTAACTACAACCAGACTATAGCACGAGTTCGTGGCATCGAAACAGCGCCATCCGGCCTTGAAAGTACCTGCCTCGTCCTAGCCTATGGCTTAGACATGTACTATACGCGAGTGGCGCCAAGTCAGAACTTTGACATCCTTAAAGACAACTTTGATCACTTGCTCATCTGCGCTGTCCTGTCGGGCCTAGTCCTTGCCAGCTATGTAACAAAAGCGTTAGCTGCAAGAAAAGCCCTCAAGGCAGCTTGGAAGTGAGCGACAAGTGGGGAGATTATATGAAAGGGACAATACGTATATTAAAGTCAATCGAAGTGTTAGCTCCCTGTCGGAGCATTTGATCGTCTGCTCTTGTACGCTTTTACAACTAAAGTGACGATAACAGGAAAAAAGAAAAGCAGACGACTTTTAACAGAGCTATGAGGGACCAGAGAAAACAAAAGACGAGGCAGCCGCGGGAGCTTCTGTACTTTGGTAGACTGTTCCATACATGAAGTAACCCGTTTTTCTGGGGGGAGGCTCTTTATTTATGGTAGCAGGTCGATATTTCTCAATTCCTTTAGGGGGTAGTTACTAACACTTAGGCGCATTGTTGTAACAGCAACGAAGCTTATGTAGTTCATACACGCGGTGCTGATAAACAGCAATCTACGTGTGATACCTCGAAGATCGATAATTAAATGTTAGTGTATGGATGCTATTTTTTTGCTATTTTCTTTTCTAACGACGAGAGAAGAAGAATATATGCATTCAGTGGGTTAGTATGAAATTATGTTCTTACCATATGCAATTCTGGGGGAACCAAGGACGAGTTGTGAGCATCTAAAAAGGTTGGAAGAAGGGCAATTAAATTGAAGAAATTTACGAAGGATTGCGTTTAGCAATATACATATATAAAAGGCAATGTAAACTGCATATACAGTTTGTATCGTTGGTGTAGTAAAATAAGTTTCTCATAGTTTTGTCATTTGCGAATTGCGTGAGTGTATGCATGCATGAGATTTATTAGCACGGTTCTTGAGAAAAGCAGAACGGTAGAAAATGAATAATTTACGAACAAAAAATCAATTATTTAGGACACACCCAAGGGCGCGCAGCCAGAGAGAAATGAGCTGTTGTCCGCCGCTTAAGATTTCCGCAGATCGCAACAAAGCAAACCAAAACCTCAGTGGTGACAGCCAGATAATGACACAAGGGTTTATGAGGGAACTCAACGATGTGGAAATACGAAAAAATGTACATATAGTCATGATAGTGTATACCATTAATAAATATTTTATACTTTACAAATGGAAGCCGTTGGTGTTTTTGGCTTACAGGAAAAAGGTCGAACTTGATTTCACTTTTTTTTAATGCCATCTAATTAAATACGTGTACATTTCATAAAACAGCAATTCTTCACAATTACAGAAGTCAACGGAGTAAACTCGTTTAAGAACCTTGTTTGACGTTTCTAACGCACTAAGGAGGTCTTCATATTTGCGTATAACTGATTTATAGCGCATCAACCAGTTTGACTGAAACTACTAGGGAGAGTCACTAAAAAGTAAAGTTGTCTAAACCTTCTTTAAGAAAAATTTCTAGAAATTACACGTTTTTTAGTTTTATGTCTCGTTTTAATAGTTATGTATCTTGTTTGTATACCTTTTTTTTTGGTTGTATATATTGTTTTTCAGTTGTACATCTTATTCTGTAGTCGTATATCTAGTTTGTGTCTCACAAAAATTATCCAAAAATTTAGTCTTAATAGACGTAACTATTAGCGTTGGTCTACCTAACTAATCCTGCCGTGAAAGCACATGGAAATAAATTTCTTTCGCTGGTGAAGACGTGCCGTACAGATACCTTACTGACCCAAATATTTCACCCAATTTCTTATTGACTAGTCCACTCAAAAACTCAATGCACAACCACTCTCCAAATCCGCATAATATCTAAAAATAAAAACAGTTGTCCCCCATATAACAAAATGGACCGACATTTATTTTCTCTTTGTCGTCGTCGTCGTCATCGTCACCTTGGAACTTAAGCAGCTGCAGCAGCTGAACTGAAGCCGCCACCGCCATCGACGACTTCGTAGTTGTTTAATCGAAGAGACCGAAGCCCATGTCTTCATCTTCATCTTCTTCCTCTTCTTTCTCTTCCTTTTTGGCATCAGCGGGCGCGTCGCCAGCGGCAGGTGGCGCAGCAGTTGCTGTTACACCTGCAGGAGCTGCGCCAACGCCTGAACCCACGTTCGTGATAAGGGCCTTCAAGTCGCAACCCTCAAGGGCTTTCGCAAAGAGAGCTGAAACACAAACAAGTGACCATACCAGAAGCGGTTAGGAAAAACGATTTAGTTGAGTTGCACCATAAGATGTATTTCGGATCCCTGCGTAGTAAAAAAAAAAAAGCAAACAACCGCAATAAAAATAACTGCTTGTAGACGCAATTATAGTATTGTTTGCAGTCGTAAAGCTTCTGAAGCGTTTCCACAAGTAGAAAGATGAAACGTACAAGTATCTGCGGGTTATATTGATACTGAAGTCGATTTCATTAGTACTGCCTAATAGTAGCTGCAGCTTGTACATAGATGAAGCCAATAAGTAAAACTCTATTGAATTTTATTGAATCATTTAATTTTATTCTCTTGACCTTCAAAGCATTAAAACTACTACCATTATAAACGGTAAGTCAACGGACCTTAAGACAAATTAATTATATGCTCAGATTCTAAATATTTAGCGATTTAGATAGCAAAAAATAGAGCCAAATTATTACAACGATAAAACAAATTTTCCTCTAGAAGAAAAGCACTGTCACAATGATTCCTCTTCTGGCAAAACTAAGGGAGAGCATTGTCATTAGAAACCCGATTAACCTGTAGAACAGCGATGCGGCAACACCAGTCTTATTTACTTAGTCAAGAACTATTATGAGAATAACACACTGGCCATATCTAAACGCAGGAGCGTTTGAAAAGTCCTTGCCAGCATGACTTTAGCATTGTCACTTCGTCACAAGCATCCGTTTTATGCGTATAAATTAAAGCACGTAATCACTTGCAGCATTCAGTAGAACAGGCAAACTGGCAACAGTACACAATATTGACAGCAATCGCGGTGATGGTGTTGAATTCAGGCCACGTGTTCAAAATGCAATTGTGATAAAACAATTCAATTTTTGTTCTATTTCACGGAACATATCTTAAGATATTACTGCACTGAACTAAGTTCACACTGGCTTCACATTATAGGACATAGGTAAACATATTTTCACAAACCGCAAAGGCTGGATGCACATGGAACTTACTCGGCCAGTAGGGTTCGACCGAGACGTTCGCGGCTTTCAGGATCGAGTTGATTTTCTCAGCGGTGATACCGACCTCATCATCCTGCAGGATTAAAGCGGCGTATACGCAAGCCAGCTCGTCATTGGAGGCCATTTTTTTTATTGGGGTCTTAGTGCACGCTGCGGAATGCTTTAACCGTCTAGGAGCAATGCACCTTCAACGACACACGATGGAAAAAGGACCTCGAAACCGGAAATCAAACGACAGCAACTGGTTGACGGTGTCAGGCGCCGTTCGTGGCGCTGCCACTTTCTCGTTAATTGCGGCAACTGTAGCGCGAAAATTCAAATTTGTAAATTTTAATACAAAGATAAGCTTTCAAACTATTTACTGATGTGTTGTAGAGAACTATGTCTGGTTATTTAAAACAAAATGCACCAAACTAATTTCACATTTTAAGTAGGGATATTTTATGACGGTGATACGTTCCGACATTTTTTTTTGATGTTCTTGCTTTTTTTTAGCATTCGAGACCGTTTTTTAGGATACTATTTCTCGGAAAATGAAAAGATTTGAGTGGTTAACGAATATAGGTTCTCTTTTGGAATTATAGTGGCTGAGGCAGCTCATCACATAAATTCGGTACTCGATCAGGGGTCTACAACTAGAGGAATGGAAAAATACCTTTACGAAAATTTTAAACTTATTAGAGTCTCGAAAAAAACCACTATGAATGTATTATTTACGTTCGCAGTGGGTGCTCGTTATTTGAGCAGTATAAAACTATGGGGAAATTGAACCATACCAAAGTACATGGATATTAGCATCCACGTTACCTGTTCACCTTGATGAAATCATAAAGGTAAAAAAATAAGAAAACTGGATGCCGAGGAATTTGATCCTGGGACGTAAATGGAAATATAGGGATGCTTGATTCTCTTTGCTATCACATTACTGCAGTAAGTGGACGCAAGTGAACCGACACGACATTATCACCCTAAAGCAAATATACAGCTGCAAGAACGCATGATATCGGTTTGGTGGTCTAATATACAGGTGTGCTTCCCACAACAGCTTCCTGAGTTTTTGCGTCTCGTTTCCATCTAAAAAGTAGTGTCAACCTTCGGAAAAGATGGTCAGAAAACTCTCCATAAGGAAGCCAATGTAGAAAGGGATAAAAAGAGGGGAACCTCTGTTGTAAGACAACACTTTACCTTACACCACAAGTATGGCGCTAGCAAACATACAGGGGTTAAAAGCTTCCTGTTATCCACCATACACACCAGGCATTAGTTTTAGAGACTCTTAATTCTTCTAAATTACTATAATGTGGTAACAGGAAACGCACACTACCATGTATACGCAATACCAAAGTGTATTCAAAATACATACTTGATGAGCATCTAGTGAAATTGACCCGAAGATTGAATAGTAATCCAAGACTACCGGAGTCGAGAAGCCCACTAGAAAATAGTCACAATATTGGTTCAAGTCTAAAAGAGTAAAATCCATTGTACACATTTGTTGATTCAATTCCACTAAAACCCAGATGGGTACGTTATATTACGTCACTACGAGTATATGGAGTTTAAAATATGCGCGTTTTCGAAGTTGATATTCTGTTTGCATGACGTTCATGTTAACAACTAAAACAGAATTGCTAGAAAGTTCAAGCAGAAACCGTTGTGTTTACGTTGTTGCATATGGCCATTCAGTCTTCACTAGTGGCGAAGATTCTAGTGAAGGATCCTCGCCTTGCCATTTTTCCATCGTTATTTAGGTCTTTCGTTTTTTTTTACATTTTACAATAGATATTATGTCTTACGTCATCTTCATATTGAAGAACTTGTGAATTTCTAAGAAAGGAAAAATTAATTGAATTCACGAATTAAACAGTTTTTTTTTTATAAACGCACATTGCGTAACCCGTATCGATGGCAGGGTTCGGACCGATATCAGAGCATTAAGACTATGCGGTGGATTTAATTTAATCAGCAAATTTCATACAACGATTTTCACAGCCGCACGTTAATCAATAAATGCCAGAAAGCTTCGTACTGAGTGTCGAAATATTGAATGGTAAGCTTTTCAAAATTGCTGCTTTAGATACGGGCTCTAATGTAATGGTAGCACGAGCTTTACATAAAAGACGATGCGTTAATGTCTTCGAAGATTCACTGGTCAAACCCTTCAAGTTGCTCTCACTTGTAATTCTGATTCACGAAAAATTCTAGCCAAAGTCAGTTCCTAACCTAATATATATACACAGCCTAGAAACAAATAACCTTAAGAAAGACAACTATTTTCTGTAAACAGTAGCAAACACTTTTTATTCGTAGTTCATTATGTGGTTAGATTAAAGCAATATTGCTCCACGATGCGTTGAGGTGCAATCTTCCATTGCCATTAAATAGATTACTTACCACCTAAAAAACCTTCTTTTCAAACGTCTTCTTAATACTTACCAAAACAATCCAATAGGCAATCACGATCTTTGCCGGAGACAAATCCGGTTTACTTCAGCTTCAGTTACCAGCTCCTACAAAAATCCCACCCTCGATTACCCATTAACACGTTTAAGACCAGGCTATTTATTAAAACGATATTAAACCTTACTACTATAAAACGAAAAAGATGCCCACCCAGAGTTTAAGATCATAAAAGCAATGGTATGATCACGATAGCAGTTTACTATAATCTGTTGGTGCCACTTCGAGTGGCCTCGAACAAGTATAATGGGGGGCCCTATTTAATTATAAGGCAGGCGAAGGCTGCTAATGAAACGAATCGGCAACTAACGAAGGCCAAATGAACACTTCGCTGTCCTACATATACTAAAGACACTTTCATCCCGGGGCTTCCCAGGCGATCATAACAAAGAAATCAACTGATTCGCAACAACAAGGCAGGACGGCGGAAAACAATGTGGCGGGTGTCGGTGCCCTCTATTCTACTACGAAAAGAATAAGTCTGTAGTAATGCGGCGGCTGTAGAACACGAATCGTGTACGAGGCGGGTGATTCGGGACGGTAACGTTTTTTTCGTAACGCTAGCGCCAAACAAGGACACTTTACATACTAGTATTTATACGAAAAAAGTGGAGACTGATTGGTGACGAATGCTGCCAAACAGGTGGTGTAGTAATTTAGTAGTAGAAAAGTCTGAGACGGTGTAGCGACGCGGATTTTAATATTTAATAGAGTCGCATAACTCACATCGATAGGTTAACAGTCGAGATCGAGGTAATGTTCCCCGAGGGCAGCCTCGTTAGGTGGTTAACTACGGCACGTTGCGGCATTTCAGTAGACAGTACGGTGGCGGACGGTACTTAGGTAGTCGCGAAGGGGGTGTCGTATGAGATTTAGGCGAAAGTGGCGCGGGGCAAATAGGCTGGCAAATTAATAATCGAATCGTTATGGCACTAATTAAATGCAACGAAGTCTCAAGAGAGTGGCAGCCAATTGTAACAGCACAATCTGCAGTTTGCCTCGAGGCGCTGTAGTGTCAGCAGTCGTTGTGGTCGTGCTCAAGGCTAAAATAAATTGAACTAAAAACTAAACAGACGCATCACGTAAATAGAGCGATTAATAGAGACAAACTGCAGCGGCGGATCCACTATGCGTAAGAGTCTTAGGACATTTAATATGAAGACAACATCGAGAAGGGTTTTGATCAATCCTTTTCGGCGGCGCCAAGTTAAGGGAGATGGTAGGAAGAATTTCTAGTGCTATCAAATTCATATTCGGTGCACACCGAGTCGGGCAGAATTTACGAAGGAGGCAAAGCTTAGTACGACCTTGCCTTCATGTCCAATCTTCTTACGTACCTGAAGTTCATCAGACGCTCCAGCATAAATTATTTATGAAAAGGCGGATTCTCTACAGGATGAAGAACGATCGACTTAAGAATACGTTTGGCAGGGAAATTTCATATTTGCTGAAATCGGTCAATCGTCATTAGAAGATACAAGCTTAACTGAAGATATATATGGGCTGTCGATAAATTACGGGGGTGAATTCTAAGGTCGGACGATACGACCGGATTCGGTTAAGAAGATTCGGTCGGAAGTGGCTGAGAAGCTTAATCCCTCGGCAGTAAATAACGGAGAGTTTTTAAGAAGTCATTGGCTAAAGCACTTTGGAGTTTTTTTGCTTTTTTGTTTCTGTCTATGTTTCAGCTACACTTTCAGTTGGTCGACAGATTCTATATGCAGTTTCTATTTGACAGCGAGAGAGGCGATCGGGCGAGCAGAACGAAATGGAATTGACGGGCTTGCGCATGCACAATGGCGATCTCGTCGAAGCCGGCTGACCACTAACTGGGCAGTGTCACCCCGGCCAAGATCGAGAAAAGGTTTTTGCCTGTTGAAGAAGAGTAGTTTGTGGTTTTTGGTTGTGGTGGTGAGGTGCAACCAAATTAGCGACCGAAAGGAAAATGGGAGAAGACGTTGTCGAGAACACACGCACCCACAAACAGGAGCAGCAACCAACGGACTTAGACTTTCTAGCAAGAAGACGCAGAGTTGAGGATGAGTCGCGTTTGACGATCCACGCGTATACTTTTAATGGCTCAATAATTTGTTTTGTAGTAGTAGTAGTAGTAGTAGTAGTAGTAGTTGTTGTTGTTGTTGTTGTGGCTGTTATTGCAGCGCATTACTCTCTGCAATTCGCGGCTGACACCTGCTACCCCATGAACAGCTACTGGCCACAGAGCAGAGATCCAGGCCGCCGCTAACGGTGGTAAGTACATCTCTATTTTGGTGTTGTTGTTGTTGTTGTTGTTGTTATTCGATATCATCGCTTGCTTCATCATAATGAATTTACAAATAATTTATATAATAATGAATCATCGACCATCACCAGCTTATTCATCATCATCATCATCATCATCATCATAATTACCATCATATAGCAGTGGCTGTTGCTTTTCGACTGACTACTCATTAGTTTCGTGTTAAATGGTATAGATGGCATAGACTGTGGCTTAGAAAGGGAAAGAGAAAGAGCAAAATAATGGAACCAAACGGGTCGCTGTCCCGTCCATACAACAAGAAGAATGAGGACAAACATACAATGATGGAAAAACGAGTTGAACCAAGGACGAAGTAGTGCACTAATCAACTGTCGTCGAAGCTCACTGGGACGCCTACTCAGTACACCAAATTACTAGCAGATTTCAAAGTTTGACTTACGGGCCAATTCCCAGTGGGCAGGAGAGCCCAAGTTTACATCGGGTCAAAACTTAAGGTTGCAAAAAAAGACACTAAGTTGTTGTCCATGATAGCACCCGCGACTTAGCTATTTGCACTTACTCCCCCAGCGGAATGTTTGTTGACGATGACAATCTTTCATGACGATGAGCGAATACAAGCGAATAGGTAGTTATCTTTTATATGAATCGTAGTAGTTGCGTAGTAGTGAGAGTACAGTGTAGGATTCAAGTATCACCTCTCGGTAAGATCAACGGTATATCGGGGGAACAAATGGATTGTTATCGAAAGCCGAATATCGCTGGGAAAATGCGATGGGGGCTGGTAAGGGGCGAAAAAAGGATAGGTACAAAAGCTGTCGTTAAACTGAGCGACAACCTCATTATTAGTGAGCTGTGAAAAGAGTTGCGTTCGAGGAAAAGCCAATTTAATTGACCGTCGCGCATGTGCCCAAAGCCCACGCGAGAGGTGTGTCGTCGCTCAATTTCGATTTAACTTGTCTTTGGCGACTCGAGAGTTGCTGCTGTTGCTATGCTAACTGTTGGCGATACATTTTGCAACGACAACAACAACGCAACGCAATGAAAAGAAAAAGAAGGAGAACAACGAACGAAGAAACAGTTAATCGCTTCTCTGTCAGTAGTCGACTCGTAATGGCGAAACATGGTTGGAGCGCATATATGTATGGGTAGCAATAAGTAGTGGCAGCTGTAATGGTCACACAGTTGTGAGAACATTGAATTTCGAATCTACAAGATCAGTAGTTGTAGCTGGTGTGATAGTTGTACGTGGTTATAATGGTTCGTAGTTAGAGGAGATAGCAGCTGGCTGGGGTGATGATCGTCGTAGTAGCGATACGATGATAGTGATGATTCTGCTGCTGTCTGGGTGTCTATTTCAGTGGAGTAGAGTTGTACGTTGCCTGTAGGTTCGTTCGTTGGTTGTTTGCTCGCTGTAGTGGTGAAAGGTGTGATGATCATGGTAGATAGACGGGTCGCGATCGAATCAGGCAGTTGTACGGACGCGTTCACAGTCGCCCCCGGAACGGGCTCGATCGCAGAGCCGGCCGAGATCGGAAGAACAGCAAGAAGATAAAGAAGAAAAGCAACGTCGCCACGATTGAAGCGAAGAAGTTATACGCGAACGAGCGGCCGCAGCAGTAGTAGTCACCGCCGGCGCTGTTGAAGTCGAAGGTCGTCGCAGTTCACAGTCGATAGATAGCAGATACCAAGATGACAATTCCGCGCACCGAAGTATCCGCTCTCTTATGCGAAGCGATGCTGGTGTCGATCGATCGGTCGGACGCGGTAGTAGAGTAGCTGGCGGACTGGCTGACGATGCTGACGACGACGAAGTTAGCCGCCTCGACTTGTTGTAGTAGCTGACTTTCTGTGACGCGCCCGTTTCCTCTCCATTGATTAATAGTGGCTGCGGAATGAAAAGCGGTTCAAATGTTGCCGGGAGACAGAGGAGGAGCGCAGAAACAAAGAGTCCAGGGACTCTGAACAAAAACTTGACCCTCATGAATTACTGATTGTTGCAAAAAAGCCCACTGCTATGGTACAACACAGCGTCACTTGTTTCGACTCTACCCGTAGTACCCGCTAGCTTAAACTGTTTCGTTCCTATGCGAATTAATTGGCTGACCCGTGTTCGGCTGGTTATTTTGCTACGGAGAAACAACAACAACAGTGAGAACCAAGTTGGCTGCGTCATGGAGGATCACTTTCCGTGCCTATGCACCACGCTTGGCTTGGACTGGCTTGAAGCCAACCGAATCGTAAACAAATATACGTGGAAAGATTCACATAATGAGCAAAGCTACGGCTTACTACAGAGGCTCAGGCTCACCATAGGTTCGCCCTAAAATCGTTATCTCCCTCACACAGAACACTCTGATATGTTTTGATGATGTTCGCCTTCTTGCTAAAGCAACAGAGATCTATCTGCGGAAGAAGTAACGATTGGCTCTGATTTTTCTGCAGTTTGCGTCAAGTTATTCTCTCTCCAAGTATTTTTTCTCATGCTTTTCTTGTCGCTAATCATCAACTATTGTGCTCTTTCTTTCTTTCTTGTTTTTCCTGTTTTATCCTGAACATTTCGAACGCTAGTTTTGCTTCGTGCTTCACCGTCTCATCCAAGAGCATTTGACCCCTTAGCAGCAACAGTGTGGTGCACAGTGAATGTGGTTATCATTTGTAGTTAATGGAATCATCATCATCATCATGACTGTGTGAAGTTGTAATCGGCATTGAATTCGTTCTCGCTCCCCCTTCGACATTCCTCGTTTTTTGTTTTTTGCCCCAATTTTTCCTCATTTTTTTGTTTTTTCTCTCCTGTCTTTCCATTTTCCCCCGGGGTATCGTTATTGTCGTTCGCGTGGTTGCTGATTACCTCTGGCCCACTGGCGACCTCGACCTGTAGCGACGGTCGTTGTCACGACGTCCGCCATCACGCCGTCCACCGAAGTCTCGTCCGCCACCGCCCCCACTGCCATAACCGCCGCGCCGTGAGCGGTCCCCGAACGAATCACGCCCGCCCCGATAACCCCCGGCACCTCGGGAGCCACCAAAGCCTCCACGAGACGAGGGTCCCGAGCCACGGAAGCCGCCGCCTCTACCGCCGCCACCACGGCCACCGAAACGGCCTCCTTGGCGACGACCTCTCGATGGCTCGACACGAAGGGTGCATCCGTTTACGCTGGCGCCATTCATCTCACTGCAAGCCTCGCTTGCGTCACGTTCATCGTCGAATTCTATGAAGGCAAAGCCTGGCGGGTTCTGGGCAACCCACACGTGGTTGAGGTTGCCATACTTGGAAAACTCGCGCTCGAGGTCTTCTTTGAGGACGCCCTCAGAAAGACCGCCGACGAAGATGCGGTTTGACTGATGGTCACGCGATGATCGATGCTCGTACGATGACTAACGGAAGGGGGGAGAAACGAGCCACGCATAAGCAGTAAATAGATTATATCAGTCAGTCAGTGTATGCGAATGTTTGCATTGCAGATTTCGTCAATTCAGATCAGGATACGAATATAAGAACGTTCGAAGATGGTTAGCATATCGATGGCGACCGTAACATCGGATCGTAGACGATAGAACCGCAAAGATCAGAAATCAGTAGATCGATCACGTAGTGGGTGAACCGGAAAGAAAGAAGAGATGAAAATCCGTTACGTTAATTTAACGTCTACTTACTGAAATAAATGTTTATTAGACAGCGTTTTTGATTGGGGTCATGACAGCAAGAAGTTTGATAACGAATACAGTAACTACTATTGACAAAGTCTACAAAATATAATCGAAATCATCATGATAATAAAGTTAATAGTAATAATAATATCAGTTACACATTACAATGCAATTAATATCAATAAGTACACTGGATCGAATCTATGCTATTAAACAGTTAAGATATATTTAATGATATAATAAGTAATTCGGATGATAACACATTGATATTTTATACATATGTGAGATACTCTCATCAATAGAATCGCTTAAAATATATGTTAACTTATGGAGCCTAATTCATTCGTTCCTCTAAAAAATATCTTCTAAAGCGAATAACCGTCAGCCTATATATACTAATATAAGCAGATTTCAACACCCGTACGTAAATCATCAAGAAAATGTCTTACTAATCGTAGCAAGTTGAAGAAAAACTGCGTAATCAGATTAGTGATATTTTTCTAGTAGGTCATTTTTACATACCCAGAGTTTCTAGTTAACTTTTTATAATAAATTCTACTCCATATTTTATATAGAATATTTACATTAAACTGCTTGTTACATTTTTTTTTTATAAACAATACTCATGATATAAAAGCAATGACAACCCTGCTTATCGACAAAGTGCTAATTTTGTTTGTGGCTAGCGTCTGGCAGCTTTGACTACCCAGCCAAACCTTAGCACCGAATCGACGCCTTTAGGACCTCTGTGTCGCCCGGCGCAAACAAACTGGCTTAAGGCAAACCTTTTTCTGTGTTTGTTTGCATGGTGTAGCAGCGTAGTAGGCTTTAAATATCCTGTATAGTGTCACATACAAGCGGCAGTGACATTGTGAGCGGGCGATACAGAGAAAACAATTTCAGGTTCATGTTGCCCGCCATTGCCTTGATGAGGCAACCGACCAGACCTACTTTTGTGATTACTAAACCTTATATTTCACAGCGTATATACATTCACATTGAATTACCACGAGTTCAAATAAGGCTAATACCCCGGAAACGCACTTGCTGTTGATATTTTGTTATATAAATGTGGGGGTCTCATTGTTACAAACGGCAGGCATATCGTAGTAGCCTCCTTCTCCACTCAAACAACTGCACAATGAACCGGTTTTACGTGGCTATGGGAAAACCTATTCTGAAGACGGTAGCGTCTACACTGACGGGGAACAATGTCGGGGGTTTAAGGAAACGTCGAGTCGATAACATCTCCCATTAGAATAATAGAGTTGTATTACATAATGGGGCCGTATTGTCACCAATGCAAAGAACCAGCCACCGAAGGTACCCCTTTTAGCGTCTGTTAGCGTGCGTGTCTACTTGATTGAATATGCAGGTGAATTACGATAGCGTTAGCAACAGTGCTTCAAAAATATCCGAAAAAAGCTTTAATCATATTATCATATTTGTTGCTTCCTCAGATCTCATGATCAGACGTGTTCACATGAAATAACGCTCTTCGTACATTACTAGTCATAGCGGACCGGGAGATACCACAAACCAATGCTGTGTTACATGAACGGTTGGCGGTCCGTTTTTTAACTAAAGCAAGAGAGTTTATTTACGGAGAGTGGACATGTCGCAGGCTAATTTTTACGGTTAATATATTTATCCTCTATTTGGACCGCTGGCCTAAGTCGGATGAAAGGGTCTGCACACATGGATGTAGGCTAACCGACACAGCACGGGCTCATAACAATTAAAGCAACGAGCCAATCATCTGATCATAAACACTTTCCCTTGCGTTTTTAACCTATTTAAAGGTGCTCCAGTTGTCTCAGCTTTAATCAAGCATTAATAGGCACTGCAATGTATGGTTTATACTTAAAAATTCGGGAAAAACTCACCATTTTCCACACAAGCCGGGAGACTCCGACGGAGGCTGAAAATAGGATGCCGTTGTAAGCGGAACGAAAGAGCTGGGTGGCGGCTTGGATTCCCGGACGGCGGGTTATGTGAGACAGCGGTTCGATGTTAAAGCGTCGAAGACCCTCGGCAGAGCGGTTTTACCCTAACAAGAGCACAGGTTACTGGCTGAAACTTGTTGAACTTAACGACAAATAGTAAACAGTATCGAAATTCGACGTTTAAAAAAAATAATGCATTATTTCAGTCGTTTTTAGCTAGGCTATTATGTCGGCTGACGCTTCGCGGAGAGGTTTAAACCGCCAATCAGGAAGGCGGTGCCTCTCGCCTCCCCGCCACAAACTAGATCCCGAAAGTAAGCTCAAGGAAAATGCCTTTACCTAGTATTTATACACGCGTTCAAATTGACAAGTTTGTAATAAAGTTGCATGGTGAAGGTTTAACTATGACAAGCGAGATGGAGTGAGAGATTTAGTAGCTTTTTGCGTTGCATGCTTGACAAATTTCTTCACGGAAGATTGACTAAAGGGCTCAATTTTTATGTGTGGTTGCCTATTCAAGGCCGTTGTTTCAAAGCGCAATTAAATTGTTGTATTACATAAGAAACAAATAACATATTTTATTACGAAATCCGGATTCGATAAAGAAACTATGAGAAAATACTTCACAAGCTTGTATTAATTGGCTGACGCGACTTTCTATCATGCGTTAAAGTTTCTCCGGGCATTTACAACGCGAAAATTACTTAGCATTGTAATACTTCAAAATTGAATTCGTATTTTAGCGTAAGTATTATAAACCGCGTCGTACATAGCGTAGGCTAGATTTTTAATCTTTTATGGACCATAACCAGGCTCAAGTCGTGAGTTATACGGTGCTGATTATGGCATGCCGAAAAAGGACCTATATTGGTGCCGACTATCTGGCAAGTCAATAATGGGAAGGATATTTAGACATCAACCGTCATCTCGATTTCGGTTTTTATATGTGAAGCGTACTCATTTATGACGATTTCCTGTAACGCGCCAAGCGCCGGCGCCTTGGTTGCAGAAGTCCACATCAAGTCGCCAGTGCGATCTTCGTGCCAAGTCGTTCCCAAACCAAGCGCCTCACTTACTTGCCTGCTGTGTCAGTGACTGGACCTAGAGATTCGAAATGGTAGGGACCAAATACACAACTTCCTATATATATATATATATATATATATATATATATATATATCCAAGCGAACAACTGTCTATAAATATATCATGTTGCGTTTCCACATTAATATCGTAGACGAATTCGTCTACGTAGATTTAATTTATGGATTATTACATTTACTAAGAGAAACCTATCTTCGGAAGTGCAACTTTACTCCATACGAGGGATGACACATATTTTAAAAAACATAAATAGATTTATCGCGAGTGAACCTTTTATCGTGTGGCCTTATTGAGTCTGTGATGCTTTACCGGAAGACAGACGAAAAGATCTTGTCGGTCCTGATACCCAGCGATGTAAGGCATCAATGTGGGTCGGCAACGACAGTCGTTGTGAACTTCGGGAGGAGATGACAATTTGCTTTGTCGTTTTCTACTTTCTCTTTTGTTTTTTTTCCTTTATTTATTTATAATACTAGAGATAACATATCTTTATTTAGTTATGATAAGGTCGAGATGACGAGGTTTGTTCTACTAGAGTGTCCTAACTGGCTGGAGGTAGTCTTACCGCGTTAACTCATTAGGCCTTAGGGCTATTTTTGTGCTGTGTGAACATATTTTATGCTATTGAATAACCTAGAGTGATTATTGTTAAGTTTGTTTTCTGTTAAATTTTTGTGTTTTGGAAAATTTAGTTAATGCACTTTCCAAGTCCAGATTTTTTATGCACGTTGCTTCCACAGGCTTTCGAAACCTACATATGAAAGGTTTTTAATGTCGGCCAATCTGAAACGGTGCTTAAGATTTTCGAATTTTATCCAGTATTATGCTACTCCGGGCCTTCCATCTTTATATGCATGCGTGTACACGATAAGTTCAGTGATATTTACCGGTGGAAAGGCAAACGTAAGCATATTATAGCCCATTATGGGTCTTCTGGTAGAGCTTAAAAATGTCGTTGTGAGCTCAAATTGTGTGGGTCGCGGTGCTTTCGTGGCTCCATAATCAGGTCCACTTTTGGCATAGACAGTTGCTTAATGCGGAAATGGGGACAGCCGAAAAAACGTATTAATACTGCCGTTTCTTAATTTCTCTCCAAGGCCGGCGACGGTGTACATAATGGCTACACTGAATTGTCTCATTATCCGTTATTCTGGTCGGTCACTATATCGTTGCGTATTGTTGCGTCGATATTTTTGATAAAAACCTGTTACCTGCGTACTCCGATCTTTACTCTATGGTATTGTCTGAAATAAATAATCTGTAGTAAAACTTTGTAAATCGTTTATTTCACGTTAAATACTCTTTGGGAATGATTTAGATAGTCAGAGACGTTTTAGGTGCAATATCGATATTTTCCTATTAAGCAGTTCCCTCGTTAAAGATCTGTCTTATATATCACTGTCCGCTAAAGAAAAATGTCTTAAATTTTCTTTATCGCAGCAATTTTTTTCGTTTTTGTATCATAAGAAGGCTTATGTGTCGATATTTGCTTATTAGGAAAATCTACCTTCTAAATTTCCAAATAAAGTCCTACACATAATCACATATACGTTTTGCTAGACATTTTCTTGTCTTGTCATTCCTACACAACAATACATGTCTAATGTAAATCCTTGCTGTACTGCACCCACAAACGTTGTGTGATGGTACGTCTTGAGCACACGAACAAGTTTTACAAAACGTTGCAACTCCGCTTGAAAGGCGCGAGGACTCGACATTAGAAAACTTGGAAATTTTCGATCGCATGCGCCAGTCTTCTGCGATGAATAAGCTTTCTATTAAGATCAAATAATTAGCTTGTGTAACAAGACACTCATGCAGCGCCTATTTCAGCCGTCAAGAGTTGTTATTGTGGTTAGATGTGCATGATGGAATTTACCGTGGTTGTGTTTCGCCGCGACTTATACGGGCGATGGTTTGGCTTTCATATTTACACATGGTATATCCCAAAGTGACGATTTTGTTTATGTACCGCGCTTCGTTTCGTCCTTTTTTGATTTAGTGCAAACTTTCAAAATGAATTCGATAAGCAACCGATAGAACTGGTGATACATTGTGCAATGTAAAATGTAATTACGGTGTTTATCTTGGTTCAGTATCGAATGAAATGATTCGGTGTGCAATTTCTATATTCGACCCTTTATCACTTGGCAGTGAAACATTTGAGCGTTTTTGCATTGCCATCGTAGGAATAAGACAATCTGAAGCCTCTCCTGATGCATAAAGACGGTTTTTTTTTTATCATAGAGTTCTACCAATTGTTCACATAATTTCCCAGGTTCGAAATTGCCATCTTGGCATCTATGAACCGCACGATTTGTCCTTCCTTATTTGTTATTATTTACTACAAGCACAGTGAGATGCGTAGAAATGCCTTTTTAGAGTCGCCATAAATGGTGCACCGTATTAACTACCTGAGAGGGGCCGAGTTTGACCTTAATTTAGGCTTGGTAATTTTTTAAATAATTTCTAAGTTCTTAATATCAGCCTACCACGCAGTTAGTTTTACTTATAATAAATATCATAATTTTCCGTATATTCTTTTGTACGCACTCGTTCGTATGTGATTACACAACGCCATAAGCTAGGCCTTAAGCGGACGTAGCGGTGCTGAGATAATTCACTTGTTGCAAAGAAAGCTCGGCAATATATCCGTCTACTACAAATTTTCCTTTCTACTACTATTATAGTTCATTATAAACGGTATTTTATTATCAGTATATTGGAAAGTATACAAATTTATAAATATAAATTTATAAAAAATGTATATATATATATATGAAAGAGACAACGATACGATATATCCTATGCGGGCACACATAAAATGTAAGAAGTTTAATACAGGCCATTGACCCTATTTCTGTTTGCATTTTTCTATCTGCTTTTTCCTATTATGGTCCTATAATCAATACTCATCATCTCTAGGAATCATACGGAGATCAACGTCGTGGAGGACCTCGTTTTGGCGGAGGCGGCGGTGGAGCTAGCTTCCAGTCGCGTCAGCAGGACAACCAGAACCGCATTTTCGTAGGCGGTATTGGCGACAATATCAACAAGGAAGATCTCGAGAACGTCTTCTCAAAGTATGGACGTCTCACGAATGTTTGGGTGGCACAAAATCCGCCGGGCTTCGCTTTCGTCGACTTTGGCGACTCGCAGAACGCCAGCGATGCCGTTCAACAGATGGACGGGCAGGAGCTAAACGGCTCAACACTCAAAGTGGCGCCTTACAGGGGCCGTAGCAACAACCGTAGCCGTGGCGGTTTCCGTCCGGGAGGCGTCGGTGGTCGAGGTGGAAGCGGTGGTTATGGTGGGGGCCGCAATGGACATGGGGGCTATACCGTCGGGGGCGGATATGGAGGAGGCCAAGGAAGTTACGGAAGTGGAAAAAGTAGCGGTTACCAGCGTAGCGGTGGTTATGGGGGAGGCCAAGGCGGTTACGGTGGAGGTGGATATGGCAGGGAGGAATACAACTAAGCCGGGTAAGTTGAAAATGAGGCATAGTGATTAGGAAAGACAACCTTGAGTCTGTGATTTTTTTTGCTGTGAAGGAATCTAAGCAACACTTAGTGATGCCATTCGCTTAACTATTGTAACAGGGTTATGCTCGAAAACTCCATTGCTGTCAAATTGTGGTTACTTACCCAGGTGGTAGCAGTATTGTTTGTGATGATTTCTATTACGGAGTGTGAATTGAGCGTGTGTTTTTCTTTTTCTACAGGATTTTTAGAAGCGAGAGTATATTGTAATTATATACTCAATAGAAAACCACAGAAATTATTCTGTTTTTGTCTTTTATATAGAAACTTGTCTTTTATAAGGTGTGTATGCGTTTGAATGCGTTTGTTGCCAATCAATTGGATATTCAAAATGTGACAACTGTATAGGCGTTGACGACTTCGTCGAAAGCACTCCAATCTGACACGCTCCTAAAAAAATTTTTATTTTTACACAGTTTAAACAGCACCACAATAACAACAAGAGCAAAGTGATCTCTTCTTATGGGTGCATTCGTTGTAATTTGTATTTTCGAAGTGCATATCTTAGTATCGAGTAATTGCGTTTAAGAAATGTATATTTATGTAAAAGTACCCGATAATGTTGTAATCGTTTGACTTTGATCGTTTGCTCATTGGTGAAATTTGCAGAGATTACTAGGCGAGCCCAATGACACCCAGCCACCATCTCAAGTGGATGACGATTGCTTCTTGACCTGCCATGGTTCCAAAAAGGTCGTAGAAAATTAACAAAGCCACCCAAATGAGAGAAAAAACAACTAACAGCACAAGAGGAGTCACTTAGCATAGAAGCGAAAATTTATCTGCGTCACGATTTCCATATTTAGATAGCATAGGAATACTACTCTTCACTTGTACATCTTTCTAAATATAGTAACAAAAAGAGCAAATCAAAACAAAAATTAATTCGATCATACGCTGTTAAAAATTACTAGATATCTGGTTGTACGCCAAAACACAAGGATGAGCAACGGTAACTTCTGAAGTGATTCATGTTATATATATTTTTCATTAATTACAACAGCAACTATAGTAGGATTCCTCTTTGTCAACGATGGCGAATTGCCAGATAAATATGAGACTCATTAGAAAGCGACAAGTAACAGACATTTCGATTCACAAGAAAAGATGATTTTGACCTTTTTAAAGCCATAGTAACGATGGCGGTGAAGAGACTGAGAATTTGTGAAAAATGTCGCGCCTCAGCCTGAACATCAGGCCGGCACCGCTCCTCCCGTTTTCTACTGAGAGCATCCACTGCGCATCTCACACGCGACGATGTGTTTGACTAGCACTGATAAATCTGATAACTCGACCAGTTAACAAATAGCTCATATGCCTGTTATCTATAGCTGACAAAGGCATCGCTTGTACCCATAAACAACAACACATCACACAGATAATATTGAGATAATACCGATGTCTAAGGATCTATCGGCAGACGTTGTCGCCAGGTATTAGAAATTGTCATCTAATTGGCAGGTCGAGTCTTCAGATTAGAAAAGTAAAAGAGATAAAAGGAGATCAGAAGGGTACTGAAAACCTGTTGCGTGATGTTACATGATGATGAATTGGATGTGGACCTGTAGGGCGCTGGGGTGAAGTGCCGAATTTCACGTATGTTTTTTGCTTGGAGGGGCAGCGGCCTGGCCTACTATTCATCAGCCACAATTGGTCTCAGCTACATGCTAGCTCATCATAGATCAACTTAGTTTTTACAGATGGCTGCTTGCAAAAGCAAGCAGTCAAATGTTTGTACAAACAATGTGTATTTAACGGCTATACTTTAGCAGATGTCGCTACCAGCGTAACAGTATAATTGATGATTTAGTCGTAGTTGTGGCCTTGTGTTCTTCTACTACAATCTCTACAGCATTCTGTAGAGATTGTTAATAGGGATGTTGTGTCATATACCATAATAGTGCATGTTGATGCTGTTACCATGACAACGGTTATTGCTTTGACTTCGATTGCCATGGCAATGTCAATGACGCTCCCTATGGAAATGTTCGCCGGGTTTTTCATGCGCTAAACGTCGGTAGACGTGCAGAGTCTATGTACGTCGTCCAGCCTTGTTAAACGTTGCCCCTCCGGTGGAATTTATCACTGACCAATGACAACTTGACCATCTCTGAGATTTCCGAAAACCGATCCAACAATCAAGCAGCAGCCAGGAAAGTTGACAAACCACATTGCCAAATAAAAACGACAAATAGACAAATGACAAACAAAAAATAACGAACGAACGAAAACACACAACACATGCAACAATAACAACAGAATATTGTAAACTAACGAAAAATACGAGTAAAGAGACAACAAGAAAATTATACAATATAAACCAGTTCCTACAGAGTTTTGGAATTACATTCTGCTATTTGACACGTAACAGTGTTATGACATACTGACATTGATGAGTACTGTACAAAAAAGAGATTGTGATCTGGCCGGCAGTTTCTGCCAAGAGTTGACATTATTGAGTCGCGTAAGGACCTTCCCTGCCAACTCGAAGACACAGGACGTTCATGCTGACTTCTTAATCAATCTTCAACGATGAGAAATTTATAATAATAATATTGATATGTAGCATATATGAATACTAAGGGTGTTATCAAAAACTGAAGATGACTTAAACCTAGAAAACAGTACTAACAGACAAAATATGCAAACAACCAATAAATGTAGTAAAACAACAATAAAATACGAACATTTCCGATATCAGCTGTTTTGAGTACAAGTAGCCAAAGACGGCTTTTTTCGTGAATAACAGGCTTGATGTTGTGACAATGGATTTCACGTTTTTATGTACGCTGAAATGTTTACTGCCTACCCTTTTGACAAGGGCCGTTTTCGAGCGACGCTATATAAGAAGTAAATGTTTGCTAGTTTTCGAGAAAAAAACAGTGAAAATTAAATGACAAGGCCCATCTGAGTCCTACTTAGCGGCCGCCAAACACGATCTTTGGAATAATACAGTTTCCAAGACTGAGGAATCATTTGCTGCTATAATGATGATCGTAATAATAATGGAGGATAGTGTTTATGTTCAAAATAAAATTGGTGTTGATATCTATAAGATTTGCGTGGTCTTCGTTTGTCACACGGATTTTTTTGTATTTGTTTTTGTATGGTAGTTAGGAATGAAGTAATTTCAACCGTATAAATGGTGAATATTAAATGGGAAACAACTAAGTGGTATTTTCATATCAGTTGTTTGCGACTTTTGTCCAGATGAGGAAGAGTGATAAATTTTACCGAACTTGTGTTAAGCAAACTCGTCTTAAAGGCGACGGATTACAATTACACACCTAATTAAGCGGAATTTAAGTAGATCATTACCTTAAATGACAAACATTTTATTGAGATAAGGGAAAAGTTCGCTATCCAGTGATCTTGCTAAACGAATAAGGGGATAGCTCTTCCTGTTTCATAATTGATCACTTAAGTGGCTATTAAGCGATTAGGATTTTAATTTTACATATAATAAAACCATTAGTTAAATGTTGTTGTGTCCACCATTGTCAGTTGAGATGATATTACAGTCAGTCAGTCTTAGTAAAGGTTTACTTAATCAAGCGACCTGTGCTAAATATTTGTAATCTCTTCAAAGGAGATTTAATAAAATAAGCCAGTACGTAAATTGCGGTAGACAAGGTAAGAAGAAATAACACCGAGTATAACACTCTCTCATGCATATAAGAGTTAGTCCGTCTAATTGCTCTTATCTCACAGGCTAGCTTGAAATTGGGAAAGAATTATTGAAATGAATTTTGTATAAAGACAAAATATATAATAATGAAACTAGATAATCAATTCATGCTATATATCTATACATCTCGATCAAATTATGTCCAAAATAGGTCGATATGTTTATTTTAGTAACTTCGTAATTCTATAGAGACTTAAGTGTTTGCCTTATTTCGAACTACGTTTATACTCAGTAGCGAATATAAATGCGAAATAGACTCTAACAAACTTCATATTACGATGTTACAAGCGAATCCGGCGGACTTTGAATTTAAATAGCTTTTAAACTAGTTGGACTAGAATGATGATTTTTTAAATATACATTAAAGGTACATTTTTCAGACTTGTTTCAACGCTTTGGTAGTTACTGAACAGCCACGTACCTATCACTTGCGTTCACATATGTAATTTCTGTATCTATAGCTTTTTGAAGTAAATCGATAATAGGATATGCTTGCCCATCAGTTTTCTCTTTAAGGCATGAAACGCCCCGTAATCACATGGACTTAGATAGGGAGAATAAACGGATGAAAGCCATCGTTGGATATTCCTATGCTCAATCCACGAAGCAACTGAGACATAGCTGTGAGGTTTAGCGTTGTAATCAAGCAACCAAACTGCATGGTTTTGATTGTCGTGTTAGCGGTCCATTAATCTCCTAAAGTTGAAGTAATGAGCCGCATTCATTGTTTCATTTTCGGTGCGTTTTTCACAGTAGCGGATGTCTATTGCACGTATTATCATCACCTTACGTCCGCACCCATTCGACACTGCACCCGAACTCGATTTCTCTTCCGAACGACGCCATTCCCTTTCCATCTCACAGATAGAACCATTTTTTGTCCATGGACACCATATGGCCCAGGCCGGCTTTTCGTTGATCAAAATTCCGTAAATAGCACGTAAAATATACCAAATGCGTTTCCAGCTGGCTTAGAATCAATTCACCAACGACATATTTGCTATTCAGTTATTACACTTTCAGTACTCGTGTTATAATTGTGTAGCATATGACATGGAAACTGTATGTTTTGGCTAACAGACTTCTTGGACTCTAAACTTTGGTTTCGTGAAAAGCATTCTCAATTGCAGTAATCCGTTCTTGTCTTTCGAGTCCCAATATACCCGGTCACCCCTCGCTGGTCTACAATCCCAGTCTCCGTTTTTAAAACGTTTACGCCATCCATATAGCGTGCATTGTCCTAAACCCTTCTGGTCTAACGTCTTCACAAATCTTCGACTAATTTTCGCAGCGTTGTAGTTTTTGAGAAAAAAACTTGGACAACTGAGTCCAAGTTTGTTGTGTTTAGATGTTTTTCCTACTAAACTCATTTCTCCCAGAATAAATTCGGCTTTCATTTAAAAGTTTCAAGAAGATTAAAACACTGACGAGCTAAATTCGTCTGCTAGCAACGTGTAATTCATAAATTATTGAATTTTAAAGTCCGCCGGATTTGCTTGTAAGAGCCTAAAAGAGTAGTGATATAAAAATGAGCATAAATCTAAAAAAAAAGAGTACGCCCTTGTTTGAAAGTTTAGTAGCACTTCAAGCAATCGAAAACTTAGTATTAATTCTTAGGAGACAGTCACTGTAAGCGAAAATTGTAAATACAAAGCCGGAATAACGAAAAATTCAGACGCGAAGCTGATATAAAATGTACTTTCACACTAGGATTCAAGAGCTAACCTTTTCGAACTGTGATAATTTTAACAGTGAATTTGATTAAAATTTATATATAGATAAATTTTAATTTATGAGGAATAATGTGCTCAAAGAAGGTTACATAGTCCTGATTTAAATCGATTCCAGACTTCCTCGGAATGAAACTATCCATTCATTAAATATATTTGAAAAACAACTCTTGCTTTGCTGTAAATTCCTTTATTTGCATTACAAAACAGCCCATATATTAATGGTAACAATTTTAATCCTTATTTATGTGCACTCCGTGAGAGAAAACGTATAAAAATGAATAAACCTCTTCTTCGAGCAAATGACGCCATCGATATTCATAGTAGTATACAACACCATTTCTTGTAAAACAAACAGAGAATGTTCTAGACACTAGGTAAAATTTGTTTGTGTTACAATGGACGTGTTTGGCAAAAGTCAATACTGGTTAGGAGTTGTTGACAGCATGAAGGCATAATGAGGACTGCCGTCTCGTTAATAAGTTACTTAAGTCTGGTCGGTTTATGACCAAAGCTTTCCTCAACTAGCGCATGTATGGCGGCCCTGATGTTCGGATGTTTTTCGAGCACCTCGTGGAAGCTGTCTACTGAGAGACTGAAGGCTGCACAGTACGTCTCTGCCTTCACCGATACCCTGCGTTCGCACTGTACAAGAAGACACATCTCTGTAATTGTGCACGCGCCACCAGATGGCACCAGTCGTCAGGTACTTTGAGAAAGTGAGCTAATCGCTTTTGTTGAGCTTCCAAGCTCATCAAATCATTTCTAGAGGCGGGAGTATTAGCTAAATTTGTACAAGTGCTAACAATGTGAGATTAATAATTGGTTAGCTTTTATGCTCCCATTAACTAAGTTGTCTTCACCAATTAAGTGGCTTTTTCTTGCCGATTAACTAAATAATTTGCTCTGATTGTTTTTTCGAATCGTCTAATTGAAACTATTCAGTCTAGATATGTTGGTAGACTATAATGATGTGTCTGGCAATATTACATAATGAATCAATTATGAAAGAATTATAATAGTCGGCTAGAAAGAGCCCCATACCTCCAAAATAAGCGCCATCACGCAGCCATAGAGGACCTTTGTCAGTAAGAATGTGGACTCTTCCACTTTGCAAGAAGTACATTTTGTAACCAATGCTACCCTTCTTGATGATCAGATCCGAAGGTTGGAAGAACTCATATTTCAGATGCGTGACGAGGTCGCTAATGAACGCGTCATCGATAACCGTCGAACAACCAAATAGCGGCACTGAGCGAAGAGCCTCGAGACAATTTTGCCGCATCACCATCTTCAAAGATTTGATATAGCCAACATTTAAAGAGAAAGATTTTATCTGTATCGCCCGTCCTAGGGCAACCAGTATTTTTTCATATAAGTAAATTGTGTAATACTGGATTTCATCTATTTTCTTTTTCAACAATCTCCGCTCGCCAATCATTATAGTTGGAACAGAATATTAAAGCAGCACTACTAGCGTGTACTTTTATCACGAAACATATGCACCGATTAGAAGCCTTGGTGTTTCATAGTTAGTGATCTTAGCAATAAATGATTATACAAAAAACAAAAAACACCGAATTTGCGAATTGAGATGTGTTGGTAGAAGGCCTTTAAAATGTAACACAGCCCTAGAAACATTGAACAGACTTTAATGATTTTGCGGGTAATTCTCAATTATTTTCACTATTATAATTGTTATTTTCATTCTTTGTTTTCTAAACAAAGGAAAGCGAAGAAATTCTGAGAAACGTATTCTATATTAGAGGACGTCAAAGTTTACAGGAAATTTTGAATGGCCAATGGTACCTTTCTGACATAAATTTTTCAAGACTGTTTCGTTTTTTTCTTTTTTACTTCAAAATAAATGGCACTGTCTGCAAATGTGTTTTCATCTTACAGAGTGAAAAATGCAAATAAATTTCACGAAAAACGTCAAACTTATCTAGCATAAGATTAAGTAATAGTCTAAGCCCCCTGTATATTAGAAAGGCTACTACCTCTCGAAGTGGTTCAGAGAGCACGTTAAGAATACGCTCCTCATCAAAAACTTTTCCTCGGTACCTCCTGTCAAAATAATCTCGAATCTTCTGCCGCATGCTTTCAGGCAGCGATCTATACGCCATATAGTCCTCCACCTCGCGCATCTAGTAGTGAAACGAAAATGAAATTAAATCGATCAATTCCGAGCGAAACGTATTGAAATTTCATGTATATTACCAATGTATGTATATAATGTGCTCTTTTCGCTGCGTGCTCAGACTCATCCAGACAATTGAAAGAGTTCGTTTTTCAAAAAACCGTCACAAAGACGCTAGAAATCGAAAGATTAGCTTAACATTAATGGCACAAAGTGCATCAGAAGGACGTACTTATGCGTAGATCTATTACGCTCATTAGTTTTTATAAGTCTTCCACACAGGCTTACCTGTTCCATGCGAAGTCGCGTGGAAAAGTCGAGGTTCTGTATTAACGACGCAATGTTTCCAAGCAGAAGAGCGTAACAAGTTGCTCCGCCAATCATCCCTAGATCACATTGTATATAATATTTATCAGTTCACTAGATTACGGATTCGGTCTTAGATTTATCGTGGTTACAATTGTGCCATAATGATAATAATGGTGAATAGCTATCTAATATGAAAGGAGTCTCAAAACTAAACCAATTGGCATAGCTATACTCAGGTCCTCAGATTTACATACATACTGGCGTGTTAGCAGTTACAAAAATCTGAAAAAATAACTATGATCCAATCTTACGAAACTTATCCACCTACCTCTTTTCTAATGAATATGAGGAACATTAGCACATAAATATTTCATACAGTCTGTGTCAATAAAAATGTTTATTATTAAATAGCTGCGCGATCTTAAAACTACTAATTTTTGTTTTTGCCAATTTTCAAGTCACAAAATAAATAATATGTTATCTGGTAACACATTTTTAACTACTGCAAATAGCACTACAATGTAGAATGACTAACCCATCATCGTAAGAGTCATGTCCGAGACAATTTCGGGATTGAACTGTCCATAGCCAATGCAGAGCATCTGTGAGGACGCGTTAAACATTGCCCAGATGTATTGTTCGTACCTGTCACAGAAAAGTGTATCAGGATGCTATTTCACCAAATACTATATCGCGAATTAACCCAATTTAAAAATCCACCTCAAATTTCTAGGAAATTGAGATGATCTCCGCGTAGTACCTAATGGTCAGATATTCTGTGCCGGTTTTATGCCAACAAAATAGGCACAATCGATACTAGATCTGGCTTGTGGAAATGTTATGATTTAGCGTCTTTTTTTGTTGTTAAGTTGCGTTTATATACAAACTAAATGAATAAATACACTTAAATACAATTGATACACAACTCAGAACCCAGCGTAATTAGACTAGCAAGTATCTGGCAAGTCTCCGTAAAGCTCCCTGCCTATAGATGCCGCTTCTGAAAGATCACATTTGGCACAGATTGCGTGTGGATTGAAATGCTAATAATCACCATGCAGCGCCTCGGAGGTTATGTTTTATCACCCAGGACTTCTCCGGAAAATCAAGAATCACGCAGACAAGAAATTGTAAACAGGCATTCCAATGGACGACACAAAGCATCATGAGGCCGATATTACAGATACGTAGATACACGCCTGACGAGTGCAGGAACTAATCAGACAAGTGAAAAGGGCACATGGAATCACATAGTATAATGCACACATTTTATCTTTATAGGAAAAGCATTAGGTTCTTCAGTAATAATTTTGTGCGGAATTTCTATTTTTAGTTTTACTTTATTGACTGCCCTATATAAGTTCTATAAAAAAAATACTTGTAACATACATTATGACATCTAATATAAATTCCAATCGTACATTTAAAATTTTTCTAAGATCGTTTTTCAAAGTACTCACGTAGTTCTCCTGTAGCCCGTACCAGTAGCCGATTAATCGAGAAAACCGTAACAGCTTAAACAGGTTAATCAGCTTAAGCAAATGAATAAGTCGAAGAGTTGGCTGGAAGTCTTTCCCTGAAAATTTAAGAAATATACATCATACTGGTACGCTAATGGCGTCAAAGTCAGAGATATCTGATAGTTTTATCATTATTATTACATGTAGGTACTTCTCAATATCATTATCGTAGTAAAATTTATATGTTACTCTTTTGTGTAAAGTTCATCTTTGCTTCGGTCTGACCTTGATTCGGGACTATGGTTAAAGACACAAGATCAAACGGGATCGCTGAGATGAGGTCCACGAGAAACCAACGTTGAAAGTAGCGTTTAGATACTACCCAAGGGTCCAAGCTGAATTGAAGCGGGTCTTTCGATATTTTCACGCCTGTTGAATCGACGGAAGAACCGAAAAAGTAAAGGATCACACTATCTTAAGTTAGCTTACTAAAACTGTACCTATTTCCATAGACCGACTGCACTCAACAGGTCAAGACTTGTTACAAAAATGTAGTCTGATGTTGTAAAATTACGACCAAGAAGTTGCGCATGTTTCTTCACGTAATTTTCATTACCTGTGCGGAAATTGAATACGAGATCAACCCCGTAGACGATATCGCTGAAGATGCTTAGGGCCATCAAAGATGGTTCTCTCGATATAGAAAAGAATGCTACATCCAGTGGAATTACAATCATGTTCAGGATAAGCACGAACAGCATAAATATGTCCCAGTTTACCCTGAGGTCAGCAAAACAGCCACACACAAAAGAATATGAGAGGTAGTAATGCACGAGCTTCTAGTACGACCAGACGAAATCAACTGAAATTGACGTAAATCGGATTCTGTGAACAAGTACATTTTAGCTAGCAAACTAATAACTTCAACAATGTAAAATACATTTGTTAATGCCTGAATGGTTCAAAATAAATGGGCCTTGATTCAATTGCTTGCATTTGTTCGCCAGCGGAATTCGGATTTACGCTAAGCCATCTAAAACAACAAGTCAACAATTGCTTTAAATTTCTGCAGTCTTTTCGTAGCTTTAAATAGGGCAGGTTAGCGTGTTGCAGTCAGTGATTACGCTTTTACCTATCTTTGTATAAGCAATGACTGTACATTGAAAAGCTATTTATTTTGTTATCACCGCTCCAGCACGAAACGAAGTAGGTTTTCACTCCAATTCAAACTCAGAAGGTCCCTGACATGACCCTAATTGAATGGGCAAGCACGTTAGCACTAAACTGTGATGCAGAGAAGATCAGAGTACCTAAGCGCACTTTCCGGATGGATCATAAACCGAAAATGCGGTTTAGACTCCTCAGCTAACGATTTTCCTCGGTGCCACATGTCCACCTCGTCGCTTTGCTCCATGCTATGATACCAATGCATACTATCGTTAACACCTATGACATGTAAGGCAGAAAAGAACCATCGTTAGTTTATTATCATTTATTGTTTATATATATCCCGGGAAACAGTGTAGAGCTAAGAAAGGGAACGCGTGCAAACGTAGTTACCTCTTTATTGTTTAAATCATGCGTTCGATAAGGTTCTCCAGGCCATTTGCATTGCTGGAGTTTTTTATTGAAATGCACTTGCCTCCGTTGGCGAAAAAGAACCTGCGAAGTGTGCCTACGAGATTTGGGTCCTGTGAGACAGTCTCGAAATGTGTACTGTCCTGATTAACCGATGAGTGAGGTTGTTTGAGCGCTCGGCTCTCGATGGAGTCACCGAAGGCCTTATCACGAGATCCAATTTTGTCGCTTACTTCGTCATGAGCGCGACAAGCTGTAACCATGAAAAGCAAAAAAGGTTAGTGCAGCAACTAAGAATTAGAATAAGGATTCCATGAACTTCGTTTGCATATCATACTATACGAATAGTGGATAAGACTTGAATCTAGTTTATATAACTTAGTATCGACTATCGTCCAGGCCGTAAAACCTATCAATCAAGTTACGCACGAGGCAAAGCAAGATTTGTCTATTAATTACATTTATTTATTACTATTATATTTAACAATATTATGCTTTCTAATGGTAACTTCTTGTTGATTTTAGACATTTTTTTTAACTACTTGCTCATATATATACATGTAGTCAATAGGTCCATGCGATTTTTGTTTAACCTATGCAGCTACGGTCAAACAATAAAGTACGAGTACAAGCAGTATACATTGTAAAAAGCAAGATATGTGTCGCATAGTACTACTGTCGAGACACGTGTCCATATTCGGGTCATTCCGCAACTGGTTAAGTTGATTAATGTTGTTCCTCTTACTATGAATCTGTCCTTCGGGTCGCTCGCTTTTTACTAACTGATTTTCTTCATTTACTTAGTTGCTTCAAGTGTTTTTCGAACGCGTCAATACTCGCGTGTTTTGCCAAAATAATTGGTGCTCGGAAAACGGTGGGCCTACTGGCCAATTTTTATGTAAAATTTTTGTGTCCCCTATTTGAAACGTATTTTTCTTGCTGGTTTCATTTTTTGATAAGCATTCCACGTTTGGGCTCACCGATGTTCATCTGAGGAGTGTTTTGAGGTTGAAATTTTTTACGGTATTCGTTTTAAATACGGCCTCGCTTGCGTTTTTTTCGCGTGAGTATTACTTTTCCTTGGGTTGCCATGTTTTTTCGCGTATCCGTCCGGCTGGAGACCATGCCATTACTGAATATGATGTCACACTATAAGTCTTTATTACCTCTGCCTTTTGACTGTTCTGATCCATCTTTCTAAGTCAACACTAGTAAATCCATTCCATGTGATTTATGGAAAAGCTAATCGATGTTTAAAATTGCTCGTGACAACGAGTTGCTTAACGGTTATAGACACTACTAATGGGATTCATCGTCACGGCAAAAAATGACATAGTCTTACGTAATTGTGCTCAAGAGACTTCAGAAACAATAAGGCACTCGAGGCCAATGATCAGCCAAGGACCGACTACCTTTATTGTAATAATAAAAGATGGCCGTTTCGATAAATGAAAGAATAACTTTTATTATTCACACATATTACGTGGTCTTTTTTTGTTGACGGGACATCAAGCGGCGATTCCCAGTAATAATGGGCTCAAGGTAACCATACAGGTTTACCGGTTCTGCTCACTTAGCCACCTGTTAAGTGCTACCACTCGAGATTTTTGGCCATCCTGTCTCTTTTCGTTTTGCTTGATATTTTTTCGTAACTGGTTTTGTAAAATCGGGGTTTTAGGCCAGAATCGCTTTCTACAATTTACCGTGCCGATCATATATTGGTTTCAACTGTACTCAACCCGCCTGAAATATATCAGATATCAGCGAAATTGTACTGTCAGCGAACAGCAGTTAGCGGATCTGTTTACCATGTCTAATTGAAATCAGTGTTTGGGGTTTTTCATTCAGTAATGCCCAAAACATTGCTTCAGACAGCTCTCAACACGAAACCAGATGTGTTTACGTCTGCTTCCAAATCTAATCCACCTCAAGTGTCCTAAAGCCAGTAAGTACCACTACCTATCACAGAGACTGTCTATGGTGTCCACAGCTTTCGTATGTGCGACTCAGCAGAGCTCTTAACGCTGAAATGCTCACTAGGTGCGTATAATCCCACAGATGAACCTATCAATCGTTTGTCGTATATGACTGCTATGGATGCTTAAGGACGAAATTAGCTCCAAGCTCGCTCCGAGTTGTCAGTAATATGCTAAGCTTTCTAGCACATCATAGTCCAGTGTTTCGGAACCGCGTTATTTTAACGTTTCGTCACCGATTGTTTAAATACGCAACCACATGTTTTCATTTTCATGCTCCGAGGTCTATATCAGCCCACGCCGGATTAATCCATAGTGCGTCACACAATTTGGAGTTGTACGGCGTTTAGTACCTTTATAGCACCGGAGCAAGGAGTTCTGTTATTCAAAGAGCCATCCTCACTACCTCGCCTTGTCTAAAATGTATGCATCGGAGTACTATTCATTAATAACGACAGTTCGACCGAATTTGTTTAAATCTGCATCCGTTTATGGGCAAAATACCCTACGTCGTAATGGATACTAACTAAACAATCTGCTAAGATGGCGTATAACTTCGAAAACTAATTAGCTTCCCGACACTCCATTAGCAGGTCTTCTGAATAAAGCAGTAAAAATAATATATTTTAATATATATAAAATTGCTTCATTGATCCACATGCAATCGGACTCTACCATAATTTGTTACCAACGTTACCATGGTGGAAACTACACAACGGATCTATCGTCTCAGGAAGACTTTGTTGCGCCTGCACTTGTTTATTTACTGTTACACTGTCTCCCTGACCGATAATCCGGTACCTTCTTAACTCGAGTTTTCATTTTCTATCTTGGAAAACAAAAACCATCCGAACTGTGCTATTGTTCCAATTAAGTCGTAGATCTTGAGTCCCATTTAGGTTTCAACTGTTATAGCCCGACCGGGGTTGTTTGCACTAAATGCTAGCCGTGAAAATCGCTTTATTCGGTTGCATCACAAGCATACGGGAAGCGCTATCTCTTTTCTTTGTAACCGTAATGAATACCTCGTCGAGCCCAATTCCACTTAAGTCACCTAATTAGTCCACCCGTGGCAATCGTAGTATCCTTAAGTTTTTGAATTCACACACCCGCCATGCGGCGCTGTCTACTGCACGAATTTAGTGTAATAATTGTAAAGAAAGAAGCATTCGGTCTAATCGGAATCTTAAGCAGCAGAGACCTCTAGGTATATTAAGGCCTTCCTTTTGCTCGCAGTCTGCCTACCCTCAGTAAGAGGCGCTTTCTTTAAACGGCGCTGCCCTCAAATCCATGTCCAAACCTGAAGCGGTCTATTTAGGATCGGTTGATAATTATTAAGTCAATATTACTAGTCATTGTTATAACACGTTACCTTGCAGAAGTGGCAAATCGATTTCCACTGTTTTTCTATGACGTAATTCATCATCGAACTCGACGTCGCTCTCCAGTTGTCGATTTCGACGTACCAAATGCGCTGCCACAGAAGCTCGTTTTGGACCATATCCACCGGCCGTCGATGCATAATTACTGCGAGAAAAACTTGAAAGATTAGGAATATAATTATTTATATTAGCACTGACAAGCAGTGCCCTTCAAGGCGAAAATAATTTTTGAGAATCAATTCAAAACGATGTCTTGAGTTGAGGTCTTGAAGTTCTAATCATTATGTGCACGTTTAAGATAACAATAAAAGCTACTTCATGAGTACATAGCCAATGACATCTTCATATGCTATTTTTTTTCGTCTTATTATTTACATACCATGAAAGCACTAGTTATTTTATAATTCCACTATTCAGTACACTATATTATGAAAACAATCCAAACAAATAACCCGCCTCTAAATTAGAATTGTTTTCATAAAAAACTTTTTTTTTAGTATGACATTTAGTGATTTCCTTTTTCCAAGAATCCATGTACTGTTTCCACAAGCGTACTTTTTGTAGGTTCTTTGCGGTCATGTAGGTAGATTAGATTAACTTTGGGGAGATAGAAAATATGTTGATTCAATGAACAATAAATGAAGAGATCCATATATGAGGGAAAAGCTTGGAAAAGAATAATTTGAAAAATTATTATTACATTTGCTCGATAATAACAATCCATTGATACGATTTTTTTTATTCGTTTCTTCCAAGCCAGGCTTCTAATGCCCCGTATTCAAAATCATACATATGTTCTGAGGACGGCAGCGTCGTCTGTTGACACGTGCAATTCAAACCGTCAGGCTGATTCCCTAGTTTTCAAACATAAAAATGAGTTTTCCTAAACATTGATCCTTTTCCAGAGTTGTTGAAATCGACTCACAAACGAATAATCGTTATTTAATAACTTAATTCCTTTTACATGATTAAGTGTTCGTTAAAGGTGCAAAAACAAGATGCTTAAGTTGATAAAGTCTACTTGACAAAGCAGCGTAAATTTAGCAAAAAAAATAAGACAGGCAATCGCAGTTCGATTAATGATCACGCCTAGAATTAATATTAACTAGCTTTTCAAGAGACTAAACAGGGCAAAACATCGTCGTTTTTGTTTATCGTTTATATTCATTCAAAGATCGCTGTCAAGCGGATTACATTATCCCAATCGCGTGGTCTTCTAACATTAACTCTTGTTTATGTTTACAAACGCTTAGTATCTATTATACGCAAATGAAATAACAATTTTCTACTGTATATGTCGAATATCGTTAGTCCAAACTGTATATATATGTTAAATAAACAATCATTTTCAATTTAGAACTGAATGTTTAGAATTCTCCGTGTGAGTTTTAGACGGTTGGCGCATACCACCACGAAAAAGTCGTATATTTGGACAACTCATACGTGCTTAAGTTTCGTAGGCGAACTCGTTACCACAGCATTACGGCACGGACAATTATCTTCGACTTAGACTATGGCATTTTCATATATCCAGCAGCAAATAGAATCAATTAATGAATTCCGTAAAAATGTCTCATACTTCAAGTACGCTGATTTATTTCTTTGTTCTGGTCGTTTAACTTATACAATTTGTTATCTTTAAGCATTACTATTGAATACCCTTCTATATCTGTTTACCTATTAAAAAGGCCACATGAACCCTAAAGTATTATATAACGTCTTACGTAGATTAAACAAACTATGACGTTAAGGTTAATGCGAAACCTGCTTATCTAGATGCTGGTAGAACCGAGCCAAGATTTTATAACAGGCAATATAGGGGACACACATGTGAAATGAAATCCCAGTCTGGATTCACGTGTGACAATTATATAGAATTTACAGACAGAGGTTGGCCCATATAAACTTCAAGTAATATCGTTGATTAAAAATATTGGCTTTCACCGGAATATTAGCTAGGATATTTTAGACCGCTATACGTCAGGGCTACACTGTTTTGTCAGTGATTTTTTTAAGGCAGACAGGAAATCACCGACTTTGTATACTTTGATTTTATGTAAACAAACACCGCGCAATCTACCTCTACTATGTGCCCTCATTTAGGGATTGAATAATAAGTAAATATTCATGGAGACTAAGGAGATTATCCACGAATTCTTTATAAATTGCATTTTTTGTCGTACGGAGGTTACGTATTTATACATGTGGGCATGGTAGAGCCATTTTTATTTATTTATGATTAATATGTAATGCGCATTTCTTAAATTAAACGTGTGCTATTCATCGCGGTGAATTACGTATAAAATAAAATACTACTTTACCGTATCACTCGTTTGGGATTCCGTATAAACTTTTTCGGTCTTGGCCGAACCTTCATATCTTCCTGAGGATGGGATTCCGTTTGTTCGCTTCTTGCAGAGGATGGCATCGAGCTGCACGATTATACATTCGTATGGCTGTCACAAGAATTTTATAGTTTGCTTACAAGATCCCAAAGGTTTCCGAAAAAAAAGATGTATACTACTTACTACAAGTGATGGCTGAAGAAAGTTTTTTATAAGCAAAATTATTACGTGCAAAAATCATCTTAACATCGAACCATTTCGAATTTTTACAATTTCAGCTTCGATCTTGCCCACAGATCGTTCACTTGAATCGCACAATGGCGCACTGAAGAGTCAGACGAAGTATTTTCTTGTAAACTGCCCTGTATACGTCTCAATGACTAGCAGTAACATCTTCGCGTTTTCATAAAATACTCGGCAGCAAAAACTGGAACATACACGCGCACTCGTGTGGAGGCTTAACTAAGTACTGCAATAAACGTTTTGGTGTTCCGCAGTAGATACGGAACGTACATCAGAAAAATACACGCTGACCACGGCTTGGGTCGCGGTTAAAAATAAATTATAACGGTAAATGCGCCAATCTTGGTCCGCGTACTCAGGCGCGGTCTCAGGACCACTTCCCGACACGCGTAGGTGTTTCTTAGCTCATTTAGGTCGTGTCGATTCACGACGGTTTTCGATTTCGACTGCTGATTTAAGTCTGACTGAGTACTGTCAGGCTTATCGCTGTTCGGGAAACTATCCGTTAATGAGCTGTTGGCAGGTGACCGCAGACGTCAAGTAAGCGTGGTTGTGTTGAGCGCTGGCCAACGCGGCGGATTTTCCTTAAAATCAGATATCAACGAGGTATGGCTTCTGCAGACTGTTTTGTCACGTCGTAAGATTACTACTGTTATTGAAGGTAATTGACTCCGTTTGTCTCCCAGTTATGAATGTGATAGTTCACGTTTGCGATTTACCCACCAGCCGTTCATTGCCATTCTCTGTGTATCTAATACCGAAATTTAGTTTCCGTCTACGGGTTTGGACGAGCCACGGTGAGCGAATGCGATTCATAACACTGGACAGACGCTGATTCATATGGGCATCACAGCAGTCTAATCAAAGTGGCTTCTAACCACTCGCATCTTCTTGGCCTAGGCACATTCTTTCAATTGGCGCTAAGTTAACTTTCGTGAAATTTTTTTTAATTCGATAATTTGGCCCACAAGCCTTTGCAGATGTCAGTCGAAATCAATTTAGAAGCCATAAATCAGGAAGAGGAAAGCCTCTACGTGTAAGCAAGTATTCTTAATAATTTGCAGTTCTAGCCAAAGTCGGACTGGAGCTGAATGATCAATGTGTGTTAACATAGGTTTAGGAAAATGATAACATAACCTAAAATATATTATTATTATACGATCAAAGTACATTGTTAGACTCAACTGTATTCAAGAGTTGGCTATCAAATTATAGAGCTGTACAGGCAACCCAACTTAAGACAGACGTGAATCTTTAGAATGCCAGACGCGGCGAAATATATCGTCTATAAATAGCAGAAAATTTGTCTATAACCGACAAACCTGAAGGGATGCGACCTTTCGTCGGAGATAAAAATTGAGAACATCGAAGTAACTCGAGCACTTGAATTCGAGAGGCCCATCGATAGTCGGGCGGCTTTTTTCAATGCCATAGAAGATTGTCGAAATTTAAGATATGCGCGCTTAAGTCGACCCAGTGCAGTCTAGATCATTGATCTAGTGCAGAAAGACACGGAGACGTAAGAAAAAAATCTCTATATATTATTCAAGGGTTTTAGAATTAGTTTCCTTTATACTATATTATATAGAGATGAAAATAGCCATCAGCCTAAGATAGAAAAATTTAGTTATGTAGTAAGTTACTAGAATCAGATATTCGTAGATGTGGTTACATGAGCTCAAACACTCAACAGTATGTAATCTCTTTTAAACAGAAAAATGTATGAAAGCTAAAGAATTTGTAAACTATAGTGGCATAAGGTATATAAAACGAACACATTCTGATTGATACCAACCAAATAAAAAATGCCAATAATTCCAATTTAAATTTAAATATCGTCAAACAAGAGGTTGCGAAACTGTCCTACACCAGCAGATATAATAGAATAAATTTCTCTTCGAAATGTTATTACCACACTAAACATTTCACAAACGCCTGTTTAACTCAATTCAAATTTATAATATTACATAAACCTTCTTGTCATGTCATTTTTTATACCGCAAAAACATTTGTTTATTCATACGTCGTGAAGAGGAGTGACGGTGTATATTATGACTGAGCTAATTTGCAAAGCAATATGCGCATAGGATCTAAAGTTCGTAAAAATATGTACAGTTTTTGGCATAAGTATTTGTTTAGCATATGCCAGTTATCTTTCAAAGGTCTCTCCATATTCCTTTTACATGTACCTTAAGGCAATTAGTTGTAAATGGTGCATATTGAATCAAAGCATTCAGTACAAACGTTCAATGAATTGATCATAGTTCTTGTACGTTCTTGTAAGTTGAACGAGATATTCCTAGTACATATATAGATAATATAACACGTTGACATTCGAGACGTTTACTCACTTTTAGGCTACTTGCTTTTGTTCGTTTGGATAATTATGCGCTATCTTACTGTTTCTTAATGCTTCGCCTTAGTTATTTACTAAGACTTTCGAACGTCGCAAAAATGTTTCCCATTGAGTGTTTTCCCAGTCAGAAAAACGTACGGATGTGTGCAGTGCTCAGCGTGCTTCGGGATTACCTAAACGAGTCCTCAGGAAGTAAGGGGGGTTAACACTACATGCACACATAACAGTGATAATGGTCAGGATCAATGTTCTTGGCTGCTAAAACGCTAAAAACGTAGTTACAGAATTAAGTAACAACCCGACAATCCAAAATGAAGCTTTTCACCTCAATACTTGCATGTTACGTTGATTTGTAGTCGTTGTTTGACAATATACTGATTTTAGTAATTCTGTGTGAATCATTCCCTGTTCATTTTGGTAAAGATTTCATAGAGTTTTGTTCACTCATCTGGCAAAACATACCTTCAAAACTGTTAAACAGTCACGAAGTTCAGGATGAGAGCATTGCACAAACGGGTTTAACACATTGTTATTATAGGAAATCAGGTTTACCGAAGTGGTTTTTTTTATTAATATCCTTGGAGCACTTATTGTTATTGCTATCGTCCAAATGCGAATTTTGTGGAAAGCCCTATTAATTCGTTGAATGAACCTAGATTTTAAGGTGGAGGCTGAAGCATTGCATTAGCGCAAAGTAATCCAAGGATTAATCGGTAAGAGGAGTAATCCGGGCATTGGGCACTGCGTTACTTAAACATGAAAAAAATTCCGTTAAGGACCCCCGGAGCGGTAACTGATTAAATCGAGATACAACACAACTATTGTAGCGGATATTTGTGGTACGGATTACGTACAAAAAAAAGTTAGATATTGATTAAGTATGTTGTAGATAGATAACCTTGTTTTAGCCTAGCATTTAACAATCAATAGCTGTATTTTTCAGTTCTTTAATCTTTGAAGAGTCATTAGTTGAAAGCTAATAATTCTGAGACTGTAATGTAAAAGCTGTTTTAGTTCGAACTAGTAGATCAAGGGAAAAACCGAACATACGTAGTACCAACAATGCTTGGCTAAAATTTTCTAATTAATAAAAACATATTTTAACATTGGCATTACATTTCAAAATTGGGAACATTAGAGAATATGTAAAATGTTGTGACCAACATCTATGCAGGGAATTTGATCATTATGAGCACCCTTCAATGAAACTTTATCCAAAATATGGGAAAAGGTTGATTTTATGAGAGGGATAGTCTGCTTAGTAGATACCCGAACTGTTTTATATTTAGTAAAATTGGCTTTCAAGGGTGAGTACAGGGAATCCTACTAATAATTATTAGTGTTAATAACTATTCTGATTTTATCACAGCAGGGCGAAGCAGTTTGCTACAAAAGCCACGCTGCATTCGACTCTTGTCCTCCAAACACAATTGTTTCGAATAAATACAAAGATATCATGCTTTTCAAAACATGGCTTTCCTTCTCACTGACGTTTGTCACTATATGCTAAAAGTAAATCCAGCTAACACAGCTTAAACATGGATTTGGTTTTATTGCCGACCCACTTAACCTCATATAACAAGTCGTCTAAATGCTGCATTACTTGCATCATCAAATTGAATTGAATAACCAAATAGTTGCTGACATTAGAATCATCTGGCATTCTAGAGGTATCTATGTATTTCTTAATCTGCTAGTTTTTTTTGCTTTTATTTGAATTAATTATAAATTGCCTAGACAAATTCTAGTTAAAAAGTACCCGAATTATATCTTCTTTAAAACAATTATAAGCTTGCAAGCGACATTAATTAAAGCTTGATTTAACTTTGGTAACAGGTTTTCCAAAGACACCCGAGTAACATATATAACAATATTAATAATGGCAATATGAACAAATATTAGTGAGTACGATTTGCAACTAGCCAAGAATGCAAAAATCTTTTTTTTTTTTTTACCTGAATAGTAGATTTCTGCTCGTATGAGGCTAGTTAATGAAGCTCATATTTCAATAGAACAGGCGTCTAGCACGCCCAGGCTATAAGCTGACTATGAACTGCAAAAACGAGGACGTTTGTGGGCGCTTGTTAGTTGTATAGAGAAGTCGAAATTTCCGAGTACTTTGCCTTGGTGAGTCCCCGATGCGAGGAGCATTCTTGGTCAACAGCGATTTCGTGCATCATATTATGATGCGGTTGATGGAGATAGAGAATGTAGAAGAATGGACCAGGATTATCTGCACAACGTGTTATCTGGCTGCAAATTTGTCTCTAAATTATCACAAATTAAGGACACGCATCTCATTTGATAGTTTAATAAATTCTGTTTCGATCTACATATAGCAACATTTATTTACATTGTTCGGTGTTTGGATTCAACTACACCGCAACGTTCGCAACACATACACTTACGGTAGGTGTATGGATTTCACACCTTTCGTTCTTTTCCAAAGGCATTCGCGTCGATATCGTCTACTACTGTTTCTGCCCAAACCAAAATTGCTGTTTGTTCGGTTCCATTACCCCACTGTTTTCAAATAAAGGTAACATTTTCGACCTAATTCCTCACCCGACGTTCCACTGAGTTACGTTGTTCATGATGAGTCGCATAAGACCTCTACACAATTTGCAGTTAGTGTCATTAATGATTGCATATTCTAACTACTTTCAATCTGACAAAAATAATTTGGATGTAGGCATGACCCAATGAAAAAGAAAACGGGCTTACCTTAATGAAGATTACCATACCATATCATCAGAATAAATAAGCAAAGGGCTTAGAATTACTTCTCAGTTACATGTCGATTCATGGCATTAGCATGTTGTAAGATACGTAATTGTAACGTTAATTCATCTATCTGTACGGTTCGTAAATGACGGAGCAAACGACGTCGTTATAATAGACTTCCCTCAAAATCCTCATCAAATTCTCAAATATTTTACTGTAGCACTTTTCTTAATTTTTCTGCTTCTTCTAAATCGTTACACATACTTTATAGAGCAAAAAATATTGTATCGAGTCGATGCAACCTTCCAACTGCGATTAGCAACCGGCCAATATGTCCATTGTAGATGTTCTCTCATGAAGTCACTGTGTCTTCCCTAGTTCTTAGATTAAAACTTTAGCAACACGCTGTTTCCCTCTTCATATGCTTGGTATACCTATCGAGCCGCCAATCTCTTTATCGGCTTAGAACACATAAAAATAGACAAACAAAATCGTGAGCAAAGTGACTCCGGCTGCAACTTTCATATACGTGGAGCGCATGTTCAGAGTGGTTGCATCTTTTTTGTACTTTTGGCTGAGCATGTTCAGGTTCGTGGCCTTCGAATCGAGCTCACTGAGCGAGGCACCCCTCTGCAAGACATCATCCAGATTCTCAACCATGATCCGCTGCACGTCTTGGAGTTCGTTTCCGAGCTGAGCAAGATTTCGACGCACTCGCGAATCCTGGTAATTTTTTTTGGCTTTCTGTGTGTACGTGTCGAACTCGATAAATGCGTATGGCCTTTGTACGTTTTGGACACCGTTACCGTAATATTGTAGGAACTCGTGGCAGATGTCTTCAAGAAAAGCGAATGCTTGCTTGCGGCTAAACGAACGTTCGCACAATGTCAGAAAGATTACCCCGTGCTCGATTAAATAATGAAAATAGTAGTTGCCTGTCTCAATTGTTGAGCGCTGGTTTGCAGTAGCGCCTAGTTTTTTACACAGCATCTTCGCTTGATTTTGATACTCGGTGTTGACACGGCGCAACTCATCATCGTCCTGAACTGAGGCAGACAGTGGCATGCCATCGCTCGCACGGGCAATCATTGTCATCAGCACCATGGCCTCGAAAAAAATCGTGGACTTCCCGATATAAGGATGGTAGCTACCTTTGTTTCCTTAATAGTAAATCGTCGCTTCTTTCTTAGTTCGAATCACGCACACAAACTAGACTAGTGTTATCAGCTGGATATGCAGGTTAAGAATTTGCGTGAAAGGTAGCAATACGCGATCGATGAAAACCCGATGCTTTTTATGCGCCTGAGTCGAAGACAACTCGAACAGATGAGCCACCGAACGCCTGTTTCCCGGTGACGTGTTCCAAATATTCAGCAGTGAAGACTAAATGCTGCCCCCAAGTGCGTAAGCGTTTTCCCGACATCAATAATCACTATGAGGAAAGCCCCATTAGATGAATCTCCAAGAAAATTCAACAGTGAGGTATATTTGTGGATCGCTTACGTTCTAGTGATAGCTTCGCAGACGACTGAGAAGTTAATTCTCGCTTTAAAGCGCCCTTTTTTACTCTAAACTGCGCAGCTTACTCACTAGCTCAGCGGTGCAATGAGCTCTTACTGACCATCAGGTGTTTCACACTTTGTGGCGGGAATGATTTGAATCGCTGTCAGGTTTTAGCAGTAGAATACATAGTTGATTTATAGCTGGCGATGTGGAGTATTATTAGAAAGACATGTTTTTTTTGCGAATATTCTACATGAAAATTAACGGAAAATTATGCTAAACATAACTGAATTAATTAAACTCTATATATTAAAAACATATAATGTGACTGTTCGTCTTATTCGAAAAATGTACTGATATCCCAAGTAAACAATATATCTTCTAAAATGATATAAACTATATATTAATAAATTACAATTTTTATTTATTTTGAGCAAATGTCTCGAAAGGTACATTTCATTACATCACTTAGCATTGAGCTAAGATAAAGGTGCAGAGACTATCCTTTCGATATAACAAACTATACTGTTTACTAGAGGCATTCAGTCCATTTAACAGGATGTACTGTACGGAATTTGGCGGAACTCAGTGTACAAAGCGTAGTTAGCTTTTAGAAGTCAGTGGCTAAACGAACTTATGCACTTTTAATCTCACATGTCTATAGGGTACTGTTAATTTGCTTAGCCATGGAGTTGTACGGGTTTGAAGGGTTGCAACCAGTTAAAATAGATATGAAGCACCCAGAAGGATCAACGATGAGAATACATGAAGTTCTCCTCGTGCTTTATTAGGTCAAGTAAAGTTCAGTGATGTGCAATCAGTAATTCAGCACTTATATGAGTTCTTATACGACACGGCTTGTGATTCCGTGGCTTCTACCAGTTTTCACATTTAGGCGTTGGGTGCTTTCATTATCCGTTTGGAGGCCGTCAAAAGATTTAGGCAGTCAGTAATATAGGTTTGAAACAGGGAACACACACTTCATGGTGGAGGAGGCCGGCCCTTTAAAGCCATGCTTCACTAAAGCAGCATCGAGCGTAAAACTAGTAACACTTCGATGAATATATTGAGTATACATTTTCTTCAAACAGATGCTTTTAATATTGTTTTCATAATCTCTCCGTCTTTTTTTTACTCATAAAAGGTAAAATACAATGAAACTGAGTAGTATACCTTGTACACACGGCCAGGCTTACGGAAGCTGTTATAAACATGTTACATTGTTTTTACTGAATTGTATGAAAATTAGATTACCTCTCCATTGTACATAAAAAAAAAACATGAATAAATTAGTCTGATGGTTATGACAATCAAAAAGAAAAATTGTGAGAGGACCTTTGCATATTTATTGCAGAAAACGCACTTACATTTATATGAAACGGAAAGCCATGTTTTATGTTTATTGAAAATGGTTATTGCAGTTATTGAGCCGAATGAACAATTTACGGGCATCTATTTACATTTTACTAGCCGCACTTACTTACCACAGAAAAATATATCAATCAATCAAAGTTTTGTTCATTTTTGTTAGATAGCACTCCACACACTTGGACAATTTGGAATACTAAGCTTTCTATCAGATTCTGTATTACACATATGGTAGCTTCACGGGGCTGGCTGAAACTTATATCATAAGATAATTCCTGGCTAGCGTTCACGAATCTATTTAGGACCTACCAATAACTGCGTTATAGATTATACACTATGATAATGCCATTTTCGGAACGTTACCGAGCCAGACTGCCTAGCGATTGATTTTATGACAGGCAAGATGTATAATGCAGATCCCAAGCTTAATCACACCTAGTATAAACACCATATTCAATCATGAAACTTGTGTATTTTACAGAGGTTAATGTGACAGCATGTCTGTTAGACCGGACAAGTCCGTTCCAGGTCTTGTCCGTCCAGACTCACACTTGATAAATCTCGGGATCGATTTTCGTGAATCTTCGATCCTATTTTACCAGACTATCCTATGTAAGATCATCGCAGATAAACGGATTGAGGATCAAACTGTTGAAATCTTTTACATTTTTCAATAACAAATCTTTGGCGATTGTACAAGATTAGCAACTCTTGGTAAATGAATAGATTAACATATGTCAGCGGTAGACCCGAAAGACATAGCATGTTTTGATGAGTTTGATGGCCTCGGTTTTGATTGAATCGTTGGTCAATCCCAATTTCGAGACGGAGGAACGAAAGCTGACAAGGACATGTCGCATATGGAAGCGACTGCTTTCGTAAACAAGTAAATCGTCCACATAGAGGAGAACCTTTACCATATCTTTCTGGCCATCTATTTCGTGTAAGATCCTTCAGCAATACCGAGAAATGGAGAGGGCTTAAGTTATTACTTTAAGACACACATATAGTCCGGGACAGCGCTGATGATTCTAAGACCCCATGGCCTGTTTTCTTGTAATATTTTTGCGAGGGTGGAATAAGAGTAAATTTCTTAGGACGGTGTCGAAGGTCTCTTTGAAGTTTACGAATGCTATATAAATATATTGTCGAGGGCTACTTAAGATCCGCTTGATTTCAATAAATAGGATCCTACATGTCGTTTCGGTTGAATGGCCCCTCTCGAAGCTGCGTTGTTTCCTGGGCACTGATAGCCCTTGGGAACACGTTTAGTTCCCTTGCCAACAGGTATGAGCGAAGTTCATATCAAGCTATTTTCTTCACAACCCCTTGCTATGACGAATATTGGCTTGCGTCGCCTTTGCGAGCTCCCGGCGACCTTAAAGTGTTCATTCTAAATTCTGGCCGGTCCCGCTGCCTTTCTTGAGCGTAGGTTCTTAAGCGCTTAAGGAAGTAGAAATCCTGGCCCAGCATAATGGGTTCTATACCAAACTAATTTCTAATAATAAACGATAATGGCAAGAATGACTATAATTGCTTAAAAATAGAATGTATCCAAGCGAAGGTTTATTGTTAACCGAAGCCAGGTTCACAGAAAATTTAAAATCAGCGAGTTTCTTTACTATTTTCTCCTAAAATTGTAGTAGCTTTACATGACTTAAGTTAGCGACTATATGACACATAGTAAATAGGCTTCAGGGGCGACAGTACTAAAGCAACATGAAGTGTTGAGTTACGTGAAGGTTTTGGAAGATCATCGTTGTTTATTACCAACGCCAAATGATATTTTCACTACCTTGGATAAAGAAAAATATTTTTTAACTATGGATTTCACCGAAGCTTATTTCCAAACAATAATTGAAGAAGGTGGGGGGGGGGGGGGGTAAAACATCGTTAGCATTAAAGATTTATACTGGTATAATAGACTGGCCTTCGGAATAAGAGCTCCCTCTGCCATTTTCCAGACACTAATAGACTAACTTATGGCGGCTCTAGCAGGATTAACAATTTGTTTTAATAGTGTCATAGTTGTTCATTTTCAACCTTAATAAGATACCTGAAAAGCTCACTGAACAAACTCATGAAAAAGGTAATTTTTTTCAGAGGTCAATCACTTCCTTGCATTTATTATTACTACAGATGAACGCAAACGGGGCTTTCATAAAGTCGAAGTTATATTAAATGTACTCTTACCAACGGCTGTTCCAAAGCTAAGGTAATTATTAGGAGCGATTAGAAATTCTGAAATGAACAATTCACAGATCCTGTGCTGTCGCAAGAGGGCTAAGGAAAATCGCGACCGTTTAGATAAATTATTTCCAACAGATATGAAGATGGTGTAGTCGAAGGAGTATTAATGATGTAACAAAAGAAATACGATTAAGTATATGTTCTTTTAAGTCCTGACTTATTATGACTTCTAACTTTATATAGTTGTCACTGCAGATGCCAGCCAATGTGGCTTTCAGCACAGTTATTTAAATGGTTCTGCAAAAACAACACACCCAGTCAGCCGATCATTGGAGGAGGTCAAATATCGGTATGCACAAATATAGAAGGAAGCCCTGAATATGCGTGTTATCAATTCCGCAGCAATTCTATGGCTACCAATTTAAGGTCTAATATAAAGGTTTTAATGAGTTAGCCAAGATTTATCTTCTATCGTACACTTGTTTCTCACATAATACTGACAGAAGAAATTACTTCAGAAGTTGAGAAAAAGTACAATATCACATTTCTAGAAATACCTTATTGTATTGCCTGTTCACTTCAAACAGCTGGCGGCTCTTTCCAACACGGAGAGAAAAGTCTCCGTGCCCAGTTCTCAACCTGGACCACTTCACCTGTAGTAGAATTCAATAGGCAAACATGCTACCAGTATATTATTAAGAAGGCTGTTCATCATGACTTGTATTGCTTCCTTTCTCCGTGAGATTTCTTCGATTTTGGTTACCACAATAAACGCTATTCTGTGAGTACATAGTTGAACGTCATTTTGCAATTTTTCCTCATTCTCTTGTTAACCACCAAAAACAGTCGATTGCGCATACAACACTAAATTGTGATACGCTATTTGTATTCTGCAACGTTTCCTTTCGAACCATTTTTTCTGTTACGTAATCTTTTGATTCACAGGAATCTCTGATATGGCTGACCAACGCTATGATTAAGCTATGCCTCAGGCATCAGGTCGTCAATAGGATACATGTGTTCAAACGTTCTTTACTGCAATCTTGTATTGTGTGTTAGAAAGTTACTTACGCATTTCGGTGGTTTTGTACTTATGTATGATTTAGAAACAATTAGGCACAACCATTAGTTTCAAGAACTTATTATTGGTGAACTATTTTATGTAAAAGGAACAGTATTTCGCAAGTCCAGAGGAACTCATATCCAAAAGAGCTGCCATGGCAGACTCTTATTTAAAGCCTATCATGGAAGGTAAGCCATGTTATGTGTCTTGATAACATTTATATTCCACGTATATTCAATATTCATCTAAACGATACATATATACACATCTTTTTATGAATTTTATCGAGAGTGCGTTGCATTTTTACCACTGCCAATTACGTCTGCCAAGCATTTGTTGGCGTTGTAAAGTAAATGCAAGTTTCTTTTCTAGTCCCTCTAAGCTCAAGCGTCGACTCAGTAGCTCGGGTGGCCAAGCCTTTGGTTAAAAGACTTTAAAGGTTAAAGCGACATATACTAAACACCTTGCGTGAGCAAAAAGTTATTTCTAGTACACTTTGCTGGTAATTATGTAGCTACAAGAAACCATCTCACAGAGTTTTATAGGAAATGACTCAGCTTTGGGTCTGTAAATATGTATAACTGGGAGAAATAATTTGGATGACGAGACATTAAAGTATACCTCGGATTTTTTAGAATAAGTCCATAAAATTTGCGTACAACCCTAGAAACTTTTCCGTTCTTGCTATGACTACTCTCTTAAAGCGAATCGGCACCTAATAGTTCGTTACAGCGGTTCCCTGCAAAGCCTTGTTCATAATTGTTGACTTCCAAAAGGCCAACTTCATACAACGTTAGTCTAGCAGTACAATGATTATATTCAAAACATGATAGCTGTGCTGTATGAGGAATCTATGGAGAAAGTGTACACCACAAGCATTTCTCATTAAAGCACTAAATCAACCAAAAACTTTCTTATTATATTCGTTAATTTTCGCACATTTTACATATACACTGATATATAGATGCATATATAAAAATGCATTCTGCACATTTTTGATATACACTGAGAGAATATTTATTGTATGAACATTACCTCACCCGGTTATATGTATCCTATATGAATTATTAGCAACACATCGCTCTGAATCAATACCTAATTACGTTATCATCGAAAATCTAGTACATCTTAACATCGACGCCCAGGCCTACCAGTTTGTCCACGATCATCCACTTTGTCCGTCAGATCATGTAAGTTTCGTACATGTTCTCGTTATCGTCATCATTTTCGTCATATCGTCAAATTACATTCTCATATCTGTACAAAAAATAGATTACTAAAATTATGTTTATTTTTAAGGCTACTCCTACATTAGTTTTCCACTCTACGGCTCATTTCATGCACGGATCTATGGTACAGAAGGATACTACAGAATGAAAATCGCAGCAGTTACAGCAGCGACCAATCTTCGCCTGCGGCTTGAATGAATTAACCTTAGATCACGCGTTCTTTTTTTTTTAAATTTAAAATGAGCTTCAACTTACTTGAAGATTAATCTTTAAAAGTACAGAAGAATTCAAGTACGCTTACGCTGCTTCATAAAAATGTGTCACAGTTTATTTTTGTGGTTACATATATATTGGGGGATTTCCTGCTGCTGTTTTCTAGATAAAATACATAACGATATTGCACTAATATTGCTTCTCTAAACTTTTAGTTATTTGTTTGTCAATATCAACGATGTTGCTCTGTATTGACCGCTAATATGATTTACTATTAGAATAATGACGGAAGCATAAACCAATGTAAGCAAACAGCAATACACAAAATGTAAAAACATAGGGAGTATTACTGCACTGTACAGACATCAATCGATGATTTTAACTAGTTACCCATTATACCATCATTTGCTCATATCGAATCTACGTCTTACTAAACATCATATCAATGTGCAATCACCTACGCTCAATGATCATATTTATGCACCCTGTTATTGAATTCTAATTAAAAAAAACGTATATTTCAATGCTTTCAGTGTCAGGAAGTTGCTATTACGTTTCTCAATGCTGTTTTTATTACAGTTACAGATTTTTGGAGCAATAATTCAAGCATATTATTATGCCGTGTCCCAACAAACGTAGCAACACTCACACTTGTCACCATAATTTATTATAAAAAAACTAAATTCATACATATGCTAGTTTTTTTCCACGTTCAACGTATACACACAACAAACGTTCCGAATTCAGCTAAGATAGTCTCAGGCACTCGAAATTAACTCTCTAAGGCTTTTGGCAAAGACTTCCAAGTATAGACGGATGGGAATAAAACAAAATAAACTTGAGAATGAAAGTTATCTTATAAACGCTTTCCTGTCAAAGGTATATATATATATATATATATATCTTGAACCGTATCCTTTACGTATCCTTTGTATATGATTCAATAATTTTTTTTCTTGGCTACTTAGAGGGGTTACTTGAAACAAATAGCAAATTCAATAACCATGCACTTTTACTATTATATATAAGTTCATTATTTACTTGGATCAATTGTATCACATTATGATGCGGCGGTCAAAACCTGCCTCACAACTTTCAAAGCGAGTTGGTTAATATTCAGTGCGGCGTTATATTATTAACTCTGAGTAGATTTTTCGCAGTTATTGCACGAGTCGTTTGACCAAGCAGTGCACACTCTACTACAGATTGGCTGTTGTCGAGAAAAACAACTTGCACATTTTATTATCCACTGCATATATCTCAATAATTTGTGCTTCCTACATGTATCATCTGCTCTCATTACGGTGGGATTATATAATCAAAAAAGCAATCAGAATTATTTTATAACACCAACAACCCATGGCAAAATCCGTATTGATTGGTGACTAGACGTGACCATTTTATCAAACTGAATTGATTCAACAAGGTTCTAATGTAAAACCTTAATTTCGGATATGATAGTTACGACGTTACACCCCAAAAAATAATTTTTCGATAGGTTGTTTTTTGTTATCTAGTACTTTTTTCTGCTATAAGATAGGCTATCGTTAAGACCTCGATCGGACTGTTGCCTGATGGTTCTCGACAAATACTATTTAATGACCAAACAAATAGATAAAATCATGCCGCGTTCTAGCCCTATAATAACCGTTATGATGGGCAAATACGTCGTCTTCGGCAGGCAGTTACCACAGCCGCAATGATCATAATGAAGTAAAAGAACGTTGGCTCCTTCTCGCACTTTATTCTCCTACGAGGAGCTTGACTACAATAATACTCTGCCACGGCTGGACCTGCATACAGGGATTAACATTTGATTCGAACAATCGCATATTTGCACCGTTTGGCATGACGTTTTAACCTGCTTCGTGAGGTGCATACTATTACTGGCAAAGCGATCTACCGTTTTTGTGAATATATTTCCTACATTCCATAGCCTTAATGAAATTTCGTATTACATATTACGCATTCGCCAACTCGGTACCTTTATGATATAAATTTGCAATATATACATATATATGTATATATTGCATATATATATTATATAATATATATATATATTTGTCCTCTCTCGTTCTAGTAATAACACATCTTCCTATGTAAGCATCTAAGGAATAGTTTAACAGTTTTAGATCAGACAAGGTTCGAAACTTTGGACAAAACTGTACCTCGGTTATCGCCGTAAGTGATTTGAATAAAGATTAAATCTAACCCCTATCAGATCGAAAGCGGAAGAAGAATTTCTCCTATTAGAAAACGTTTAGCTCTTCTTAAGTATCTAATTATTTCGAGTAAGTAAAACTACACCAACAACGAGTATTTCGTTTTTTAGGTTTCGTAAAGTGAAGTTCTTCGTGTTTCAGCTTTTGATCTGAATCTTGCTCGAATATAGAAATACAGATGAGATGACAAACAATGTGCCGACGCAAAAGTTGACGGTGAGGACAAAACCGAACGCGTAAATTGAAACAATGCATGATAAGATGATTGCCAATGACGTCGAGAAGCCCTGCAACCGATACAAACGTAATTATTAAACAGGAAAAACTTAGTTCGTGGTCGACAAATAAAACAACTACATGTGCAGTACGGTTCGTGTCTTGATATTATTATTATCATACAGTACCGATCAGCTTGCGTCTCTAAAGACACTGTGAGGGGGACACTGCACGTCACAAAATTCTTATTTCAGTAGGTATTAGGATCAATGTACGTTTGTTCGGCTATAATGTTTTGTTGTTACATATCGCGAGATAGGGAAATAATTATATGTTATTGAAAATCTGCCAACTCGGTGCTGTAAAACGAATAAAAAGATTTGTTCAATTTAGAATCAACTGTTCTCGTCATAGAACCGTAAAAGCGAAAAACTGGAAATTTCGCAAATACAACGTACGTGACTATTATGTTAAGTGTGATACTGGCTTATATATAGAGACACCTAAGACTAATAAGCAAATCTACTGGAAACCAAACCTTGAGAATGTTGTCGGAATATCGCACCACCATAGCTACTAATAGACCCCCAAGGGCCTGAAGTAAAATCACCGACCAAACAATAGCGTTATAGCCATGGAAGAAGCCCTTTGCTGTCACTTCCGCCAGATCGTACGAGAACGTAGTTAGCAAACCGATAGGAATAGCGACGACAGATAGTTGCACGTTACGCATCCACACCGAGATATCTGCGCCTTTTAGGATTTTCTCGAAGTATACGCCTGTAAAAAAGTAACAACAAAACACCCAGATGAGACGTTATAGCATTGATCCGATTAGTACTATGATTTCATTTCAACTTTTATTCGGCAAGCTTACTAGGTATTTATTGAGAGTGCACAATACTTTCTTGTTGTCTTGCACACTTGTGAGTGCACACTTATTGTGAGTGCACAATGTTTTTAGCTTAGTTATTGTATAAACTGTGTACCACATTTTTTAAACAAAGTTTCATGTAGCACATCAGCTTTCTACCTAACTGAAAATAATCCAACTTTCTTTTTAAGTTAACTTATTAAAGCAATTCCTTTTTCGCTTTCTGCACCTTATCACATTGAATGCTTTAATCGACCGGCTAATCGAGTCGCACAGCGATGGCCCATTTTGGACAACCTGTGATACGCATTGGCCTAAATCAGGCATGACTGCCGACCACATTACTTTCTGTTTGTTCTTCCGTCCCGTCTGTTCTATACATCGTCTGCTCATAATAAACATATTGCAGCTATAAGCCCATCAAAACCCGTGCGACACATGTCGTAAAATTTAACAACAAAATTCCACCGACACAAGGCTGAACTAACCGGCAAAACCGCTTAAAGCGCAGGCCATGAAGATTGCCATGAAGCCTAACCACGGATTCTGTTCCCTGCCGGCCGAATTGATCGACGGTTTGTCCAACTGCGCAAGCTGTACAAGGGCGACCCCAACGAATAGCATAAGCAATGATACCCACTGAACCGCCGAGATCTTTTTCCGTAACAACGCGATCGAAAACAATGCTGTCGTGAGAATCTTCAATTGATACGTGACCTGGCAGGTGGCAGCGTCCAGATGAGTAGCTCCAACGTAGAGAAGGTTATTTTGTATCGTATAGACAAACGAAGGTATGGCCACCTGTACAAAAAGGATAACAATGCGGTGATTTCGAATGAATCTCCTTTTCTCCGTCTTGTTAACATGTGGTTAATTTAAATAGAATAATTAAACTAATGTGATGTACCACGGTTGATTTGATTAATTAGCTTTTTATTATAATGAATATTCTCTATATAAGTCAGTCTGTTCATACCTGGAAAACCTTTGTTGTACAGTTAGCTCATGTAGATACCTCATGTTATACATATCCTTATGTGCACAAAGCAACAAAAATATTAAGTGTTATGCTATGGACATATTCTAGTAAATGAATAATTTGAAGTCATAATAGCAAAAGCAAAATAATGAAACTTTTAACGATAATTGAAGAATATTATTCGATGTAGACCAGACGATGGTAATTTGAACTGTATTTGCTAATAACAATAAATTATAAAAATTATACGACTTTACCTTGAGAGTATCCCAAAAATTTACAAATACTGTCTTGTGAGTTGTGCCGACAGTTCTTGACCACGAACCCTCCTCGAAGCGAATGATGCCCAAACAGGTCACAAGTTTTATGACTTCAGCCGTTACGACCGCTGTTGAAGCGATGAAAAGCTCCTTTTGTGTCCGCGAACTTCGCATCGCCAAGTTGAGCGCTGCGTTCTGCACTGTCAGTGTTACAAGTGACACGTACTTGAGTGTGTTCTGGGTGCCTAAAAATAGAAAACGTGTAAAAACATGAAAAACAGAAATAAAGTAAAATAGGTTTAATTGAAAGCTATTGTAACTGCTAATGTAAGCATAATCGAAAGACTTTTCACAAGAAATACACTAAGTGTATAATAAAGTTTTGAGCCAAAACTTTGCCAGTTACAGTGTTCGCATGTTGGGGAGGATACTACTACGAAGTTTGATCGGTTTCGTGCCCTGGCATCGTTTCAAGTGTTTTCGGATATTTGGGCTATTTTCTGGTAGTATCTAGTGGCCAAAAAAAAACATCCTCAATTCCGAAGTCGTCGCTTGAGGCATTGCATGCCGCTCAGTTTTCAAATACATTACACAAAAAGTACTTCTTAGGCGATTCAATTAATGAATTTAGCTCTGGGAGATAGTTGAATGCGTGTGTGACTGGTAAGACGTGAGAAAGTTTTCTCAGGATTATCATCAACGCTTTTGACGCTCTGCGATGTATTAAAATTAAGAACTACAGACATGGTTAAACAAAACAATTTCGTTCAAGTTGCGAAAGAACTTATTGACCAGTTTGAAGGGGTGATCCAACACCTAACTCGCGCACAATACAACAGATACAGAAAATAGGAAAATGGGTTTTGCATAAACGGAATTAACAGGTACGACCCTGCTGGGTGCTTCTTAATCTATCATGTCAATTAATGAAAATGTGAATTGTAGTTCGAATTGTTGCTGGTAACGAAAAGTCAGTTTTCCAAAACCTCTCTAGCAATAGACTCTAGCACAAAAAAAAGATACAAAGAATGTTAATATCCTGTAAAAATCCATGTCCAGTAGGCAGGCACGTTGTCCCTAAACTATCACAGACACTATTAATATTTTGCGACCAACATCATTGATACAAAGTATCTAATCTTTATACCGTTCTTTCCTACAATGCCGGCAACGTTATTAGTTGCATTTGCTCTCGATGTCATGTGCAAATTCTCAAATCCTGTATTATCCGCAATTTGGTTCCATTCTCATTCCATTTTTTGCGCTTGTTTGCCCTTTCTCGTTTTTGGGAAGGCTCTCAGGTTACCAGATTTGTAACTTACCCGCAAAATCCTCACCGAGAATTACCTTCGATAAGAAACTTACGTGCGCATGCCCGAACGGAAATACGAAATTTAAGCAGAGGAGGCTCATGATACCAGTTACCGCAACCTCCACTATCGGAACAGAAAGTCCTTCACCCACCAAGGAACTTACAAGGTGATTTTACTGCATCACAACACTCATCCTCAAACAGCTCTTTGAGTGTATGAGAGATTATCTTACAACTGCGGTCGAGAAGTTCTGTCCTACGCGAACTTATGCATCAAACTCGCTTCCTGATTATTATTTGTGGTGCATGCGAAATGCGTTAGTTAAAAAACATTTTTTGAAGATGAGGAAGGCAGAAAAATCGTTTACAACTATTCTGAGTCAAAAATCTGAGAAGTTCACAGAAAAAGACTGCAGTGTTCGTGATACAAACGATAACGTAGATCAATCGATCATAATGGCAATTTCTATGCCGAATAAAGTCTTAGCATTATTTTAAAAAATAAAGTAAAAAAAAAAAGAATTTATTCGTGTATCGATATATATATATATATTTTTTTTTTCTTTTGTAGTTGATTGTGTTACTGAGTTTCGGTAAGGTATAGAAAATTAAAGCATTCAAAATTTTTTTTTGAATAGATTTAGAATAAGTGTAAAGTTTAAGCGTAATCATCACAAAATTCGAATACTCCGCTACGTCGACAATTTAGATGTTTTAAAGTATTTCCTATTCTCATAAACGAGTGCAAAATCTAATCACGGAGCAGTCCTCTAACAAGTTGTTAAAGCGCACTATCGTGATCGAGTCGACATGTTATTTTCAATCCTTTTAATGTGTCTAAGAGAGAGTCGAGGACACCTGTTCTCTTAATTTGTGCTTATCTCAACTTCGTTTAGCTTCGACGTCATACCCGTATGTAAACAACATAAGTTCTGTCACAAATCTTGAAAACCGCTTTTGCGGCACGTCTATTTAGAGTAACACTACGCCTTTTCTGCTCACATTTATTCTACATTTTGCTGATTCACGAAATGTGCTAAACAAAAGGTAAACCCATCGACTTTTTTTGGGCCGGTACCTTATTTTACGCTAGCTAAATTGCGTCTTCTCTACAAAACTGAACAAGGTTGTTCAGCTTTTTAGAGATCCCTGAAGATCTTAGTTTTATTATTTTACTTATTAGTTTATATTTCAGCACCTAAAGGAAACGAAATTTCAATGCTCGCTTCGTTAGTAGATTCAGTTTCAAGCTTACGGTTCATTCTTGCATCTGGTTTACTCAGACTTAAAAAAAGCAATTAAATCGGTCAAGCAATAACCCTGTGACCATTCCATTTCTCGTCGTTCTTATAATGTTGGTTATATTGGTTGAGAAATTGTGGTGAACTAACTAAACCCTCTGCAAAAATGTTATTTGTTCTTGCAACTAAATAGACGATAGCTACCAATCAGGCTTTTTGGACAGATTGAAAGCTTACTTTTGCAGGTACAAGCGATTCTCTACAAGTGTCTTTGAAGCCTTTATGCATCTATAAATTAAATTAACGTTGAGCAAACACTTTATTAATCATACTACGAACACGTACATGGAAGTATTCATAATGGACACATAATTTATTGGTTGATACAAAAAGACTGGACACGCATTTAGATGTGATCACTTTGAACCGCTAATGCAATCAACTGATTCTTGCACTTGTCGGAACTACACATAGTTAGGCGGGCACCCCAGTCTTCACCGAATTATCAATAGTCTGGTTGAATTTGAACATTATAACATATGTGGGTGCGAAACTTAATTAATTAAAGTGGTAATTAAAGACGAAGTGTAATAAAATTCTTCGTTTGAAAACTGCCCATCTGCTTATCATTGGTCGTTACACACCGATTCAACCCTACTTTCAATGTTGAAACCGAATGACAAATACCGAAAAATGACACCGGATCATGTAGCGACTCATTATTGACACAATAGTAACTTCAACAGGTATATGTTGATCTAAAAATACGTCCAAACTAGACACGTTATCTGCTGCTGTTGACTACGTTGCTGCAATGGTCATTCCAATGTCTGAATGAACTAGCTTCCAAAGACGAAGAGATATTTCTATGATACTTGGCCATTATTCTGTCACTTCTGCACAGTCGACACATTCGAGAATTGGTTAAAGTTACACTAAACGTAAGGTTTTAAGGTAGGCGCCGTTCTTGCAGATTCGGCATATCCGCCAACATGCTATTGTAGCTCTTAGCTGCGTGTCTGTCACATGACTGACGCAATGCATCTTGTACCTTGGTTGCTGCACAATAGGCGTAATATAAAAGACTGGTTTGGCTATGGAGACATGTTCTCACCAACTAAATACACTAAGTAACTAGCGGCTACGTCACGTGCTACAGACTGTGCATTTACTGTTTACAGCTAAACGTCATAGACGAATAGCGACCACAGTTCTGTTGTAGTTGGTATAACGATATCATGAGTGTAGTAGTTCTAGTGGCAATTTCAAAGACGACTTTTTCTAGTAAATGACTAGTGGTCCTAAATGTTTGAGTACAACCGCCCGTTCCAATTTATTGATGAAAATAAATCTATAATTCGACCTTGGTTTGCCCACAATGGTTTGCACCGACCCAATTCTTCATTTCGATATTGCTGGACCAAAGCGCGATTTTAACGTGCCTTAACCAATGTGGGATTGTATATGTATGTCAGCACAAATATAGACTATAAATGAATGATAAGATTAAGTATATGATATAATAACTTAAAGAAATTATCTGCCTTCCAACGTTTTACGACGATATAACATTTTAGTTAAAGGGAATTTTTAGCGGTCTAGGTGGCAATGGTATATGCAACTGACTTTCAAATCACTTATGATACTAATGATTAATCGTTGATTAATTATTAATTATCATTAATTATCCTTCCGTTGAAAGGATAATTATTTGATTGGTAGCTTAATCAATAAACTCCTGTGGACAGTGGTCTTTTATTGCTTTGAGTTATTATTATCCATGTTATGCTACTTTAAAAGAATTACCTTGTGTTAGAATTGAATTTTACTAATGGGCAAATCAAACAACCGAATACCCTAGAATACAGAATGATCATACTTTTTACTACTAAACTGCTGACCTACGATAGAATATAAGCAAAGCATTTCGTGTGCTTCACCTACCTGAACGAATTTGTTCGGCGACATGTATGTCTGGGACGAGCAAGCGGCTCTCCTTTTTATCCATTTATAGGTTTAGCAGATCCTAGCTGTTCGGAAAATTTACGTAACTAATTGTCGAGTAAGTTTTGCGTCGTCAGTCGGATGCAGGCATACAAGCACGGTAACTGATATTTAAAGGTACCACCCGAAAATGCACACACACGCACTCAGAAAGTTTTTCAAAAACCTTTTCAAGGGCGACTACTTTCCTGCAGCATCTAAATATCTGCTGTGCAGCTAGCTGAGCTTTATATGGCCGTTATTTACTTAACAACAACAGATGGGCATAATCGTAGGGGTGTGATCCGAATGTTAAGGTAATGCTTTTCTTTCTTTTAGCATGTATGCGGAAGAGGGAAAATATAGGAACTTCTGCTGACTGCCATTCGAATGTTACAATGTTTATTTAATAATTTATTGAATTTACTACTACGATGGTGTCGTGTCGGCGTGTTGCGAATTTTTTTCCTATTTCATGTTACAAGGCCGGGTTTTGAAGAAACGTATTTTTCTTGTTTTACATTCGTTGATTTTCGTATTAGATGCACGCATGGATACTCTAGTTTTTTTTTACAGAATTGCTAAAGGCTGGACGATCTCTTTCGAGTTTGTTCCATAGGATCAGCAATTTTTCGTAGAATATTTGTTTTTAGTGGCGGAACGAAACCTGACCGCATTGGAATTCACTGCGTCGATATATCATGGAAACAGGACCCGTTAAGCACAGAAAAGGCTTCTTCATAAACTAAAAAAAAAACACGCTGTCCTATGATTTCTGAACGTTCGAATGAGGCAGGTACTCACTGATAGACATTCACTCAAGAAAGGCACACTCGGTCATAAACCGGTCACTCCAAGTAAAGGCTACAATCTTCTTTGATACATTGCTCTTTCGAGTTTGAATTCAACCTAACGTTTGCAATAAAACAACCCTCTACAAATAAGAATACATACGAATATCAAATGTTACTATGTTTGATTATTCAGTCTTCTGTCGTGAACTAATAATGCCACACAGTTAAAGATAGGTACTTCGCAGCCAGAGAACTTTTTATGTGGCCGCAGTATCGTGGTGTGGTTAGGGGAAACAAACTTCTTAAACTCAGATGATACATTAATGATTCTTTGAAATTGCTCGATGATCGACCGCCATCAGCGGAGACATTTATTACTTGTGTGTGCCTAACGGTTGTTATCCTCGACGATTTCCCCACGAATTATCTAACAGGCGGCTTCTTCCTCCAGTTTGTGTCGTTCTGCCCGTCTTTTGGCTGTCGACAGTCATCAATAACGGACCTGTTCACTGTCCTCGATAAAGGGCTTTCCAATTCTACGAACACGCAGACATAAACAGAACAGCAGACGTTAGCTACTAAGAGCGATCGATGCAATGAGTCACTTGTCAAAACAGCTGGTAGACGGGCAACATGTGCTGCGATCGAGCAACGTAGATCCGTCCATTAGCAAGTTGGTATAGGTTAAAGAACGGAATTTGGAAATGAAAATGGCTTGTGACACTGTAGAGCAGTGATGTTCATTGCGCGCATAGATGTAATGGAGGCTGCTTAAATTATAGTTTTGGCCTAGGATTGCCATCCGCTGTGTCGGACTCGAGACAAATTCATTACTAGAAACTGCTTTCATATGAGATGCTTTCATCCATGAATGGTGATAATCCATCATGACTGAACTTAGAATTTGCTCGAGAGAAACTTCATATGTTTCTATTCTTTCCGTCAAAAACCCGTAAAGTGTAGTATTACTTCGGATAGAGCAGAAGGAAGGCCTGGTCAAAGTCGAATCAACAACATCCATGAACGGGGGAAAGTGGAGAGGGCAATCTAACGCGACTCAGAGAGATTTCACTCAGTTAGCCCGCGTTAAATGTGGGCAGCTACGCAGCCGTTAGCTGTGGGTTTTTTCTGAAACATGTGATGATGGTCATTTAACTCAATAAGTAAATAGTTATTTGTATATTTTCTATATCATCCAGTGAAACACTTCCAAGAAATTCCATTGTCCGTAATGAAGGTCGTGTATAATGCATAATTGCAGTCTGTGATTAACATTCAACGAAAGTGTAGGCTGAGGCTGAATTTCTTTGAGAGCATAAGGACCACCAAGAGTTTCGATCGTTTTTATGTGAGTCTCAGGTACCAAAGTACCCACTTACCTAAATCGAACAAGAATATGTCACTTGTGGAAAACGTTTTTAACGCAAGACTTAAATAGACCTATGAAAGTAGAATGGGTGTGCTTCTATAAATGTATTACTAAACGAGACAACAATGTTCTAAGTAAAAAACATATATAAACTTTCGTTGAGGCACTGATAATTGCAATAACAAGCATGGTGATCTTATGCTGTTATCAATTCGAAGCGGCTGTCAACACATATGTGTGATCTATGGAGGAATATACAAATAATCGGAGAAGTCAAAATTTTGTGCGAGACCCAATGGGCACGTTTCACCGACAGCCACTCCTCGAGCGACTTCGTAAACAGTCCGTTCGATTGTTAATGTCAGCCGATCATGCCTCCATGGAGATAAAATTGCCATCGAACTTTATCGATGATTTAACACAGTGCCTTGATGCAGGGGACCCGGAACATATCGAGCCTTGCCTGGGTCTTCTATCTAGAGTGACGTTTACTCAGCCTGCGGCGAAGCAGCATGAGATTCAGGATCTTAAAGTGTACATTTTCTGGAAGAGACTTTATGTCAAGCGTGTTGGCTACTCCAAAAAGAACAAAAGCTTCATCGAAGCCAATACGTTAAAAGCGGCTTCAGTTGTTATCTGCTCGCCGACAACACCCGCAATAGTGAAGCGGTCCGTTAAAGGAGATATTCTATTGATTGTACTGAATCGATATATCAAAGCGGGATTGACGCCGCCGCACGATTTTTTCGTCAGTCTAACTCGTTATGCCAAGCCAATAAGTGATCGCCAAGCGGTCGTGCTTGCCGAGTGTCTGTTAGAGCGGACTCATGACGAGACGTGGGCCTACCTAATTCCTGTGTATCCACAGTTATTGAAATTTCTGCTCGTTCTGAACTATGGCGGTGAGGCATTCTTGATGAGGGTGAGGCTCGCTTGCGATAAGTGGCCGTTGCTTAATGATTTAATTTACGAATATGCTCAGACGATTGGTGATGAAAATGCGAAAAACACTATTTTTGGGAAGATTATTGACTGCCGCATCGAATCAAGTATTCCATGCATGAAATAGAAAACTGGATCTGTATTGTAGTAAGAAAAAACCAGTAAATAGATATTTATAAATCTCACAAGTGTTAAGGTATGATTACTGTTACTAAAAGATTTCCGAAAATAATAACATTAAAGAAATGACTGTGCACTACTATCGTTTATCGTTTAACATATTCATAATTGTTTACTGTAAAATGGTGAGTTTCTTACAATTAAGATTAGTATAATTTTAATATATATGAAGGGCACTGAAATAATGGCGTAAATATCTCATCGAATGTTGTAAACTATAGCATGTTGCGTGCGTCAGTATATTTCAATAGATATTATTTGAATTGTACTTGAATGATTAATATCCCGTGCTTTTGCGGCAATTTAGCCATACGAAACTAATGTGCTTAATTGTAGATTGCTAGATTACTAGACTAGCCCATTGTAATCAGAAGATTGTACAGGCCTCAAACTTTTATTTAAGACGAACAAAAACAATCAAGGAAGCCGTTTTGTATTTCGGTAATCTTTTATTAGACGTAGCATATGGCTATTGCTAAATGTGTCTTTTAATAGACAATGGATCTTTTTTTACTGCACCTTATTTCCTTCCTTAATGCCGCATGTTTACTAATATCAGTGAAACAATATTACTGGTTGTTGTGGATTAAAAGGCAGATAAATTAGCGGAAGAGCAGGTAGAATGAACGGAAACAGTAGATATTTATACTCTGCAAAACCTAATGTGAAGTTGGAAAAATATGGCTAACTCACTACTAGATATAAATAGATTATATAGCTGGTAATTTTAAAGAAAAAAAAACTGAAATTTGAAATACGTCCAAAGGGCCTAGCGTTTCTCACGTGTATCGACAAATACGGATCGACCATCAAAAACAACTAAATGTTGCATATGTATTCAAAAGCCGATGGCACTCACAGCATGCTGTACGAGATACCAGTACTGAGGAAAACACTGAGTTGATGACGGTCGAGCGAATAGTGAAGCATTACTTAATCAAAAAGTGGGAGTAATCGATGTTCACACAAGATTCGTTAAGTTTATTTGAGAATGTCATTTAATAATTTTATTATTAAACCAAAATCATTGAATTTAAAATCGATCGTATTAAACCTAAGTTCTCTGTGCATCTCTTTTTCCGGCCAGAGAAGTTTTTGGTTACTTTTAATCTCCAAGCCACCCATGAATCTTAAGACTCTGTTTTGTTTCATGTTTATAACGTTGGCTCGATTTCTTGGTGACTACTATGCCAAGATTAATAATACCCAAAGCATGAGATATTAGTCGACAAGGATTAAGGTCTATTTAACCATATGTGTGGGATGCCTTCCAGCAGCTGTAGAAAAGCGGTTGTGTGTACGGTTTGCCTAATTATCCCTACAAAATTTATTAGATTTCCGACAAATGCTCGATATACTTGTTGTATTTTCTTCAACTGACCTAAACTTTGCATTTTATTCATTGTTATGGTATGTCACTGTGTACCGCCGGGATGTCGAAACAAGTACGTTTGTGGATGAAAATCGAGTTGTATCATGTATTAACTTATTACGCCGTGATCTGTACCTATGTTCAGTTGACGCTGAACTAAGTTTTTGCTTTAAAAACATTTGGTTTATGCCAAGAAAAAAACACGCGTTAATAAAATCATGGTAGAGAACACTACATATAGAACAGTTATATACATATAACAAAAAAGGAGGGTCAAACGCCTGCAAGATCTTATCCTTTAAAGCAAAAATACAAAACAAGCAAGTTAAAAAAAGGGCCCAGTCGGAACTTTGTCACGAAGAAGAAATCGTTTAAGTGTTCGAACTGAAATAATGACTGATACAAAGCGACTAAAGGAAGGAAATAATGTGGGTATTCAGGGCAAAATATCTAGGTCTGGACGTTATGAGTTGTTTTAAAACTGCATGTAGACAAAAGCAGATGTTTTAACAACTTTTTCTGCCTGTGCTAGAAGTGTCATTCTTATTTGTTATGTTTATTTAAGATAACCACTGTTCATGGTAACCAAACTTCAAATACACTACATAAAAAAATTTCAGGTGTATTTAATTACGGGCTGGATGCAAATCAAAAGTTACAAGATAGCGAGAGCTCAATGCTGCCAAAAAGTCTAAAGGGTGGAATAAGGCTTAGTAAAGCTAATTGCTGAAGCGTATTCAGGCGACCCAAATAATATTTTCCTCTCCAAAATAGCCGTTAATTTCTGTATGGAACACTTAGGTATACGAAAAATTGATTTTTGAGATTTTGCGATGAATTTTCAAGCTCTTTAAACAGAACCTTTTGATTTGTTTCATGATTTTCAGAAACTGCATAAAAATTAACAGTAACCTAAACCGCCAATTAAGAGCAGAAAAAAAGTTGTCAGTTTCGATAAAGGTTCGCCCAGGACGAAAAGATGGGGTAATAGCTGATCACTGCTCAAATTCCGTAAATAACCTGTTGTTTTTCGCTATTTTGAGTTTTTTGTTTTATTTTTGAAAACTGGCTTTCTTTTGATACAAAAAATAACTGATAACTACGTACCCGTCCTTACAAACAGTCCGCCAAAAATTGTTCAGTTTTAAATGTTCCACTGTGTATATATATAGAAATACATGTTTCTGCTCTAATATAAATTTTATCATTTGCTATTACATGACAGAATGATCACACGTGACCCGATCGGTGTAACTAGTAAAAATATGAAGATCAGCCACGAACGACACTAACGCCTGTGAAAGAAAATTTTTCTATCTAATTTAGTTCCTAATGAATAAGTGTAATCTTTAACCTAATACGGCACAATGATGCTTGCTAGGTGGTTATTTATTCTACCTATTTTTTACATTAGGTTTTTACTTATTTTTTTCTACTAATTTCCATTTCAGGGAAACTGTCGGAGAGAGCCTTGTAATAGCTAATTCAGATGCAATAAAAAACCGTCTTCCCAATCTCTTGCTGTAACAGAAGTGTTGTGCAGTTCTTGAAATTGACTAAGATAGCTGTTGATCGGGGAAGCAACATATTTCAGTATCGATCATTATTAATTACAGCAGAACACGTTTAGCGCTATAGGGTGGGCATACATTAACCAATGCGTTTCGGGGTATTGGCTGTTGTTCACAGATAATGCACGGTGGTCTAAAAAAGGTTAGTATACCTTTAATTGACATAAAAACATTATTCATTTAGTTACATAATAGTATATGCCGATGACGGGGTTTGAAGTAAGGATCCGCGTTGGTTTCCTCAACGAGACGTCCATTAGGCGGCCTTATTTTATGCGGTTTGCGTAAGTATACAATCTATAACTATTAGGACCATAAACATGATTTTAAAACATATATGCATATTACATTACATGATTATATATATACCTATGTCGTGGACAAGCCTGGTATCGGAGTTAACGGAAGACTTATTACTGTTGTGATTTTCGATGCAGCTAAACACCACAGTTAACTAAAGAACTTACTTAGCTAGGCGCAGAAGGTGTGAATTCAATAAGTTCTGCTGCGGCTCGAAAATGCTAGCAAAAGCGCCACATTATTATGACAAATACTTAGATATGAGGTCGTGTGTCCCTATAATAGATTTACATTTCAGTCTTTCAACAAAAGCAAAAAAAGGATATTGCTAGAAGATCTTTGCTGTGAGTGCAACGGAAGTCTCTGCTGACCTTCGATTCAAAACAAAAAACATTTTACTTTATTTGAAGCTCGACTTTAAGGCTTTGCCATTGTCTGAAACTATCACAGGACTATCATAGAAACAAGTGTAAGTGAAGGTAAACACCCATTGTTAGTCTACGCGAATCACTCTGTTAACGGTGTTGGAAAATTAGCTGTATGGAAGTTCAAATGGCAGTCCGCGGAATAAGTAACAGTAACATCATCTTTGGCGTTTTTTTCGCAACATCGCACACAACGTAGTTTTACATGTTATTAGCGTTACGCGATCTTCGCTCTCTTTTTTTGTTGCTTTTTGCCTACGTCACTTCATCTGGGTGCTAATACGATATATATATATATATATATAGAGAGAGAGAGAGAGAGAGAGAGGTGAACTAACTAAATATTATCTAGGCCGAAATAGGGATCGTTATTAGCTCTAAATAGCAACGCAGACAGGCAGGCATCCAGTTATATAAGATGCAAACAAAATCAGGAGATTCCTATTCCAGGAAACCATCTCGTTCCAATCACCTCTTTTAGTCGGGTGAGTCGCTTTAGTAGCGGTAACACACTTCTCTCAAAATGATGGTCGATCGATGAAAAACCGTAGTGGATTTGTCACTGTGTTCCCCTTCGAGTATTCCCTTTTAAGACGTGGAACATAAAGCATATAATACAAGCTTGTACCATATGCTTGTATGAAATCTGCACCTGCGAGCACTGCAGCAAGCTCTTCACGGTACATTTCAGATTTTTCGCGGTTGCTTCTATTCACTTGGGAACCTTTGTTTATATTGTGACCTATAGTGCTTAAGTTCGTGTCGATGTGGTTAACAAGGAGACTAAACAAATATTTACTTTGGCCTAAATAGCTACCGACTACAGTCGAGCCACACCATTCTGAATAGAAAAATTATTATATTCAATCATCATTTTTTCTATGACAATTAGAACTATAGATTTGATTCACCTTACAGTATTTATAGCCAGAGCGTCGTCAACAACTATATTGTCAATTAATTATCGATTGAATTAACTAATAACAACAAGCGTCTCCGTGTCGGCACATAAGCTTATGCCGTATCAAAATTAAGTATTAGTTTTGTTTGATTGGGGTGTTTGCTTCTGTATTACACTTTCATAAATGTGTTATTTTCTCTTATTCATTAGACTTGTTGATGAATACATTGAAGTCAATGACAACCAATGCGTTCATTACCGTAGGTCAGCACAGAAGATTGTCCGTTCGCTTTCTCTCGCCTTTCAAAAGCCGTCATAAAAATATTCCCAGAATGTGGATTGTGACTCAGAAGTACAAGGGGTAGTTGTATTCTACAAAATTCTTGGACAGTATTTAAAGAACAGAAACTTATGATACCTTTGTTTTTTTTTTTGAAAACAGTAATCAATGTTGGGCAGGTTTACAGTAATATGAATAGGCTTGCATAAGTCTAAGACTTGAATAAGTATACGGTATTTACTGGTTGAATTTCTCAAACGGATGCCATGCTGATAAAAGTTTAATAAACGTCATGCGCGATTCTCCAAAACGTGGATTTTTTATTTTTATTATTATTTAGTTTTATCTGGTTTGGTCTAAAAATAGAATTACAATCGAAATAAGAAGACTGGATGCAGGTGATGTGAAAGTTGCTCTTTATCGATATACCATATCGTCGAGGGTCTTTCGGAGCTAGTTAAAATTGTACAGATATTAAGTAGTGGAGATAATGTACGGAAAGCAAGCATTTTTAATATAGCGGACAAATAATAATAGATAAACTTTGCACTTTAATATAATGAACACAACATAGCATAGCCCAACATCTACCTCGAATTCTCAAGCGTTAACAAAACAACATATTGAAACAATTCACATACAACATAAGTTAACACATACAAACACCTAAAATGGACTGTTGGAGCCTCATTCTTAAATACATAAATCCTACTAAATATTAGGCTCTTAGAGTGCTTAAGAAATCATAGTGGAGAGTACCCCTTCTATTTTTCACATACGCTTAGTTTTTCTTTATTTTATTGTTCCAGCGCTCAGCCCGCTTTTGAACAGCCATACACCTGCCATTTACGTTGCGATGTGTACCCTTTTAATCTCAAACTTTTTGTATATCGATAGTGTTTTTAAAGTAAAAGAGACCTGTAATCACACGGGTTTAGTTCGAGAGAATAGGCGGGTTGAAACCACCATTGCATATTATTTTACTAAATCCAGGAAGTTACTGGAATACGGCAGTAATGTCTAATCATGTTATCAAGTAACTTAACCGGATGCTTTTGATTGCTGAACTTGCATTCATTGTTTCGATTTCCGCTATCTCATTACATCTGCATCTGCATATGGCCCTGATACCGATTAAAGGTACTACCATCACCTTACGCGTGACTTACTTGATATTGCCACCGAACGCATTCTTTTCAAAACGACGTCATTCTGATCCGTTTTTGGCTGGCGATAGAGATTGAGCCATGTCTTGTCTATGACGAACGTATGCTCCAGGAGGCTTTTTGTTGCATAAAGCCCTGCTAATTGCAGGCGCAAGACACGATACGCGTTCTCAACTGGTCTGAGTCAATCGATGAGAAACCCATTTCTTACAAAGTCCCCACATTTTTAGTATTTCGATTACAATTCTGTAACAGGTTACATGTGACAAGCCAATTTTACCCAACAGAACCCTTAAACTGTGCATTCACAACAACGACACACACTCCTACCTTCTTCGGATCCCAAAATCTAGTAACCCCTTCGCTGGTTTTCAATAATCTAATCTTCGTTCTTGAGACGTCTGCGCCTTTCACGTACTATGCTTTTGCTTAATGTGTCCCCATTGAATGTCTCCGATCTAATCTTCGATAAATTTTTGTAGCATTGTGGCCTTTTTAGGACAAACTTCACCACTGAGCATTGATTTTCAAAATTAACAGATGTTTTCTCATCTGAAATCCTGTAGTAAACAACCGGTTTTTTTAACACAAGTTTTTAGAAGACCGGGATACTAACCAACCGGATTAGTTTGCCAGCTACACGTAGTTAACAAAACATTCAATTTTGAAATCCACCATATTCTCTTGTCACAGCCTAATAGTTCTCTATGAAGGAAGAATGAGTTAATGCTAATGTATTGTCGATTGCCATTTATGGTCACAGAAATATATTTCATCGTGAACATCTTGGCTTAAAATTAAAATCAGAAAACAAAATAAACCTCACGGACTATGGATATTACCCTTTCTTTTAAATGATTATAAGGCCTGTTAAATATATTTTTCTACAAAACTTCCCATTTCATTGTAGTGAAATGCGTTTGTAGCTAATTGCTAACATAACTAGTTATCAGGTACGCATATGCAAATGAACTGATTCGATTTGCCAGTTTAAGAACGTCAATCATACATTTTCATCTCTATAGTCTGATGGTTTAATATTTGTTAAATTCACGAAAGTTACGTATAAAGGGACGCCATATTACCTGCATTCTTTTAGGGGTAGCTATCGTAGGTTTCTTAGATATGAGCGTATATACATGAGCCCGCCTGAACTACTCTAGTCTATTCCAGCTCTGACCGATTGAGGTGTTTCAGCGTTCCGAAATACACAAAAGGGAATTAATGAGTTAGTTATGATTTTATTTCACTCGAGGTGTGTTGTGTTTAAAAACGAGGTCTAACAATATTTCACTATGTATAATTGAAATTTTCAAAAGCTCTTTGTTTCCATGTGATCCTGAGTTGAATCCAGGACATGAATGCTAAGTCACTTAGACTTGAATTTACTGTTTACCAAAATTGGCTACAGTAGATTATTGGCTATGTTTTTGATTAATAAGATGATCATGACAGCTATTTGCTTCATGCGTGAAGGCAACCTAATACTACTTCGGAGGGATCGCTGGAATCTTATCTAACAAAGCATCACTTACTAACTAGACCCTACGTATATACTGCATATCGCGCAAAGAAGCTTTTGATGCATATATTTCTGCAAAAAAATAGTAAACAATCAACTGACTTTAGATAATATAACAGTCTTTAACATCAGGTGAATGGATTTTTCGTCGCAATTACGTTTATCTCTAAGCTGTAAACAGAAGCGTAGTCCTTCATCTCCCAGGCTGCTCTAGCGCAAGGCCCTATGTAGCGTCGCATATAAAACATGATACTAAATTTTGCAATGCACCAAAGCATTAGTTCATCTACTTACGAAGCTATAAATTAGGCTATTAACGATAAAAGATCCATAGCATAGAAACCTTGCATGTGACCAGAATTAATCATTTATTTGCGTAACCACAAGATGTCAATCTAACGTACGAGACAATTTCTTTAATACAATATATTTTGCTAAACCAATGCATTTGTTATGACATGTTCAAAGTGACAGTACGTAGTAACCAAATCATAATTTATCAGTTGCCAGCCTTCAGTGTCCTTCAGAACTGCGTGAGTCCTTGGTTTGATGACTAATTCATTTGAATTAGTCACACAGACAAAATTACCAAAACTCGTGTCAACTGCAAGCACCTGCAGTTCGCAATTTGAGTAAACAAGCCCCTGATATTAGTGGCTCTACTATAGCAAGTCCCTGAATTTACAGCTTAAACGCCACATCTGCGCGCTAAAGTGTGGTCGTGAAGACAACAACAAAAGACTTTAAGCAGCCTCCAATCGTCGTCTTTGTTCTAAACCTTGTAGAATCTGACAAATCTGCATATGTTGCGAAGTAATATGATGCAGATACTTCAACCGAACATCATGCCTGCGGACACCCGTAAACGTGAGGACGAGTGCCAAGAGGGCGCAGTGTACGTACGTGCTGTCCGTCAGATTTGGACTAAGCCAACCCATGTCTCTGTGAAGGAAAATACAAGAATTGGCAGTGAGTGGTTGTACAGCACAAAGAACTGACAAAAAATCGATACCAGCGTCATATATGTATGAATAATGGGCCGAACTAAAACAAGCTGAAAAAAGTGACTTATTAGTTATCTACTTACACGTTGCCCTTTGTTCGACTTTTGTGCAGCAGCCAAATTTGGACAACGCAGTTTGAGAACGCTATTAAAAAACAAGCCTGACGAGCATTCCGAAGAAGCCGACACGTCAACCAGTGTGAAACCAATAGAAGAGTCACATACGTGACCAGTATGTACGAAATGCACATATAGTCTGAAATCGAACTTGTAAAATGTAATGATTAGGTTGCCAGCACATGATTAGGTAACATCAATTGACATTGTGAACGACTGAATGCTCGAAGCATTTTAATAGCTTATTACAGAACTCGACTCAGTACTGTCGTCAAGGGACACAGAAGAGTAACTGCATGAAATCTTTTAATTTAGTCATTAGTCGAAGTAAACATTTTTACCTGGCTCCTCAAGATTATGTTGCAGCGAATAAAGTTATCTGCGATATCTGCTCATATTTCACATGGCTTATATAAATAAACAATAAGAACTACAAGTTACAAATATGCAGCATGCTTTACGAAAGATCATGATGTATGTATATAAGGTCGTAGTTGTTGGAGTTTGGAAGTTATCTGTCACATCTTTGGGAAGTAGTGAAGGGATATTACGGACAGAAAAATATTAGCAAAGTCGAATAATGGCAATTTCGAGAAGATGCACTTACACATTCCTTTGTCCATTAGCTGCGTTATAGATTTTGAGGCTTCGCTTGCCAACGAGGCCACGTTGGAAACCATATCCGTCACAAATCCAGCAGCGGATGTTAACCGTGAATAGCTACCGGTTTCGGTTGTCTCGCCCACAACGCGCTCTAAATAGTCAGTACCTCTGGTTTGCGCCTGTTGTCGTAGGGCTGATTTTAACGCTGAGAGCTCCGCGACCACTTCACCATTGAGACCTGAAGCGAGGTTCACCGCCTAGGAATTTGAGAAAGGTAGCATAAAGGTAGGAAATCACACTACTCACTTATAATATACACATATACTCACTTATAAGGAGAGCACCGAAAACAAAAAGAAAAACTTTATTAACGATGACTACTGAGGTCAAGAAAACAGGACAAACGTTAGCGAGCACCAGCGATTAGAGAATTAAAATTATATTAAAAGAAAAAAAACATTGAAAAATTCTGTCGTAACTTCACGAAAACCGTTGTTTTAGTACAGGACAACCTGTCTTGTTGGACCGACCTTATTTTCAGTATATTTACAATTTACTAAGAAAATAATTCTGAGATCACGAAAAACAACAATAAAGCCATGGACAAACCAGACGCTGAACCTTAACTGTGTCTCCTATTAGTACTTGGTTCGTAAACAACGCGAGAAGCGCTCTAGTAAAAGGTAAGGCTGTACTTAGGACAAAAGACACCAGTACTTAGATATGATTTCGGCTTAAGTCGTTTGTAGAGTAAGAAAGAAGTGCTGCAATATACTTTTTCAGAGATTCCTATTCTTTGGGAGTGGGCGAGCGCCGTGCAAATAGCCTGAAGTCTAACGAAGATTTCAACCAAATCCTTTAACCCTGCACCATCGAGGTCGTCCATGGCAACACACGTTGATATGTCCGTTTCCGGATCGCAGTTAATTAACGGGGCTGACACAAACTCTTTTTGAAGATTCACCATAGATAGTGCAGTATGAGCTAAACCGTTAGCAACCATTGGGTGACAAACTGTCTGCGAATAAGACATTGATATCCGTATCCGTTACAACAGAGAACGGTTTTAACTCCAATATTAATTTCCAGCTTATACGAAAGTAGTAATATAATGTTAATATATAGAAATATTAGCAGCCCCATGCATGCTCCTTACTGAATTCCGTGTGCTTTGAAAGAAGGTCGTACATAATGAGTTTGAACACCGTTTCAGCAGCTATACCAAGGCGTCTAAATTAAGCTCTTCCCTAAACAAGAGTAACTCATTTTGACCAGAATTTTTGACGTTAAAATTGAAGTACTTTTCCGAAGGAAAGCTGTGTCAGATATTACTACGAAACATCGCATTTTATGTAACCTGGCATTATATTTGCCAATCAACTCTCTTGGCTTTGTATAAAAGGAGCATATGTAATTTTGCAGAAAGATGCAGAAATATAAATAGTAGAAACAACTGTAGTAATTAAAATAACTGGTTGTTACTTTATCGTTTTTGCTCTTCTAGCTTTTCACCTGTTCACGAATGATGTTCCTCGCTGCAGCAAAGACGTTATTCTATCTCTTCTCTAATAGATACACTTTGATACTTCCAATAAAGCTTTGCTACGTGCAAAGCAGCTTCCATTTGCCTTTTAATTCAATTTATGCATTGTTACTCAAGTTCGCATTTGGCATTTGTAGTCTTTAACCCCATTGTTCCCATGGTACGCAACTCGATAGACAGCAAATAAAAATTCAGCTGTAACTTGATTTATGCTTGTGCACATCGCTAAGGCGACAAACGCTATTCGTAAGAAAACAAATTAATTTGGCGATCTGCACGAAACGTTAATAAATTCACTTACCGTAAGTGTTGCTAGGGCGGAATCCCACCGTGCCCCATGAATTCTTCCTTGCTGGCGTAGTTCTTTGAGAATCCTGTCCGCATGCGGATGAATTGGAAACGTTTCCTCAATAGAATCGACGGATCTTGACCAGCTTATAGAAAAAAGCAAAACGCTCACAATCCTTACATAAAGTCGATTTCTCATAATTTTTTGAGGTCTCATCCTGTAGCGTCGTTATTGCACTGTAATAAGCGAAATTCGCCGCTATCCCGGCAGGATAGCTGCTCAAAGGTGCTACATATTTTGAGAGCTTACAAATAAAATGCGTGCGTGCTTAGTTCAGTCAATTGCGTGCCCACATTTTCTTAACAGAATATACTTTGTCATGGGGTTACTATAGAATATGAATGAATCGTTTCGTACTTGAGATTATGCTCAACAGTGGATGTCATAATACTTCATTAACAGCATCTATGCCAGACATAACAGAAAGTTCAATTACCTCGTTAACAATGTAGTTACGCTGGTGAATTTCAGGGCTAATTGTTGTATGGAGTCCTCTCAGTAAAGTTCAATTACGCTTTCTTCGAGAAGTGCATCGATGTTATTTATCGTCACGGGCGCTTAATTAGGAATTAAAACTTTTCTTGTAATTGCGTAACTTCAGGTTATTTAATCGGCGAAACAAATGTTGATCTCAACGCTACAAAGCTTTTCTCCACGATCATATATCCGTTACCCTGATAATACGTAAAATACTATACACCCTTGCTGGATTTTGTGACCTAACTTAAGAGCTCGTGTCCACGAACTTACGGTTTCTTTTACGAAACTAATTAGTACTAAAAATTTAGCAGTGTGGTTGGTGACTTCAAATACGTCTGAACAGAACACTGGATCATTTTTACTTTTTCACTGTTCTATAGATTGAGCTTAAACGAATATCGGAATTTTTGATCAGCCTGGATAGTTAATAGACCTTCGTTAATTTGGCCAAATTCGTATGCAGTTAGTAAGATGCTACGAATGCATTAAAAATAATAGTCGAAAATAACGAATCACTGTACCTTAGATTATATGATGATATATATATATAGATGAACGTGATAGGGTTAACAAATAGACATTCATAACAATTATATAGGTATACGAAATACGGATAATACCTACATAACTAAAAGAACCGGTACAACAATGATTTCTATGTGAGCAATAAAATATCTCTCGCGAGAGTTGACTAGAAGATTGTAGTCATAGTTTCGAACAGAAACTATGTAATTTACAACAACAATTCATCGTTACGAAAATAATATTCGAGTTGATTTCTTTTTTCTAGTAGATTTTATTTTTGTTTCCACTAAAATATCTAATAACAGTCGCAATAGACAAATCTAATCCCAGACAACGCCGAGCTGTTCATCTGTCATTGTATTGGGGTCCTGGACTGAATAGTGGCCGAACAAATGGCCGTAATCAGTACAGCAATGGTAGGTAATCCAGGCCCACATAAAGCACATCGCACCTGAAATAATTCAGAATTCGGCAAATGGTTATTATTTTCCATATTTTTTTACCACTATCATTATTACTTTTATTATCAAACTAACAAACCGCTTCTATCAGTAGACGATAACTATCTTTAGTGGAACATGCTCTCGTAATTAAAGGAACTGAACGTGCTTTTACAGCACAACGCTGCAGCCATTATAGTTTCTAGGGTTTGGTAGCTCTAATTAGACACGTAGAAGACTGCTGAAAAATAAGCGAGTCTCCGAATTGTGAATAAAATCGATGGTGTATTTTGTATCACCTTCTGTGATAACAACTGCTATAGGATGAAGCATAAATAATGGAGTCCCATGGTAACCGAATCGTTCTATGTACGTTTTGATAATACTGCATTTAACGCATGTCCTACATTTCTCTTACACTGAGAACTCAGGTTCACGGTAAGATTTTACAGTTTTATCCTGTTTTATGCACAACACTTTCATCCTCTATATATATATATACATATATTTTTTACTAGATAATTCCATGCTTTACGGAATCTGTTTAAAGTAAGTAAGAACCAATGTTGTAACTGAAAGAAGGCAAAAGGTATGCATTATATAACGTTGCATTCGAATGATAACAAACAACTATATGAACTAGCTTAATTAGTTCCCTGTTTAAACTAAATAGATCCATGACAGAATCATCACAGTCGCTGCAATCCCAGCTGATCCAGTTGTCTATTATTATTGGAATAGTTCTCACTTTGCAATTCGCATAATAAATTCGCTTAAATGTACGAATTTGTAGGCATTTGTTTAGCTGAACCGATATCGTGATAGATATTCTCCATGGGAAAGTATTTTTACGGTAAAGAAGCAATATGGGAAATTCAAAACAGCTTATGCAAAAGTTGCAGATCTACGACATCAAACGCGCTCCTGGAAAACACCTGGAGGCTTTTACAGTAGCATCTAAAATGTGAGTGCTGATTATGCTGATAAAGGATCTATATACCGTTGGCAAGCTGTGCAAGTCTCTTATCGTGAGGTGGGAGGTCCCGGTAATACCACGGTCCACTGTTTCTCTTTTGAATCATCTGGCGTCCGAACAATTGCAGGTGGTAGGAACGTGCCACTGCGTTCACGCTCGCGGCACGGATCACCGGCCCTATCATCGTCGTCGTACGTTCGTGCTCTAGCACACCAGAAAAAAAATAAAGTCACATTCACAGAATATCCGTTTAGCAAAAGACCTTGCTCCAACAATGGTGAGCCCTTTCTATATTTAGTAGCAAACGGGGTTCTGAGAGCGCTACGAACAAATAGTGCAAGCGATAAAACCCTGAAGTTTTTTGAAGGACGAAATGGTTAGCGGAGGTAATATAAGATCGTTTTCGAAATACGTACCGCGTCCATTTATTTTCGTTGTTGGTTCATCTGTTCACTTCTGCCCATTACAACACAGACACATTGATATTTTCCGAGTGGGTGTGTGGGACAGCTAATAAGATACGGGCGGGATACACGGTGAATAAATTGAGAGTGACAACTGAGCAGTAAAAGCAATTACTTAATAGTCTAGCAAACAGTGAGCATGTTACAGCAGCAAGATAGGCAGAGGCTGTACGTGAAATAGCGCTCAACAACCTCGATTAGTAGCTGCACCCGGCAGACACAATTAAACGCGTTTCTTTATTCGTAACCCAATGGTTTTTTGTGCTTGGTTTATTTTGCTGAAGCTGACCGCCACTTAATTTGTTTTGGTCCCACTACCGTATGGCACTGCGTTTGCACTCTTGTGTAACTTCACAGGTGAACGTGGATAAAAACCATTGAACCTACGTGCGAGCGGTTTGACAAGCTCAATATGCTATTCGAAAGAACTATACTTATGGAGTAATTGAAACGATTTATAGCGAACTACCATTGAACCGTGTGGCAGTTGTAACTACAGTGTTTTTACTATATTAGTGAACGCACTGATCAACAGGAACAATGGATAAGCTTTTTGGAAATAAAGCTTCAGCCAAGGGTATATATCAGTTGCAGATCTTTTGATAAGTTTGGATAAGATTGGCTTTCTTTAAGGTGAACATGAATCCATTTCCGATGTAAGGTGTTAAACATCGTGTATCCGTAATATGTAATCAGTTCATATTCTGATTAGCGCAAGTTTAGTGCGTGAAATTAGCAAATTGACCAAGCAAGACGTTGACTTTATTTGTTTCTTAGCTTTAGTATAAATTCAAGCGTTCTCTTAAATTTATACTAGATAGAAATCTATATTGTTTTAAAGCTTACTTATCTTCGAAAATTTGGTTGACGTGATCGACAGATGACCAATAAACTTCCGAAGCAGGTCTTTACAGGTTTATCATTCAATTATAGTTATACAGGCTATGAAATCCATGCCAAAAATACAATGAGCAGATAATTTATACTGCACTTATATTGTATAAACAAGATTGTATAAAAAGTGATGAAGTGTTAACGGGTAGCTGTGAGTTATCCATCTGATGGGCCTGAACGATTCCCCAGGTGCTGTTGTTATGTGGCGCAAATTCATGAACCCTAATTGTACAGTATTACGGGTGACCGAATTTCGTTCAAATAAACAACGCAGATAAGGAATTAATATAGGTTATCGTCTTATAGGGTGCATAGGATTAACCATGATGTAATGCTTATTGGTAATAATGTAAAAAAAAAAACGGAAAATTCCTTTCCGTTGACAAATCTCAAATTTTTACCCGGATTCGGCTTTCACTTAACTATGAAATTTCTCTGTACAGATGTCCCGCTCGAGAACACTATATGGTCGAAAGAACTTACCTACATTTTGTAACTGAATCACTCCATATGTCGACCGTTTGATACCAATATAAGGTACCTTACCAATATAAGGTATTCGTGAATTTATACACTTAGTTGTCACCGGTATATAAAGATAACGACGGTAAATGACCTTAGGATAAAATAACACATAAAGAAGGTTCATGAACACTTTGATATGAAGAAAATAGATTTTATTAATCGTATGATCCTTTTTCTTATCTCTGCGTCTCTGTTTCAGAACAACTAAGAAAAACCGACAAAGACCTTAGAAAATCGGAGAGAGATCTTGCAAGAGAAGATCGGGTTCTTGAGCGTCAGGAAAAGCAGATCGTAAGCTTGTACTGTATACCCATATGTCGACAAATAGCAGTCGTTGCGTAGAACTAAGCGAGAGGGAGGCGAAAATACGGTAGCAATTTAGTTCCAATGAGAAGATGACTTCTTGTTTCTATAGTGTAGGTCTGGAATCACTGCGGATGGAAATATTGTGGTCATTGTACAGTCGGTACCTTCATACTACCCTATGAATCTTTGCGGGTAACCGGTAATATGAAAATTATAATTTGAAACACTTGGCTTTGAGATAAATTTATAATTAACAGCAAACGTTTCAACGAAATTTTTTACATGCATGAGGAGTGTCATTCCTAGCTGTCATGCCTGTTCAATATATTCACCATTCACTGCGATTATAGTTTCAATTCGTGACCTAAATTTGTCGCTGATAATTTTAAAAATATTCCTTTTTAATAGCTTAGATAGTAACCATGCTTCAAGCGATACATAATGCTAAGTTGATGAGCATCAACCCGTTGAAGTGACATTCAGATACACTACATACCAAGCATTCCAGCGAAATTAAATCTTAATTTTGGCTGATAGCAGGCTAAAGCTTCCAAAAATGCTAGGTCTTAAGACAACTAAAAGTCCTAAAGATGCACGAGCTTAGGATGGCCAAAAGTCGCAAAAATATAAAAGCTCAAAACAACCAAAGGTTTAAAAGATACAGAAAAAGTCTAAAAAAATTACCATTGGAGTTTACCCGAAGGAGCCAATTGACACCGATGTTTTTTTTCTCTGGGATGGTCGTAAATTTCTGTATAAAAAACCAGCTGTATTAAAAATGGCTCTTTAGGAAATCCTAGTAATTTGTTAAGAATATTTCGGTTTATTTCAAGGAAATCTTTCTCAATTTTTTTAAAACCTTTATGAAAACTGCCAATAACGTTGACTATCAATTTCGAAATATAAAAGTTTGTTTAGCGCGAAAAGATTTCTGCTGAAATTGCGGAAACGATGCAGCTTTTTTCATCATGAAGTTCGCTGTTTTGTTCCAAAAAGAACCAACTTTTTAGTGCCAAAAATGGCGAATGGGTACATTACCGTAACTGTTTCGTAAATTGGACAAATCTTGGCGGGCTATGTTTCTAGCCCGCCAAGATTTGTCCGATTTAGATACCGCACCCTATATACAAGGGACGATTTTTGTTTTTAGAATTGAGAAGTTTGTCGTTGTCTATTACATTATGCAGCTGCGCTATGATACTTTAGTATAATGCCAACTGAGAATGATTCCACTGCAAAAAAATTCTATAAAACCGTGTTTATTCAGCCATATGATCTTTACAGCACCTAAGTCTTTGTACCAGTGTGCTCTCTGGAAATTCGGTAAAGGTTTTTAATGGATCTCATTTTTTGATAAAAATAATGTATTATACATATAAGATAAGGGGATCCTATATTATATTATGGTATATATAACATTAATCTTCAAGTACTAGTGAATTTTATAAGCACATTTTTTTCTGTACCTCAACACTTCTTTGATCGGAGGTTAAGACTACCTTAGATTTATGGCGATCTGTCAGATGTGAGTCAACTTGAGTAGGTAGATTACTTGATTTTAATTCTCAAGGCGATTTACCATTGACTCAAGAAGTGAACAACGTTTTGGCAATAGGTGATAGCAACATACTGTTAACAAGAATTCATTGTAAACACTGTTTCCTTCAGGAACTGGAGATCAAAAAAGCTGCGAGATTAGGTTATAATAACATGTGCAAAATGTATGCGAAACAGCTGATCCAGGTACGGAAGCAGCGGGAAAGGACAAAACAAGCTACAATTCAGGTAGGCGCGCTCCTGCATACACGCACCAGATCAGCTCATTGATTGCAATAGATAATGCGTTTATAATAATATAGAGTTATTATTACTTAATATGTAAATAGTTTCTGTAATCACCTGGTACTATATAGTGGCCGATCTATCCGATTGCGACGATACGTTTTGATCAATGACGTAATCACGTCAAATTTCTATTCTGCTATTGTACAAAGATTCTGAATGCTATTTATTGTACGACAGGTGGCAGAGGTCCGTAACCAGTCGAAAACAATGGGCGCTAATATGACGCTGGCGAACACTGTCGCTGGGGCAACGAAGGCGATGTCGGGCATGAACGACATGATGAACCCTCAACAACTTGCAAAGACGCTCGGCGAATTTAGGATGCAGTCAGAAAAAATGGGCATAACTGAAGAGATAAGTAAGTGTTGACCTTTTTTTGGTCGATTTTTCTTAACTAATTGGATATTGAAAGTGACACTGCAGTGATTCCTAATTCATTGCGCCTAGCAGTTAAATGGTAGATATATTAATTATTGAAGCTAGCGTCTACTACCATTAAGCATTGATTAAGATGGTTATTGTACTTCTGTGTAGTGGTTTAATGAAGGTTGAATCGAAAACGATAAAACAATATTTATTTTATTCCGCATCAAAAAGATTCTTGAATGTTGAAGCGGTTATCTGATGGCCTTTTATAGCTACACATACACGGTACCCTGTCGATCTAAATGTACATCTGATTACCAACTGTTTGCGACTTCTCATGTTTTTGTTGTTCTTTCAGTAAATGACAACCTGGATGATATCTTGAACGAAAGCGGGGACGAGGAAGAAAGCCAGAACATCCTGGATAAGGTTCTCGATGAAATTGGTATTGAGATCAAGGGCAAACTGGGAGAAGCGCCCGGTGTACTAAGCAACGTTCCAGGATCTTCGAAAGTGTCAGATGACGATCTCGAGAAACAGCTAGAGCGTTTAAAAGCCCTTTAATGATAAAGGAAGTGGAAGCAGTTTCAGTTAATATAAGCGGTAACGCAACGGAGGGATGATTTAGAAACTACTTATGCGGGAGGTGAAACTTCAAAAGTGAGTTTTGGTGATAGGACAGCTTAGCAGAAACATAATTTTGAAACCCAGGGTTGAGCTTTCTGTAATAGCAAAAAGTTGCCTCTACTGGTATAATTATAATGATGTCAGGAGAAGTCCACGATTTATTTCGATAAAAATCAGGGCGGTAAACTCGTAACTGACCTAACATTATCCTTCATGTTTTATAACGCCTAAAAATTGGTATAAATATGAATGATTCGAAAATTTCGAAAAAAAATTGTTAAAGTAAATGGTACATGCGTGCCAAAGATACGTCGTAAACCAGAGATATTTTAGACTATTTCTGTAGATCTATTTTGCTCTATTTTGTAGAAATCCACAAATTCCACCGAAAATGTACATAAACTTTAACAAGTCACTGGAGTCGAGTCATGATGATAAGGGCGTTGAAAACATTTTGAGTTTGGTATGAATACATACCATATAGACGTGTCTTCCCAGCAAAGCTTATTTTAAGATTGCTGGTAAGTGTGTTCATGAACAAAAAGACAATCTCGTTACAATATCGCGATGCTCGCAAGTAAAAGGGCTTGTCCTGCAGTAAAGTGACTTCAAAGTTTTAATTTTATTATTTTTTTTTTACAGCGGTGTGACGAACGTAGAAAAATATGCTGTTATTGTAAAATATAATGAAGATAACTAATCGGAGTGGTTTCAAGATTTCCATTCTGTTGAGAAATCTGAGTAACCAATTATATATAGTCAGTCTGCGCTTTGTTAGAAACAGCTGTTTTGATCCTTTTTATTTACCACATTGTTGACCTTTAGCTCAGGTGTAACTAAGTTTGTCTAAATGTAGACATACATGGTGTGAGAAGCGAAGTACCTATGTAAATACTTTATACTGCACTTTACAATTCAAATAAAGTAATTTTTACAAATTGCATTTCAATGTGGTTATTGCTAGCTAGCGATGATTGTAAGAAAAGCTAACGATACGCACACAATAGTATATCCAAAGTTCCTGAACAATTTTTGCATGATATTTAACTATAACGTTTACATAGACAAATTGTACTGGAATATATGATGTTACTCAGCATTTCAATTGTGAGATGACATACGTGAAGTAACATATTTTACACTGGTAATTTTTAAAGTTAGCGTTATTGTTTTCTTTTATTATTAATAGTAATATAATTACTGTTGGCGAAATAGTTCAACCTGTCGATAATGGCACCGTCACGTAAAACCTGATGATTTTTGATACGATAAGTGGAAGAATCGATAACAAATGTAGTCTTTGTTTTGACGTGAAAAACGTCATCCTAATACAGAACTCGCTGCGCTAGTATATAATGGTCTAAGATCCACTGCTCCACTATTATTACTATGGCATTAAATGTGTCATTGATTACATTGTGAAACGAAGAATGATTGCAGGCGATTCGTGCTCGTAAGGAATGCGTTTCCATTAGAGAATTTACAGAAAAATTGAATTTTTACGTGGCGGCGCACCATCTTTACACTTTGTATTATTCTGATGACTTTCTCCAATCTCTTTGCAGGCACAGTACATCCTTGCGTTTGGCTGTAAGTACAAATCTCGATAATTTTCAAGTAAGTCGTTCTAAGCTAATTTTCTCTATCGTTGGCTAGGGCTTGGAGCGGAATGGAGCAGAATATCTTTAGCAAAAGAATACGATGCTTTTACTGCGTATATACTTCAATAGTCAGTTTTATGCTGTGCTATACTTCATTAGCATAGATATCAACTAGTTCTATGATCTCCTTCTCTCTTTGTACTCTGTAGTATTCTGAACTTAATTGCCTGACAAGTCCCTTACTGCTGGTTACCTATGCTGGCCAGCTCAGCGTGGGCATACACACTCGCACTCATCACTAGCAAATGATTTCGTAAAGGTGCGCCTAATGTCTTACAATACAGTTTTTTACCTTTTAAGTTTTCAGGTTTATTTTTCTATGTCTTTTCTCTATTTTTGAGCTTTTGTTGTAAAAATCCGAGGCGAGGAGTCTTTGTGTGAAAATTTCGTTTTCCCGTGCATAACGAATACTTTCCAGCTTTTGCAGTGACGCCTGTTGCTCCTATGACAGCAATGGCAAATTTGATAAACCAGATATGATAAAATTCATATAACCATGTGTGGATATATAGAGACTTCTAGTTCGTTTGGATCTTTTTATAGCGTATTCTTTTAGATTAGATTGATTTACGCTGATTCTTAACCGCGGGAACTTGAAGTATTTACATCTTACATGAAACACGAAGGGACCTTTCACATCTTTTTAAAGATACTTTTTTATTTTTTGCAGAATGTCATCCTGCTAAAACCATACAGTTGAAACCGGTGAATTTCATGTTTACTCGAAAAAATAGCGTCCAGATGATAGTGTTAAAAAGTTAAAAACAAAAGAATCTGCTTGGGTTATGACTGGCAGAAAAGGAATTCCTGTGGAGATGTCTGCAGGAATCAGCAAAAGACTGCTGTAAGTTTTTGTGGGTTTTACGGTAAAACATGACGCTAATGTATAAATAAGCAAGAATAAAAATTCTGTGAAAGGTGCCTTCCTGAAAAAGTTCAATTCTTGTTGAGGTGAAGCTTGCTAACCAGCTGACGCATGCAGCTAAAAAAATTATTAGATGCGCAAAAAAACAAGATAAAGAAATGGGATAGAAGGAAAGATACAAAAAAAAAAGGAAAATTACTTGTTGCAACGTGGTTTGGTGGTAGCATAAGGATTATGTAAAATTATATAAACAAGGCAAATCACTAATTACTTTAAAACACAAATATAATCGATGAAGTGTGACGGTGTAGGGTCGGTATTTGCATCTTGGAAGATTTGAATCTGTGGCTCAAATGAGGAATGAAAAAATTACATTAGTAGCTACGCTTGCGTTAACCTGATAGATTCCTGAAATTGTGGTTGCGAAGAAGTTTTACAAAAAATAATGCATAATAGGCCGAAATTAAAGATAGAATTAACAAATTTATATTGTTAAAGTAACTTCTTTAAAAATCTTTTTTAAAGATCTAAGTCATGCAGAAGTAACAACAAATTTGCATTGCAGGCTAATATGAGCAGGAACAATGATCTATTTTCTGGAAAATACAGTCTACTGCTCATGATTTCAAGAACATACTGGATCGATGCTAACAGGCGGGAACTTTGCAGGTGGTTTTTATATGGTATATAAATATATAGTACCTATCTGCAAGCCAATTTATTGTTCTATTTTCATTTATTAAAGTCACTCAGTGTTATCAATGCATTCTTGTAAGCATCAAGCACGTTGTCCTGTAAGCGAGTGTGCATCCGCTGTAACATTTTAGTTTATACTATTTAGTAATATAGTATATATTTAGTATAATTTATATTTGGATTCGAATGCCTATATAGACAGAAAATGCTATGAGCTTATGAACGAAAATTGATTATGCTTCTCCAGCTGTTCTAAAGCTGTTCGAGTTTACTTATGGTCACTAATATATCTGATGCTCATTGCAGACTATAAGTAATGTGTCTCCATCCCAATTGCGACCAAACCAAAGTAATTCCATTCATGAACGAATACGAACCCGATTGCGATGGTGAGGGTCCAATGACGTGGATTGGCTGGGCGCAAATATATAGATTGGGTTCGTTTGGCTATAGGAAGGCGTCGATGATCCAAATGTTGTATTGAGCCCAGTTCAATCAGTATATAAAGCTGAGACTCCCAAAAGAGTGATCTTGGAAGGAGGGATTCCACACTAAAATAAGCTAGGTTTGAAGGAAACGCTCATCGGAGAATAGGACCCAGATGATGTAATATAGAATTATTCTACATGTTCAGAATTGTTCTGCATGTTGCTCTTCTAGGTGTTTATAAAGTAATTCATTATTGTCAAGAAAGCATGTGTATGTTTCCATTACTTTTTTTTAACATATATAAGCGTTGTTCACCAGCCGCAGTTGCTTAGTGATGGTAAAAAAGTGCATTTTTAATGACGCAATCCTTTTTTCTCCTTCTACTGTGATAAAAAAAGTTGTCGAAGTAGCCAAGAATATTCGCACTAGATACAGTGTGCACTCGATATATTATCACAACTCCTGAAAATTAGTTTGTTAAAACCGTAAATGAAATTTTAAATCTAGAGGATGCAGCTCGTTATGCTATCGAATGTCAATGGGGACTGCCTGAAAGAATTTCAGAAGGCAGAGAACTAGAAAACAACTTAAAATGTGACTGGAAATAAAATGCATTAACTTTCGTTCAGTAGAATTTACTTAATAACTGCTGCTGTAGAAACTGGGTCAGGAGCAAAAAGAACACGAAGTCTCGTTACCAAGTTAAACCTCCCGCGGTGACAGGTAGCACGCGGCAGCAGTGAAAGGTCCCTATGTAAACTTGTTACAGCTTCTAACATGAGATTTCGCTTTTTCATTTTTCCTAAGAATCTTAGTGTTAGATATACACACATCGACACGCTGTGAATAAATAGTATGAATTACCTTTTCTTTGTACTGCAGCCCGATGTCTAACAAAACGAACTACCTGCTCTGGTTTTCTAATGTTCATTCATTCGAAACGTCGTTACTATGACTATCGAACCTATCATGACTATCGTAAACTTATTTAACAATATAGTAACCGGCGTGTTGTTCAGACAACCAGTCAAATTAAACCTACTTACCTCTATAAACACATGATAGCAGTAGATTTTATGTACGCAGGATTCCGCTTAATTTGAACTATAAAATAAAAATTAGACAAAAACGTTTACGTCTAGTCCTTTATAGTGGTACCTTCTCCAGTTAAAACATCTTTTTTTTGGTTTTGCGTTTAAACACCCATCTTGGATCATACTTCTTTAGTTCTAAGTTTTTCCTTTGAAGACCTACTCCTCCATACTGCAAGTACAGGTTAGCAGAGCTATTACCCTCTCAGCCTGCGACTGGTAAGTTAACAGTGATCAGCGAACTTCTTCAAGGTCGAGATCAGAACGCTGTTTAAATAGCCCGATCATTTGACTTACGGTAACGACGCTATCACTAAATAGATTGTCCAAGGATGTTTTTCCAAGTTTGTAAATAGTATCTGAAATGTAGAAAGCGTTCGCAGCCCTGCGGACCCTTTGGGCTTGATGACGATTACCTGGAAACACTTTTGAAGGAATATTGTCGACAAAACAATTCCTCAATTGGCTAGAAAGATGGTTGTAATTATACAACCATCGTTTACCGTCTCAAGTCTTTTGGGTTTTTACATAAACTTGGAGTTTCAGTACCTCATGAACCTTTTAAGTCTCACACGGCATTACAGCTTGAGGCGGCATCTCAGCATCTCGCCCGATGTCAAGTGTCACACGGTCAGAATGACCTATTTTTACACAGAATTGTTTTATATCTGTACATCGATATGAACCTAAGTTCGCAAGGGGCGGCTCCAGGGAAGAAGCTATGATCCGAAGTTCGGCCCGTTTTTCGTATTAAAAAGATTATGCTTTGCGTTTAATGATATTGCAAGGGCTTGGTTCACTGGCAAGCGTTCCTTACGAAACAGTTAGTTGATCCGTATGTTACCTAATTTACGTTTAATTTACTTAATTTACCTAATTTTACGTTGGCCTAATTGCATCGAGTCACCTAGGCTATTTAAGCAAAACAGACCTGAGAAACGAGGTCAGATCATGCTGCTCCACGATAACGCAAGGCCATTCACAGCAAACGTCGTTAAAGTTGCATTTTTGGACTCTAAGTGGAAGGTTTTGTTGCACCATTCATACCCTCCGGGCCTTGCACCGACGCAACGACGAAAGAATCTTTTCCGTTCATTGGGCAATCACCTTCGCGGTCTTATTTTTGATGTAGTCAAAAACTCAGAACGTACTTGCAAAACTTGGAGACAAAAGTCGTTACCTTCTTGCGAGAGGGCATACATCATTTACTGGAAAAGTGGGTGAACACCGGGAAAAATAACGAATAATACATAACGTAATAACTTATTATCGTAGGAATAAAAAATGCATCGTTTTTAATTCAGTGAGAATAGCGTGGGAATTTACTACCTAATAGTTGTTTATAAAAGCGCTATATATTTTGTGGTCTGAACGGATGAAGAGCTCAAAAGGCTAAATGGAGCTTCATTATTCAACATATAATAGCTTTAAAATATATTAAGTTTTTTTTTGGGTCCATCGTTGGGTGTCCAGAATTTCTCACCCCTTTGTAGACCGTTTACTAGCGAAAAATTCTATGTCTTTCTCAGTCATTGACTTGCAACCAGAGTCTATCAGAAATCGTTTCACAGTCTCGTATCTGCTATATGTGTGTAGAGCGGGTTCGCAATGGAAGCATACGGCTGCTTAAGTGTTGAATCATTAAGCATTCATTACGAATAAGCTTAGCAAAGACAAACAAGCGACTCGGCGTCTACACACGTTAAGAGGGTTCTATTTTGCGCCGTATTAGAGTACGCTTTTTTGACTTACTGACACCATTTCGGGTGTCGAATCAGACGAAAATCTTCAAGCCAACACCATTCATTAGGGTTTTGGCGGATTCAAAAGTAATGCCAATTCCACTTGTCGAGGATCTTCGGGTATTAACGGACTTAAATGTTTGGGTGTCGGCGTCTGCTAGGCGGACACTGGCACCTCGTAACTGGGCTGTGACTCCAGTCTCAATGACAATACTGGCCAATCCATGTTGTAGGATCGATGCATAGAGTAGGGCTGATACAGGATAACTCCTATACAATCTTTGTACGCTCACCAGACTTGCGGCTCGAAAACGGCATCATTATCACACGATATGAGACCCATTTTACGAATCCGTGCATTGTCGTCACTTGTTATCATTTCATCGCCATCGTAGTCGATAACTGCTTTCCCTCCGGATGATAGAAGCACTTCATTGAGCTTTATAATAATTATTATAATCGTATTGATCAGTTTGTATTATACTACTGATGTATTTTGAATTCAGCTGAAGATTACTGGATTAGCTATGTGGATATCCCATTTTAAGTCATCTTGAAACAGCTATTCCAATATGCATTAGATTATCACTAGCAGCTGTTGATGGTCATTGAAGTGCGGTAAAAATAGATTTAGTGACAAAAACACTATTTAATACAGAGTTCTGACATATGAATCGTTTTTGAGTGAAAATCATTGCTAGATTGACCTGTTTCAGTTAAAATAGTGCAAAAAATGCAATTTGCTAAGCAAGGAACTTGGCAAATGTCAGCTTTAGAAATACTACTATTCAACGACGATTTAGGTGGGTTTGGAGTGAAGTAGAGGAGAGGAATTAAAAATACGTAGGTAGTAGTTTTAGCGGAAATAAGCTCAACTTCGGGCTAGCTCCATACTTAGTTTACATAAAATTGGCTTTGTCCTTGCGATCGTACGTAAAGAGCATTACCAAACCATCTTGAAAAACGTCAAATATGCTTATTGTTTCTATATTGAAATTATTTTCAAGCTTTAATGTGGATATGGCTTGCGATGACCTTTCAACCGGACATGAAGCATCACAATGAACATCTACGTTGAACCTGTCTTTTCCATATGTTCTAAATAAAATGAAAAAAAAAAACTAACGATAAACTCAGCTCAATGGATACCAGTTATCCGCGTTCATTATATAGGCCTACGGTAATGACAACAGCTTTATCGTCGCCTCCGCCCGCCTTCTCCCAGAGTTAGCGATATATTTGGTAAGGTTCTACATGGAGATTACCTGAAACTTAATGCATACACTGAAGTAATTAACAATAAAAAATTCACACGAACTTATAGACGATCGTCTAAAAACATCCATTTTGATTGTCTACACAAAATGTCCCTAATTTTTGATTGGGTATAATTACTATGGAAATATATTCATTGCGCGATGTTTATGTATTCATGTGCGACAAATTATGCCAAAAGCCAAAGCTGTCATACTTAATAACAGCTTTCATGTCATCATATACAAAAACGATCATAAGGAAAATTAATACCTATTTAGGAAACGAAGGCATGTACTATTGCGATACTGCTAAAATAATTCGAAGTAGATTTAGGAGGACAACGCGACACAACTTGTGGCCAAATCTATATAGCGTATTAACTAGCAATTTTTAGCAGCGAGTGTACCTACGTGACGAGTGCAGTCGAAAAGATGTCCTGTCACCTCATCGTCTGCTACTAGCTCTCCAGTGATTGAAATACTCAAGAGTAGAGTTAGCAGACGGCTGTTGTTTACGTACGTTAACAATGATGACAGTCCTCTGCTCAAATTGACCGACCCGACCTTATCAGTAGCAACACACGCATTCAGAAGTTATCGGTGAAAATACCTTTTCGATGTGTCACTATATGAGATGCCAACGGAATTATGCTAACACCTAACTATTTTAAATTGCTTTAACAAGCTGGTCATGAATTACAAGCTAAGCTGTTACGTTATATAACGAAGCGATGATTAAGAAGCGCCTTTACTTAGAGGGCAAAATGCGGAATGAAATTTGGAGACGTTAGTCAACTGTGCGGAGAGAAACGGGTCGGTAATTGTAGTAATACAAAAGGGGTTGCTGCGGATATACTGTTCGAAAATAATCGCTGGAGCAAGCGCTCCATTAGGAATACAGAGTTATAACTATTACACTAGAATTAGCGTTTCAGGCGTGACGATTACTAATTATCATTAACGGAAAATTAATGCGAAACCGTAAACAATGGAGCAGTTTAATTTTCCATATTGTATCTCGTTGTATTGGCGAGGATACCGAGTTGATTTAGAAGCTCGTTATATGCATGGGAAATAGACAGATAATTACGACAATAGATATTATCTGTACAATTTTTTGGTAAATCGATATTGATGGAAAACGAATTAATTATAAGTTATAGTTCAAAATACTGTAAATGATCTCAAAAGTAATAATGATTAATGCGACGTTATTAAAACTCCGTTCTGTTTCGATTTTTTAGCATTTTATGGAGAACTGTGTGTATATAGCTAGAGAAACGTTTCACACTTTTCATGGCATGTTAGTTTATAGAAGTAATTTAGGTATTTTCCCATATTTTCGCACACTTCCCTGTGGTTCTATATCGCAAAGAGGTAATTGTTTGTTGTTTTTAGTTTGTAAAAATGTGGTTTCGATTACAAGGACAATTACTTTATAAAATTACAAACATTTAATGAAGTACCACATAGGAGAAGGAAATGTCAGCCGTTTGAAGCAGTACTAAACAAAAGCAGTATCGTATATAAAACACGACAACTCAAAACATTTGTTTATATAGCTAATGAAGATATTTTAGCATCGACAACGAAATGTATGTTATAGCCATTTACCAGTCGTTCTTACTGTATCATGTTCATCTGGTTGTCTGCTAAATTGTAACTGCTTTTATTCAGAACTCCAGATTTCAACCACAAACGCGGAAAGTATCGACACTAATCAAGGCTACATCAACAACTACGTTATATAATTAATATAATAATAATTGTGTGCTGTAAATAGTCACGTTGTTCAAAAAAATCACTATTTACAAGATTACATTCCTGTAGATTTATATTTAGTAATCCTTGATAAAACTTCTGCCGAATGCTTTATCCAGTGAGAGTGACATGATTTCTGCTGATTTGCGTAGAGTTTAGCGTATTCAGCGGACGATATTCGTTGCTCGTTGTCATCTTATATTCCAAGTATGCGTCGAACAGAACCGGTCGCTACGTCGCTCGTGAAAAAACGCAAACGCTTTTTCATATTCTAAAAAAAAGGAGGGTTACGTAAGCAGAAGCGGAAGATTGTAGCACGCTTTTATTTTATTCAATTGATTATTGAAAGCATACAAATATGATGCGTGTGTAGTAGCTGTGAGTACGCATAGAAGAAGGCGAGGCTAATTATTTTTAACATTCATTGCCTTTGTCATATATTCAGTTTTATCGATTACAAACATTTATATTTAGTAATTACATGATTAAAGTTAATCTAGCAATATTATTGATATTTCACAGAAGTGATTTTAATTGCGCTTCTATGTGTCGTGTACGTGACAAACAAAACCTCTTAAACTACCTGTCAGATGGAAATTTGGCCAAATTTTTATGGATATTTTAATTGCAACGAGAAACACCAGTTAAGTAATATTCGGGTCAGAATATTTAAAAAAAAAGAAAAAAAAACGTATATTAGAGTGTAAAAATATTTTTGCAATTTGAAATTACAGTTACGCTTGGACCTATTAAAGGCCTCATTCTACTCTGAGCATGTTAAATAACCAGTCTGAGTTCTACATATTACTATGCTCGTGAAAACAAGTTAAGATATTTAAGATTTATGCAATAGGACATTGACACAGTTTGCAATATTTAGCCCAACGTTCCGGTCCAAATGTGATCCCACACAAATCAGCGCAAGTAACCATATAATAATTTTTTACCGGTTCAACTTACGGATCTCATTGAAACCTGGACACATGCTTGACTGACTCGAATCAGCCAAAGAGACCGACCTGGTTTATCATTATAGATTAATTAACTCCTGCGCTTTTCACTACTTGCGCTCTTTTTTTATTTGAATGTCATAATAAATAAGTTCGATTCAAAATGCCCACTTACTCATTATACATCGGCTGTTACGCAGCAGATTTCAAATGATTCGCTTTGTCATGAACATGGTGAAAGTTGACACTCATCTGCTACTATTTATAGACCCAACGCTACATTTCCATGTTGATATTCTCTCAGATTCGACTGACTGTTCGAGATGTCGGCTTTCCGTAGTTCGTCACAAGCTGTGGGTAACTGTAATCCTTGACTTGTTACTTGTGTAAACTAATAATAATAGTCAATACTCAGCTATAATATTTATTTTCGTATTAGCGAGTTACAACGAGTTTTCAGCTAGTTAGACAAGAGTTATGATTTTATTAGATGTTAGGCGCATTCTCCTTTGTTCCTCTACACACTTGCCCTAGCGCTTTGAGAACTTTTGGACAATCATTTATTAGCATTCACGTTTCTATGCGTTTCTTTACCTATGGCTTCTCGAAACAAATCGATAAAGGGATATACTTGCCCATCAGTGGCTTTGTTTAGGGCATGGAAAGCCCCGTAAGCATGCGGACTTACATCGAGAACAAGGGTGGGGTGAAGCCAACGCTAATTACCCCTTTGCTCAGTCAAGGAAGCAGTTAAGGTCTGGCGTTGTCATCAAGTAACCAGACTGCGTGTGTTCAGTTGCCGTACCTACGGTTTGTAAGTCTCTCGTCGAGCTCAAGATGCTGAACTGCCTTCCTTGTTTCATTTTCTTTATAGCAGCAAATGCCCCTGATGTTCATCGCAAGTATTGCAATAACCTCACGTATGAACCTACGTGTCACCTACTCCAACCGCGATTTTCCGGAACAACGTCGTTCTTTCACCTAATTTTTCTCCTGTCGGCGGTATAAATTAACTTATGCCTTATATCAGGCATCCGTATGCCATAGGCGAACTTTTTGTTAGTTAAAGTTTCGCGAATAGCACGTAGAATACGTCACACGCATTTTCAAATGGTCCGGATTTAAAATACGGGAAACCTATTCTTTGCTCAGCTTCTGCACTTCAGTATGTGATTTACAATTCTGTAACGCTATTATATTTGAAATGCTCGTCTTGGGCGACAGCGTTCTTAGGCTCCAGGCTTTGCTTAAATTAAAAGCTTCTTTGATCATGGCAATGCGTTTTTGTCGTTCGAGCTCTGACATGTGGTTATCTCTTCGCTTATCATTAAAAGGCCAACCTCCACCCTTGAAACGTTTGTATATTGATGTACTCTACCTTTACCATTGATGAATTATCGCAGCACTGTGGTCTTTGGGGAACAAAAACTGGGAGTGTTAATTTTTCAAGACTAAAGAATGTTCTTTCTTGTGAATTCAACAGATCTTTACTTACAAGTTTCTAGAAGACTGGAGTATTTACCAGTCAGATTTCGTAGCTAGCGGCGCGTAGTTTAAAAATATTTAATTTTCAAGTCCGTAGGGTTATCGTACAATACTCTAACACTAATAGAGTTATGACTAAAGGTTGCGAAAATGCAGTGTGAAAACTTTTCAAACTTTTGTTCTAATATTCCGATAATAATTATTTGTTCGCTATTATTATTATTATATCGTTTCCTATTTTTTCCAAGACAATAGATAAAGTGCAAATTAAACCCAATCTAATCTTTTTTCTATCAAATATTTTCAAATATCAAAAATATTTTCTATCAAAGTCATTTAAAATTTCTTACCCATCCAGATAGTGGTGATTTAACTACCTAACGAGATGTTTTCAAACTATAATACCCTATTTACTAAAAATACCTTTGGTTAGGATTTCAGTAATGAAGTTATAACGAATAAATTATTAGTATATAATGAAACAATAATCTTTTCAGTCAGTTTAGTATTGACAGCGGTTCTATTCCTAATATTAGGATATTATACTGTTGTGAAGTTTTTCATTACTAGCTGCAAAGGTGAATAAATATAACTTGCTTGATTCTATTGACAGAAACGGCTCGATTCGAGTATATTTGTTGCTTTCTTTTTGAGACATCGAGAACCAGTCGTGAAACCTTTTTCTTTGTGATCTCCTAATACAAGTTCCGCACTCACTAGCATTACTTTTTTCTGTATAATACCATACCAGAAAAGCACATCTATCGATGTTATTAGGGCGAAGTAGTGAGAAGTTACCTCTAAAAATTTTCTATTTTTAGTGCTACAAGACTGTACAAAGCTTCCGCCAAAGTACTATGCTATTACGCTGGGTTATCTCTCAAACCAAAAACAGACGGATGTTACAATCTAAATTGGAGCAATTTCACTTGCATTTGGTGTACGATATTTCCATTCCCTAATGCATTAACTAACTTAAGTTAGCTCGCTTAACCAAACGAAGAATAGTTTGATTACGTGGAACGCCTGAAATCTAAAATATTTAAAGCGTTTGCTTTAGTTATGTTGCCATGACTGTATATGTTTGTACGTCAATAAAAAAAATATCTAGACCATGAGCCCTACGTAAAGCAAAGTGAATGAGCTCCAGTTAAATCTTTAAATACTTCGAAAAAATTGCTTTCGTCATCAACTGTACATGCCTCTTTGCATAAGTAACCAACTTCAATTATTTAGACAGGTGTCACTGTGCGTGTTTACCTAAATAGGAGTGTTATTCAGTCAAGTAATTAACGTTCTCTTTTGTATCAGAAACTAGCACAGAGACGCGTGACGTTATTTTTCTCAATATGACTATATACGAGTTTCAGCGTTTACACGTGCCAATCTCAGAAGAAACCAATCAAGAGGACGACGCAACATCGCAGATCACGCAAGCGGACGATAGAGACATCGATACGTCACAAACTCCAACTCAACAGAAACAAGAAAAACGTGAAAGTCAACAGGAAGAATTACGTAAACTACAGATGGAGGTAAACAAAAATGAACGGCAAAGCCCGGTCGTGTTAGGTTCAATTGGGCGACACTGCTCTTGTAGCAGACGAAATGAAACACTTTAAGAAATATGATTCATTACCAAAGAAAGCTTCTTTTTGAACTGATGCTTGACCAGCTGGTCCAGTGAGGACAGGGATACATTTTATTTTATAGCGATACATTGAAGAATATATCGTTTTATTCATTAAATGTACAGCATAACTGATTACGATAAGATATAAAAAATCTCTAAAAATAATGCACGAACATTTCAAATCAAGGGATTTGTTTAAGGGAGTATATCCAGTCATATTCTAGCTAAGTTAACAGATCCGTCAGGTGATCAAGAGCCTTACCGTCCGTAGCAGCTTTTTTTATTGCGTAATAATTAAATACTTCGCCATCACACCACATTTAGGTAACTTATTTAGTTCAATAATCTGCTAAAGATCCATTAGATTATCCACAAAATCGCAGACTTCCTTATTCGGTTGTTTTGTTTTTGCTGATTCATAAGTCAATAGTGTCTAGAGACGTTGTTCATTGATAAGCACGGCTAAATAATATAATTTAATAGTGGTAAATTGATTCAAAGACTGCTTGGATCGTTTTAGCTATTCTCATGTCGAATTGGGCATGAGCAACACTGAAGTTAGCGGACCACCCTCGCACACAGCTTAGATCTAATAGCAAACAAGGCCTTATAAGCAACACTTTCTGTTTGAGACTGATTACGTAAATAACTGCGAGTTCGGTATCAATATGTTAGATTTATACTCGCACTTTTCCCCATTATAATGCAGTAATGATGTGTTTACCTAATACGTTTAGGTACGTGCGCTGATCTTGGTTTGCAACCCGACGGAGGTGCACTTCATTTTGTGGTGAAGGCTAACTGTCTGAAGTAATGCCTGCCGGATGTAAAATACAGAAAACCTAATACATCGCCTGTGTATTCAGTAATGTGCTGGCCACGCCGCACATTACTGAAGACTATAGCACATACAATACTGAAATGTCTTGATTGACGTCTAGCATTGAGCTGTTCTAACGCATAAGGTGTAGAGCAGAGGTCATAGTTACCATCCTCCAAAAAAGGGAACAGTTTTTCTTCAATTGTTCTGAGACTTCAACCTTTATAGAAAAAAAATGGGGACTGATGAAACCCTTTCGGGGACTACGCCTCTATTGCAGTTAAGCAAATTGTAGCTTATTTATTGGCAGATAAACGGCTAGTTATGCTGATGATAGAAATAATGTTTATACTGTAAGAACCTGTTTGCACAGTTGAATAAGTGGCTATTAACATTAATCATATAACCGATGTGAAGATTAACTAAGAGACAATAATTGTTTACATTGCTTTTGGCAATACAGCTGGAGCAGTTGGAAATAAGGGCTGTTCAGCTCGATAAAGAAGAGGATCATCTTAGGACGATTATTAAAGAGGAAAATAAACTCAAGAAAGAGATTGAGGAGCTTCAGGCCGATGTATATCGCATTGAGGTAAGACTTTCAGACCTGACTCTATTAGTGGTTATCCGGGCAAGTGACGCCGTAGTAAATCGAGGTCTCCATTTAAGCACATAGTGACCCCTCTGTTCCAATATGAAAATCAAACAAATATGAACCTTTATTTTTTGCTAACACGGAATACGTTATAAAATTATGATAAATTTTAGAAGGAAAAGGACACAGTTATGGAGCGTGGCCGTCTTCTGAAAGATCAAGCAAAACTGTTGGGCAAAGAGTCTATGTCTAAACGGGCCGAGTGCGAACAACTCGAAATGAAAATTCAGCAGACGCAGACGGAGCACCTGATGACCATGTGCACGTTGCATGTCAAAAGTACGCGCGATCTTCGGATTGCCTTATCTCGATCTCAAGGCGCAGTACATTTGTTTGATTCAAAATTACTTTCTCCACGGGAACTACAAGACAGAATTGAGAAGACCCGAAACGAAACAACTTCGTACAATGAACTTATAGAGGTATAGATTTTCATATTTGCCACATTAATAATAAGTGTAAATCAATAAGGTTATCTTTTATTTCTACATCGTTGCATGAGCATACTATAGTAACCCAATGATGGTGAGCAACTTCCGTTGTCCAGCCAGTGTTCCTCAACGGTTCCAAAGCTTAATCAAATTGTGGCTACGGCTATCGCCGATGCAAACGATTTCTTCGGTGAATGAGAGATACGATTATCTCAGACAGACAGCTAGTGATAGATATTTTTTTGCTAACGAAATATAAACATCTTTTTTTATTTACTTTTTTTTGCTTAGTTTATGCATCTCATTACGCCAGTGACTGTTGCCACGTTGAGTTAACTTTAGGCAATTTCAATTTAACCTTGATCCTGTTTGTAGCGTACGACAAATGTAATGGATCGACTGGAAAATAGCGAATGCGACCATTTCATCTTGGAACAGCAGGAAGGCAAAGACCTTCTCAACTTTTTTAGGATAGTTAAGGAAGTGTACGTAAAGGAACTTAGCGCACTTGATCAGGCTGCAGGACGGTTTGCAAAATGTGCGGAGCTGAAGATTTTAAGGAAATTATAAGGATATTTTTAAAACTTTTGAAAAAGCCGACCTTGGCATCGGAAATATCTACCCATTTTCAGCTGAATTTGAAAGTTAAAAACCAGTCGAATATAAAATACACCACAAGGGCTTTTTGAACTTCAATCGAACTTATTGTAGCTATAGAAGTATACAGGTTTTCGGTCAGACCATATTCTACAGCTAAAGCTGCCAAATTATCGATATTTTGTTAGATCACAACAGCCAATAGACGGATCACAAACGCATGATTTTCCGAATTACCTTTCCATATAGTAGTGTTTCAGTGTTATAACACCATACAAATTTACCTGACGATGGCCAGACGCACGGAAACGGAGTTGTGTCAACTGCAATCAAACAAAGCAAAAATAAAGATTTTAACTGTCCGATCTATGGTAAGTTTTTAGAGGCCGCCAGGCACCGTGGATGGCTTCAGAAAGCAATAACGAGAAACGCAATCGAATTGTCGTCAATTTTCGATAAACTGTCTGACCCGTTGGTAAAGCGTAACAGCCTCTTTGAAAAGCCTGGGGCAAACTCTGGATTCGTTTGAGTGGGCGGTATGTTCTCATTCCAATGATTTTGCCTACCTCTTTCATAAATTTACTTCAGATATTCACACTGTAGATACCCATTCAAGTAGGATGCGGCCGTGAATTGCAAAAATCTATTATCATAGATGGGTTGGCGTCTTTCGTTAGGGAGCTATACATTAAAAGGAATACATAGATCGTTCGCCTGAGCAGCGAGTTCGACAACATTTCTCTTAAGAAGTTTTTAATGGAGAGAAGAGTCCAAACGTGGATTTTTTCGTTTTTACGTTCCCACTGATTCGACCTTCTTTAATCACACAAGTTCTGCAGGAATTCTAATAGGAAAAATGCTTTACTTCCGTCTGATATTCGAAATGCGGTCAACATAAGTACGTTGTGCGTTTGCTTTGCTAATTTCAAAAAAACAAAGTAAGCTGTAACTTATAAGTAAAAAAAGCTAGCACACAGGATATGTCATGCAAAAATATGTTAAAAACGGTCAAGCTTGCTGTCATGCAATAAAAATTGTTAGATTAGGAATCCCTTTAGGTTTCTAAGCGTTAAAGTGGCCTCATCAACAAACATTCATGAACAAAAAAGAAATTTGGTTCTTAGCACGCAGATGCTAAGGTTATATTAGAGCCTTATTATGGACGTGCGCACAAGTTTTCTTGTAATCTACTCGGATGTTGATTCTGTTATTAAAGATGGCGAAACACTGTGTCGAATAACACGAACAGACATTAGTTTATCGAACAAATTGGCCGCTCACTTTATCATATAGTCCCGACCTCCGAGGATCGTTGATCACGGAGTCCCAGAGCCTTCGATAAGATCGCCATAACGAGGTGCTCTGAACTTGTACATCGAATAACGTATTGCGTAGAATAGCGCTCTCGATTTGCTCACTCGTGCGGCGATGGCAAACAAAAATCGTTACCATAGAAAAGTTGGTAGCCATCCAAACGAAATTAAGAAGACATTTCCGTGGTCATCTGATTTGCCTTCTGAGATCTTTTGCTGAGTTTATTGCAAACCACTTTTGAGGCGTTCATGACCTCCGCAGTCAGTATGTAGATGTTATTTAAATAACCTTTTCTGTGTGATAATAGTTTAGCAGGCTATGTCTTTCTACTTAGGCTTTTTAGCGGAAGCATGATATTTGGCGATCTATAAAGAACGAATTCGATCGTACTTTCGAATTGGAGACCGAGTGCGAGTGGAGGTTTTGATGTGTATTTCCCATGAGTTTAGTCTTAACCTTTAATTTTGTTCGATAATGATACGTATACTGTTGTTTGGCTAAACATCCTAAATCACGCTCTAACGAACTTTTACACTTGCGACCCCACTATTGTATACTTACTGCTGACTGTACACTTCTGATCAAGGTAAGGTATTTACACATTAGTTCGCAAGTTAAGAGCTTACCATACTCTTAAAAAATGTATAACGTCATTTGTTTTTGCTAAGCAACTTACCATCTCGAGTTTCGATCCTACGGCGAAAGTCATAATACATAGACAGGTACCGTTATATTAGTGTTTTATTAAAAGAAATGGTAAACATAGAACACAATGTGTTTAAGCAAGATAATTATGGATGAGCCAGCGATGTACTCAATTTTAAAATAGATAAATTGCGCTCAATTCTTAAATGTGAGCTGCTTCTTAATAGTGATTAGGTTCACGATTTACAATAGTGCATTTATTTTCTTTATTAAATCCACGTGTACCTCTATGCACGCTTATCAATTTGACAGGAGATGCATAATTTGTTTCGATGTTCAATATGCGCTCATTTGATGGAACCTTCTGTCAAATGGGCCACTTGGACACAGAAGGTTCTCTCAGAAAAAAGGTTTGTTTTTCTCTACACTGACTCGGCTAAGTCAGATAGGTATCTTAGGAAAAAACTCGAATCGCGCGTCAGACAGCTTCATGGAGACCGACTTTAATAGATTGTTTAGCGCTGGGACGACCTTTCCGGGTTAGGTCGGCTCCGTAATTCTATTAGTTGCAGGTGATGGCATCGTAATGAAAATCAGGTCAGAGTAAAAGTTTCTTGGGCTCATCCAGCAATTTCGCAAACCAGTGATGCTATTCTTATGACAAAAACAAGCTGACTTGAACAAGTCGCTCTCTGGGATTCTTAGAGGTGGACTCAGGTATCTTGGAACTGGTCCAGATCATAATGATGAATAGACCATATAAATATTAGCGGGTTTAGAATAGAATTGTATTCGTTCTTATGCTCAGATTGACTCTGAACCTCGTAGCGTAACTCACAAACCTTGCTGAATTAAGTTCAACCATGAATAGCTGACACAAGTCAATTGATGATTTTCTAATAATATGCAGAAAGACTTAAGAATTGTAAATTGTAAGGCATTTGAGGACTCGAAGATGAGCTAGAAAGGCTGTCTCTGAGGTATCTATCTTTAAGATAAGAAGGCTTGCGAATCGATTTTTTCGTCGAGGAGAGCTCACTGGAGTGTACGATACCAGCCATTTTCTAAACACATTAAGGAAATGGTACATTGGTATTTTGTTGTAAACATCTGTGTGTCAATCTTGGATCTGAGATCGGCCGAATTAGTTCGAAGAGTTAGGGTGGGTCTCTTGTCTTGTGAGGCCTTAACTATCCTATTCGTTACTCAAAGGTCACGAGCGGCATATAGAAAATAGAAGTCTCTAGAGCAACATGTCTTTTGGTGCCAAAAGATACTACCGAAAAAGCACACGTGCAGCGGACTATATGAATCTAGAGGCAACATCTGAAAGACTACGAAATTACCTTTCTATAGTTTCTGCAATAAGGAATCTTGTGGATTATATATACAGCATTGTTAGTCGGACAATTCCGTCGGATACAAGAAATATTATTATTGCTTCATATCCAATTATCTGACGTGTCGTATACGTTGTTGGCCTAGCATAAACCAGCGACGCCTAATTAAAAGAGAGAGAGAGAGAGAGAGACTTATCGCTGTATTTTAAACCGAGTACACTTTAATTACAGTTTATCTATTGTAAGGGTCCATCTGCAAAATGAAATAAGCTTAGAAGACATGTCTGTCATAGGGGCCTTGAAGTTCATTTGGGATAGATCCGACAAGTTGTAGAAAGATGCGGTGAATAATCAGTAATAACGAGTAATCGAAAATTACATTTACTATCAATTAGATCATTGAAATTCTAGATTACCTATAATTGTAATGTAGACCGGCCATTGTTTTAGAAGAGTAAATGTGGGCGCCTACCATAATATCTAGCCGTCACCAAAACGATGAAGCCAAAGTTCTCTGCGTATTTTGAAAGCAATATCATTGAAAAATAGCATCTAATAAAATAGTAATAATTTTAAGTTATATTGTAAGATTATCGCTTCGATCGTGTACGGACACGTGTACGAGTATTAACACAAGATGAATGTACTGCAAGCTTCAAATAACTTTTGTACTGTCTTTATTAACCTGTTAAGGCGTTACAGCTTTTTGTCTACGTTGTCAATCAAACTCGATATTTCAGTTGAGTAAGTTTAACTGTTCAATTCGACGAGAGTGCGTGGTTCAAGGCTAACGAACACGTATTTATTACGATATTAGCGCCTATGTTTTTCGGGTTTCCGGCGACTGCTTCAAGTGATGGAATCCGCCATTTTGTCCGCACCAACGGTTCCTTTTTCCTACGTGTATTTGGTTAGCTAATTGCATCCGAAATAAACTTCGAAGCCTGGTAAGAGCATCAAAAAAGAGACAAAAGTCTTCACTAGCACATCATAATAGCTTGTTATACATTGTTATACTGTTACATAGTCAACTGTACTTAAAGGCTAAACATCTTTTGCATACACAGTACAGTCGCAGGTGATGTGGAACTTTTTTGGCCACTGAAACATGGTGAACCCGATCGCTGAGTCGTGTGGCACTACTTTATCAACAACGAGAAGCCAAAACAATTGCTGTTCGACCTGTCTGAAGTCACTTATCTTTTCGAAGATCATTGGAGCCTACCTTGTATGTAACTCTTGCTCTGTACAGCATTTGACCCGCTTCTGACTAAGCATATCGAGTTTATATATACATACGAATAATGTAAAAACTACTTGTTTATCTCTACGAAGGTTTAAGTAGAGATTGCTTTAAAGTAATACTCCAAATTGACTGTCGATACGTCGCCAGTGTTCGGGTACGCACTGAAAGGGCACATCCCTGCAGAGTGGGCCATCTTACAAAGACACAAGTAATTTTAAAGGATCATTATATGAGCATAGTTCTCAACAAAACCCAATCCTCGCTGAACACAACAATAGAGACAATTGGAAACAAAAAATTAATCGTCTAAAATTTCTAGCTAAAATAGGTCCACAATCTAATTCTATTCAGTTTAATAAATTTCGGTTCCTAGAGTATTGGGAGACCTGTTAACGTTGACTAAGTTTACTCTCATAACGATTGAAGTGCATCGTTATGAGGCCGTTTGGACTCAATTCGGACATAAACATATTAAGGAGCAATTCGAACAATGGATTTATGATCTGAGTAATTTCTAAATAGGTGTTTGAGGGTAGAAACTCTTAAGAGCCGGGAGATGGGACAGTTAATAATAGAATGCGTTGCTTTAGTCGCACATAATGGGCATCGTCTCTCCAGCAAAATAGACAAGAGCATGTTAGCATTCCTACAGTAAATTAACAGGCTATTGAGAGCAATGGCATCGTTTCTAATTAGCAAGACGGCAATAAATTAAAAAATAAAATAAGCATGAAATTCACCTGCCTAATCACGTATAATATATTTAAATCAATGGTAACTACAC